TGCCAAGGAATGTTCGACCCGCTTATATGTTCGGCTCGCTTATAAGGTACGTTATGGCAATGATTAATTATCTCACAAGAGCCATGTCTCCATGAGCACTCTAAAACATATCATTCCAGGAACGGGTATGGCCACTCTGCATAGAGTCACGCTACAATGCCATGAGGATTGGAAGTTGATTTTTCCCGTGTTATATTGTTATATGATTAAATTATATATTCTAAACCCCATAAGCCCATTCCAATCTGTTTATATCGGACATTAACAGCCGAATCCAAATATCTCCACCCGCTAAATCCAAACAACCCCCATCCAACCCCTTTCACCATTACCAAGCCCACAACATTCCGAACCTCACCCTTCCATCTGTACCTCATACCCCGACCCCGGTTTCTCTTCATGTAGTTGCCCCTGCCCACCCATCGCCACTGAGGGCGACAGTGCTGGAGGCTGTCCATCAACCCAACCTAGCTCGCTCAGCGGCCACTCAATCCACGCCTGATGTTCCTCATCCAACACCTCACTCGCCCGTCTCACAATATGATCCCCCCATCCTTTCAGCCACCAATGGGTCTCATGGTGTTTCAACAGCACGCCAAAATGTGCAAAGATGGCAACGGCTTCTTGCGTCGGCGCGCGCAAGAGGGGCATGAACTCGTCTGAGACCATCCACAGCCAGACCATCGCATCGAGTGAGTCGCGCGGGGCATCCGGGAGGTCCCGGGAAGCGAGGGAAAGTTCGAGTTGGTCGAGGGCACGGGTGTAGGTGCCGAGGAGTGCTGGGTCGGAGACCGCGGCGTGGACACGGGAGCGCAGGGGTCCGAGGAGAGGTTGGTAGGGGGGTAGTGGAGCGGATACATCGTTTGTGGACGTGGGATCCGACAGGCTGTGGTGTTTACGCGCATCGAGGGCAGCGCGTTGGGCATTCCAGCGGGTATAACCGTAGCGGAGAAATGGCCCGGCAACGGTGTCGGGACCGGGTTCGCCGAGGGCGTCCATGACGGACTTTCCGCCGGAAAGGAGGAAAGCCCAGTCGGGGAAGCCGGACTCGCCGATAAAGAAAGTGCCATCAGAGTTGGAACGGCGCGGGGAAGCGAGGGCTGCGGGTGTGTTAACGGGTGCTGACGAAAGGCGTAAGGGGCAAATAAATAAAGGTAAGGAACATACCAAAGAAGATAGTTAGCATGCTGAACAGGAAAAAGCTGGCTGCTTGCTGCTTGTCGATCTTCGTACTGGCCTTCACCACGAGCATGGCTAAACGAGACGCTTGTTGGTGTAAGAGGACACCCTCCTCAATGTAAAAATCACGACGGTCGGGCCGGTGGAAGGCTAGGTGCAACGCACTAACAGCCAAGAGGGCTCGCATGATGTAGTCACACGAAAAGCCTAGCTGGACGACGTCATCTCGCCAAAACTCCCAAAGACATGGATCAGCGCAGAGGGTACGATAGGTCTTCATGTTGTAGTTGTGGAGCAGCTCCAGCTGGAGCAATGGCAGTGGTCCCCCTTCAGGGACGTTAGGGGCCGGTTTAGGTTGGGGTGTTGTGGTGTGGTCGCGTGATTCCGGCGACTGGGATTTGATGTTTGTCTTCAATGTACGAGGCACGGGCGGGGGAGCCGCGCCAGGTTTAAGAAATGGACATTCGACGCCATGAGATATGCAGTTCAGGCATGCCGGATGCCTTTCATCACACTACAGAATAGCCGCTGACGTCAACAACACGGACAAGGCGGATAGAAGCACGGTGGGATAAGGATTTACCTTGATCTTCCTCGCTTTACATATCGAGCACCCGGTGCGACTCTTCTTATGTGACCTGCGACCTACGCCGGTGTATCCCTGAGGCTGCGGAGCGGGAGCGGGCTGTGAAGAGCCGGTGGCCGTTCCGAGTGAAATTGGCGTCCCGGGATTCGACGAGGTTTGTTGAGTGGGGGATGCCGAGGCCGGGGAGTCGGCGGGTGGCGTCAGGTCCGGCTGCCGCATGATGATGGTCGGGTCAGGCCCGTAATGACGGTGGGTCTAGTTGACTACTGGTGTAGCACCGGCGATGGGCGCCTCGGCTCCGGCCGGGTCAACGAAGGGGGTGTCAGTTGAAGCGGAAGACCGGTCCCGCCCGAAACAGAGGGCAGAACTGCCATGTCGTTAGTCATGTCACACAACAGGACGGGGGTCAACATCAGGGGTTGTCTGGGGTCGAGTTTGGTTGACAGCGTTGCATCCGCGGCACGTGAGAGGGGATGACCCGGGTCTTCTGTCGGACATAAAACCACTGGTCTTCCTCTTCCTTTTCCCGCTCTCCTCATGTTCTCAACCCTGTCTTGTTCCTAGAGTGTACCCAGGGGAAGGTGGGGTGCCAAGGCATGGAGAACCGAAGGGACGGTAAAACACTGTCAAGGGGACCGGGTGTGCATAGGTAGCTACATACACGAGAGGAACCTGATAGGACACCAGGTCCGGGGACGCCGGGCGGCCGACCTGCGCTGTGCTTAGAAGCTGGTCCCAGAGAACCCCGACGACTGGAGCCCGGCCGTTGAGGGTGGAGGGGTTGGTGGGTTAGGTGAAGAGCGGAACCAGGTCACCGGGCCGGCGGGTTGGTGGGAGAGGGTCGGGACGAAGAGGCCGCCAATCTGGCCGTGGGAGTATGTGTGTGGGTGGGCTCGTCGGGGACGTTGAACCTTAGTGGTGGAGAAAAGAAGGTTTGCTCATTCATTCATCAACCAGACGAGACGATCTGCGGATCCTTGCATGGCCATGCGCGCCTTCGAGTCTGATACAGCGGTACGGGATAATTCTGATGGACATGCGTCGGAACAATCAGAATAGCCGTGAGACGTCCAGTGTCCACGGGAGCGAATGTAGTAGGGAGTGCGAGCCGGTGTGGAGAGGTGTGTGCCTGTCTGGAACGTGGAATCTTCTGTTTGTCTCGCCCTTTGCCGCACAATCGGGATCTCGGTTATGATCCCGCTCTGTTTTCCGAAAATGGACCACGTGGGCGGGTGCTGAAATTGCGGGAGACGAGACAGCTTTCCTGGCCGTGCCGATTCTTGGATCTGGGACTCCGGCGCGAGCTGTTTGCGAAGTTGGAGAAAGTGCGTGGAGAAGCGCAACGTCCGGTAGAGAAAAAGCTCATCTTGGCGCAAATGAAGGCACCTTCCCCGTCGGCCGATCAAGGCATTCCAGCGAATGGTGTCCCGTCGCTCCGTCTTGTTGTCCCACGCCCTACCGTGTCCGCATTCGCTTTCGCACAGGGCAATATTTGGTGCCTTGTCGCCTGAGATTTTTGAGGTCCCTTTTTGTGCCTGGATTCCCGTCCTGTGGGTCCTGTTTGAACTGGCCCGAGCTTCATCCCGGCCTTTGCTGCAGCCGTTGGCCAGACCCGCACGAGATTGTCTTGGCGCCGTACCCGGAGATAATGCAACCGAACCAGGTGCTCCATCTAGTGGTTGAAATCACACGTTTTGGGCCCTGAGAAAGACTCGGTTTCGGGTCCACCTCTGTCGAAAGTTCCCAACATCGTCCTCACTGCAACGCTGAATAATAATTCCTTCGTTTGCACAGCCCGGCGTATCCGGGGCCGCGTCTTTCAAAGACGATGGACTCCTCCTCATGCTCGCTTCATTTTCCTTTCCTTTGTCAGATGCGTTTCTCTTTCCTCTTCGACGGCCTCACTCTTTTGGTCTTGCGGCGTTGCGTTGCCGGTTTTGAAGTCCACCAACGATACGGATATCGCTGACTCAACCCCAGCCCAACAACGGCGAGATTTTGGTCTTTTTTCCTTTCTAAATCAGGCCCACCGGTTCCTTATCTCCACACCCCGTGCCCGATACCGACAGGCTTTCCCCACGTCGGATCCGGTCTCATAGCCAGAAGCTTGTCCAACACAGAGAGTTCGAATTTGGCCGAGAACCCGGGCACGATGAGAGACTTCCAGGACTGTACTGAGGTTTCAATCTACTGTCCCGTTCAGGCCACCACCCTAGGGTACTACCCCAATGAAGGTGTCAACATTTTTGTAGCCCTTGGCTACGGGATAGCCGCCATTGTCACTATTGTCCTAGGCCTATGGAAGCGGACATGGGGCTACTCGATCGCTGTTGCGGCCGGGAGCATTCTTGAGTGTGTTGGTAAGAGACCCCTGAGTTACTATCAAATTATCGTTCTTAGGTCTCAAGACTAATACCCGTTCCAGGCTACATTGGCCGTGCCCTGCTCTCCAAAAACCCCTGGGACAGCGGCGCCTTCAAGATGCAAATCGTCGCCATCATCCTCGGCCCCACCCTCGTCTGCATCGGTCTCTATCTGACCCTCAAGCACGCCGTGACCGCTCTCAACCCATCCCTCAGCCGTGTCCCGCCCCGCGTCTACCCCTTGTTCTTTGTCCCGGCCGACGTCTCCTGCCTCGTCATCCAGGCCATCGGCGGTGGCATTGCCGCCTCGGCAGGTCGCGACAAGTACAACCTCCTCCAGGACGGCAACCGGACGATCATGGCGGGTATCGTGCTGCAGGTGATCGTGCTCGGCGCGTTTGGGGCGATGTGTGGGGATTATCTGTTCCGGGTTGGACGGTACTTCAAAAGCGGTGCTGTTGCGGCCGAGCACCAGAGTGGTGCGGCGTTGTGGGCGAGCAAGAACTTCCGCATCTTCCTGTGGGCGATCGGCGTCGCGTATGCTGGGCTGCTGATCCGTTGTATCTACCGTATTGCCGAGATGGCTGGCGGTTGGGGCAACTACATCATGCAGGACGAGCCGTCGTTTGTGGTGCTCGAGTCCTTTATGGTGCTGATTTCTTGTCTATTGCTGGCTGGGTTCGCGCCGGGGATTTTCTTCCCGCAGATGTCGCACAAGTCTAGGCCGGTGGACGAAGAGAAGCGTGCGCCGCAGACGGAGAGTGATTCTGCGGGCGAAGGGGGCGTCGTTGAGATGGCGCGTGTTTAAAGGGGCAGAGATTTCACGTGGGAGAGTACGCGGGTAAGCATTGTGGCGTGGCATCAGCGATTGCATTTTGGATATGGCTCTGGGTATAACTAGAGGAGATGGATAGACAAGACAAGACAGGGTTTGGGTGTTGTCAATTTCAGGTTAACCATTCCACCTCAATGATCCGTATCCCGTTTACAGATCCCTTTCTTGTACCTTGGTTATTCACTCCAACTTCTCATTCACCCACGTACTCTCATACTTCAACCCACTATCCCGAAACAACCTCGTAATCGGACACCTTCTCTCCACCTCACTAACAAACCTCTCCCACTTCTCCCCCTCCTTCTCCCCATCAACATCCGTCTGCACCCTCACCCTCAAACTAACCGCCTCCCAATTCGGCCCCCCGACATCCTCCTCCCTCAGCCCCTGAACCAACACACCCGTCGGCAACTGCCCATCCACCTCCACATTCCACTTCCCCAGCGTGATCCCGTGGTCCCGCGCGACCACGTGGCCGGTCACTTGGTTGCAGGCGCTCAGGCTGGCGAGGGCGTAGACTACGGGTGAGGGAGCGGAGTCGGCGCCGCCTAGGACGGGGTAGGTGTCTGAGACGAAGGCGTAGGATTTTCCCGGGACCGTGACGTGTTGGAGGGTGCCGGTGCCGGTGCCGGCGACTTGGACGGGGAGGATGTCCGAGCGGGGGGCGGATTGGTGGGGGGTGGAGGAGAAAAGGCGGGTGGTCGGGAGGAGGAAGGGTTTGGCTGCTGTTCCCAGGCGTTGGGTGGTGAGGGTGGTGAGGAGACGGCGAGACATTGTGGTGGGTTGAGTAGGGATATGAGAGATGGGTTGATAATGAGGTGTGAATGTTATTTATTGGAATATGATCTCTGATATCGGCTAGGGATGAGGAACAAAATTCAATAATTAATTGACTCTGTTAATGCTCCAAATTTATATGTTGCTGTTGAGACGAGCTAACTATATTCTCACGACATCTCGTTGCACAATGACGAATCTGGGCGATCTTGGCTACCGCTGCACCTCTCAGCTGAGAGGGGCAATTGTGGGCAACCCACAGTCGAGGATTGGACTGAATGAAGACATGTTAGTCAATGAATTGTAACAGTGCGGGGCTACTGCAACCTCAGGTAAACGCCATTTCTTTGCGTTATTTTGCGAGAGCTAAATCGACCTATGGGCCCATGTTACGTGCAGTTTCGTGCCCAATGATTGTTATCCATTTTTGGGTTTTCCATGCGTGTCTCGTTTTCTGATATTTGCGGCTACAAATATTGCGCCACAACTTTCCCCATATGTACATCCTACTTCCCATCATACCACATTACCCAAGCAGCCCAGCCGCTTAATTAGAAGCCCTGCTTCTCAACCTGCGCCTTCGCCGCAGCAATAGTCGCAGCAGCATTGGGGTCAACAAAGCCGCACCCATTCTTCCCGTTCTGGAACTGCGCTGCCTCGGCCGAGCAGACGCCCACACCGCTTGCATCGGCGCAGCAGGCCGAGCTGCAGTCGGCGTTGTTGACACATCCGCCCGTGATGAACTGTTCGCCGTTGCCGGCGCCCACGCTCTTGGCACCCGCGTTGTTGGGGGTGATGGCCATTGCGGTGAGGGCGACTGGATATGTGTTACTGTTTGTGTGCGACGAAAGAGAAAGGGGGCTCCTTGGGCTGGGGCTGAAGTGATAGGAGTGCCTTACATGCGGAAAGAACAGCGAGAGTGATGCGGACCATTTTGGCGGTAGGGGTGAATATTTATACTTAATTAAATGAATTGATTTAAACTCGAAAAGTACGACACCTGGTCGAGTAGAAATGAACGAGTGGTAATGATGCGAAAAGTTCGAATGATAACACCATCCTCCAAAACGTTGAACAGAGGATAAGATATACTGATCCGGACGCCACACATGAATGAGAGTTCGTCACAAGTCACTAATCGTTCATCGCGGCTCAGTGAGCGATCCTTTCCTCACTCGATCACTGCGACTAATCTTGTCACGGATCTTGCCTGTCAACTTGCTGTTGAAGTTCGAACCAGACGGGTTGTTTTTATCCGGTGTTTAGAATGTTACAGGCCTGCATTTGATTCTTGGATGAGCAGCTTGATCAGTTAGTCATTGCATGCGCATTGTCAGTGGTTGATACAGACTGCTTGGACCGCGCGGTGGTTAATGTGGTTAGGGGGTGTTTGATCAACACCGAGTTAGGACGACAGGGGCTTGGGACGAAAAGATCGGTTGATCTGTGTAACAGGCCTGTTACGTGATACTAAGAACTCACCTATTGTACCAATCCTCATTTACGATCTTCCTTAAACAAGGAAATGGGGCCTTGGGAGCGGCAGGATTTCAATATCCTCGAGCTAATCAATTGATTGAATAATTAATTACGGGAAATCGGGGAAGCAACTTCTCCAGCACAGCAACGGGGTGTAGGCGAGCTTTCAACTCCTGTCCAACGCTTTAAAGACTGATTATGAATGGCTGGCTGGTCGCCTCACAGGCTGTAGCGCCGCAGTTGAGATTACTGCACAGATTTGTGTGCGAAAAAATAGGCTGGGAAGTCCTGCCGATACTTCTAATAGAACTTGACGACACACATGAGCAAATTACGAGCAAATTTTCGGGAACATCAAGTGCCTCGTATTTGATGACAGATAGCTAAGGTAGTGAACGGCGCATTCATGTAGATCCTGAGCGCGACTGAGGACCTCGGCACCGACGTATTTCCAGACAAAATCCAGAACCCATCGATTAAAAGGTCAGCACGCCCGTCAGAGATCAGCAGAGAAGCCCTCCTTTATTCTTTCAACAATGAGCTTACCGTTGACTACGTGTATAGTACCTGGACATTGTCTCGCATTTCCATCATCGGGACTTTCGAGAAAAGCCCGCCCACATCGCTTTACCCAAACCGTGAGCGGGTTTAGAAATAAACTGTTAAAGCATGCTTACAAGTTTTAGAGGACCAAATGTTTTGGGGGTGATCCTGTTACAGCCAGGGTTTCAGGCGTAAAGCAGAAGAGTTGAAACTTCCAACATCTTTCTATTGCACCTTGATCTTTATCTGAGGTCCCTCTGGTCCATGCGAGGTTGGTTAATTGAAGGTGTTGCTTTCCGCAAGAAGGTGCCACCTAAGTGATGGATGGAGCCTTGGGAAAGAATAGGCGGGGCTGGTGAGTTCAAATTGTTTCTTTGTGGTGTTCTCTTCTTTTGGAAAGTGCGTGGTGCTACCAGTAAATTGTAGCACATTTGTAACCTCCATGTTGACTATTTCGTTCGTTTCACACCAACCTCTACACTGTTTGTCCCTCACGCTGGGCGTTGGGGCTGATATTTCACACCAAACGCCCATTCTGAGCCTCTGACCTCTGATTATCGATAGCCCACGATGCCACTCAAAATCGATATTTCCGACACTGCGATTGATCGCGAGGAAGAAGTCCACCAACTTCACATGTGGGGAATCCAAACATCGCTGTGGAAGAACAATTGCATGACATGCGGCCGCGAAACGGACGAAACCCAACGAATTCGGTGCAACTGCGGCGAAGGCGTTTTCTGCAGCGATGACTGCAATACGCGTCTCCCGAGTGCAACCTTCACCCTCTGCTCGACGATCAATATGACACCCCTTAAAGTTCGCCCGAGTGGCAACCACCGACGAGCTGTCGTTTTGCACAACGATGAGCCTCATCTCAGTCTGGTTTGGGCTGAAGTGCGGGATGATCATTTAGTCATTGACCATCCGAGTCTTGATAAATGTTATGGGTACCCTGGCATCGGCGCATCGTGGTTGGACCTGGCCGTGATCAACCCGGCCTGTCCAAACGACGGCAACTTCCGATACCTAGGCCACGGGTTGGTAATGGGTGGGTTATCTGCACAGGTCTTAGTCAGAGCAAAGAGCTAATATGCCACTGTTATGTAGCGTTCTCTTCGACGATGATGGACCCCGATGTCACGATTGACCCGAAATGGCGAAATAAGGCGGTTACAGACATTGCTGGACCGGGATATCGCAACTTGTGGCCAGGCCCTTTGGTCTTCTTCTGCTACGGATATGACATGAGTGACTACGTCAAGGTGGACAATTTAGTGGATCCTGCCGATGGGTCCTCTAGCGGGCCGGAAGTTGGCATGAGCAAACTAGAAATCTGGAATGAGCTGGACTCATTGCGTTGGGAAAAGAATCTCTTTGCGGCAGACGGAGAAGTTGAGGGTTGGGAGCCGGGGCGTGATTTTAACAAGCGCAACGGGCACAAGACATCTGAGAGGGGGGACAACTTTGGTTGGCGGTGGAAAGTCAAGGACGAGGGCACCTCAATGCGCATACTCGATCTCACGCACCGCGACCTCAACGTCGTTTTCGACTATCTCACCGGCTCCCGAATGAATGCTATACCCTGTCTAGACGAAGAGCCCGAGCCTGACTACCAAGCCGTCCTTGTGCAAGACGCCAACCACCCAGGTTACGCCCTAAGCGACCTTTGGTCACAATATAAATCTACAGCTCAAATCGTCGCAAACGCCAACATACGTTCCAGAGCTAATGCCAGCTCAGGTCAAGGCGAAATCGTCAGGTTCTCCTCCGTCGACCTTCCGGCGGGACCTTTGACCCTGCGTCCCATCTTGGGCGCCTTCGCTGTCGGCCTTCGTTGGGTCGTCCATTTCTCCATGGACATTAACCCTCCTTTTCGTGGCAACGTGTCCGGCAAACCACACTTTCCGCTCCTCGACCTGTGCTGGACGATCGAACACCCAGACGACGATTTCAACAGCCCACTCAAACCGACGTTACACATCCCCGCGCACACCTTCGATTCAGCCTTGATCCGGCACTCAGAGGACCAAGTGCCGGTGTCGGTACATCATGTGCGCGCATTGTACAAGTATCTTCGACGCACCGACCCGCGTAAGTGGGCACGTAAGGGCCACAACGGGTTTGAGAATTACTGGGAGGTGTATTCGCGTGTGGAGGTCCGTGATTCACCACCTGGTGTAAAGGTACCTGACCCGTGGGCTGGGGAACGCGAGCTGGACCCGGTCGCGCAGGTACAGAGAAGCGCAGGGGTGGCAGCAGATATTGAAAACGAGGAGAATACGCCAAAGCTCAGATTGAGAGCTGTCGAGAAGGTACTAGCTCACATGTCGCTGCAAGGTCTAGAGGGAGAAACCCCGGAGCGAAAGGCGGGGATTGTAAAGGTGCGAAAGAAGATCTTGAAGGTGATTGCGGGGTACCGGAAACTAGGCATTGGGCAGGGGTATAATTTGGGAAAATAGGGCATTGAAAGGGTTGAGGGGAGGAGTTGAGACTGATACAGCGAATTGTGGCGTGGGCGACGAATTCCACAGGAGCGAAATATACTTTATGTGTGTTCTGTGAAAAATTTGAGTTCGAATCTTGTATGCATTTGGATCTGTGTTTTTGGGATGCTTACTGCGATTAAGAGTTCGGATTCATCAGGGTAACCAAGACAATCGTTGCTTCAGGGTGGTAAGAGATGGGCAAAACCTATCAAAGGTTGCGATACTGATTGACATTTGAAGAAAGACAAACCTTGATTGCGAAGAGAATCGCATCAAGATGGCCAGAGCAAAGTTGTCTGATGTTTTCGCAGGCGAAAAGACTACTGTCATGGCGCAAGGCGTCAATTGTAGCTTCTGAAGGCGATTTGAACCTTCAGATATTGTCCTACGGTCAAGAAAAAAGGGTCTCCCCTTGAACTTGTTCCTTGAAACATGTAACCATGTTCAGTTTCGCTCGAAACAACAAAAAGCGAACCCCTGAAAAAAGTCAACAAACGACCCATTCAGCCCCTGAAAGCACGGGCCAACAAAAACAATAAGGGCCTCCGTTCCACGACGGCCGCTTCTCAGCCCTAGCGCCCGCTGAATAATCACCACCCACCCCTTGACACGGTTACATCCCGAGCGGGCACGTGCGAGAGCAAGATGCGACCCCACATCTTATGTTCCCTGCAGGAGGATGAAGTCAGCGCTCGAATGAGAGGATGGGGGCGGGAAGGGTCCGGAGTGCTCGGCATCGTCAGGACCGGTAGATATTTACGAAAGAGGGAAGGGATATATGAGGCTCGCGGTAGTTTCCTGTTTAAGAACAGCGTTTTTAGTGTAGTGCTGTGTAGACAGCTAGTTCGCTCTTTGATACACAAGACGAAAGCGGCGTTATAAAACAAAATATTGGTGAATTTATTCTCGCCGATGCCCACCTCGCAAAATGGATACATTTACAGCGAGACATACAATGTAGGGTACGGGCTGTTGTGTTCCTAGGCAGGCAAGCGACTGGATCAGGTAGCGAGATCTGTTGGATGGAAAACAACCAACTAGGCCGTCAGTGGCTGGCACATATTGGAGGTTATTCTGAAGCAACATTGTGTCGTCCCTTAGGAGGTAAGCCCCACTCTTTTTAGGTGGCTGTATTGGAGTTGTGCAGGACTTGGAGTTGGCTAAAATGCCAGCCACGATGATGCAGTCGGCAGGGCTCATGCACGATGTCATCGCTCGAGAGTGAAGGCCGATGTGCCGATTCACTTGGTGCTGTCTTGTCTGTTAGCGTGGCGCGAAGACCGGGCGCTGCTTCCAGTGAAACACGAAGACCCCGGCCGGCCAGACACGGGCTGCTTTTTGACAGCTGGCCCGGGGACCCGGGCCACGTCGGCGCAGGATATCTGGCCATGACTTGCACGCCCACAATATTTGCGGCTTCGGGGAGCTCAAGAATTTGGAACGGCACTCTCGAATGGACCAAGGTGTCCGTCACCCGGCTGGGCCGCCGACACCGCCTCGAGCAAACTCAAAAATCAACGTCGCACAAAACGAAGTATCCGGCCCAAGAGCCAGGGCCATCCATGCTTTCCGTACCACCTCATCCTGCATTGTGTGGTTGTTGATTCCTTTTCTAAACGGCTGTTCAATACATGCCTGCTGGGAATGGGCGTCCGGAAACCGGTCGAAAGCGCGGTCAAAGCTGTTGTGTTGGTACTCAGATGGACTGCAGAGAAAAACCACCGGCGGGGCGATGGAAGTGCGGGTCTTTTTTCAAGCATCCAGACCCCCATGATGACGCAATGTAGGTACTACGGATGCCTGAACCCCGCCATCGTCCCGCACCAAGACCGTCACCGCTGATCAGCGCAATTTTGGCACCCCTCCGACGTTTGTGCTTCAACGATTTTTCTCGGTCATGGGTGAGGGTATTATGATGCGGTCGGCTCTTGAGTCATACGTAGAAAAGAATCATTTCTTTTGAGGGCTCGGCAACCGTCGGTGTCAAGGTGATGCGGCGAACCTTCGACGTCGGGATCCTAGTTGAGGCTTGGGGTCCGGATATCAGTATTGGCACTGAAACTGCTAGCTGCGTCGGCGGCGCCACTTCTTTTAACCATAGCAGCGCTGTAGACTTCGGGACCTGAGCCTATATTTTTATCTTGATTTCTTTCCGATCGAACACAGGTAAATCACGCGTAGTTGTCAATGTGAACGCCGCTCCCGGACCGGTTTTCGTTCCCTCAGTTGTTGGCCCCCAGTGGATTGAAAGGGGCGACGTTCAGGTACCCGGCAAGGTGCAGGTGCATCAGCAGCAGACTCGCCAGGTACCCGAACCCGGCAGCTGCGCGATGGCCCGGCAGTACAGTTGTTTTTGCCCAGACCGGGTAGCCCAGGAGCTCAGATAAGTATTCGCACGGCCTGGCTGTCTCCAGGTTTGTGTGGTGCATGGCGGGTCCAAGTCGAGGTCGCGAGGTCGCCTTCGAGCCCGGCTGGTCTGAGTCAGATGCTGCGTTGAGTTGTGCAACCATTACCGCACTCGTGCATTAGGTGACCGCCTGCCCATCATCTTTTGGTGCTTTCTTATGCTCCCAGGTACGATGCCTGGGTGTTGTTTCTGGCAGTGCATATGTCCTTTTGCGGGCTATTGTGGTTTGGATGGACTCGCCTGTTAAGTGAATGTCAGGTATTTTAAGATAGCCCAGCCCAAGGAATTTGCCAGGTCTTGTGATGTTACGAAGTAGGCGCCGGGGAACGCTGGGAACAGCGACTCTTTCAGGAAAACATCCCAGACGCGGGGAAAGGCCCAACCTCTAGGCCGCTAAGCCAGTTTCGGTGTTTTCGCTGCCCCTCCCCGTTTGCTCTCAGGTGCTCCTTCCCGCGCTCACCGAAGACTTTGGCTGTCACTGGGTGGACAAGGTGCAAGCGCCCCCAATCGCCGTTCCTTTTTCCCTTGCCTTTGACCCTGCCAAGATCGCATCCTTCGACCTTCATCCTCGGACCCGACACTTCCATGTCCATCTCCTTCATCACACTTTGCTTTCTCTCTCCCTCGCTCGCGCGGGCTTGTCAGTTCACGAGCTCCCATAGCGAAATTTGCCTAGTCATACATGCGCTTGTTTTTTCTTCTTCTTTTTTACCCCCAACTCACCCTTTTTCGTTCTTTCTTACCGAGCCTGCACTCGGTCTGATCGGGGCCTTTGTCGCATCGGGGCATCACACGAGGCCATCATCCCAGGGATCCGGCGACGGTGGTTGGTGAACTGGACCTGCGCGGTTGTCCCGCAAGGGCGAACCAAAAACAAGCCAGCCAGCCAACGAGGGGCTCTCATGCGGGCTGAGATCTAATCCAGGACACAACGCTGCATATACCCAAGCCGCACTGATCGCAAATTCCAGTTCCACTCGTTGGCCACTGGCTAGGCCCGGCTCCAGACAGACGGGATCAAAGGAGGCCCTTGTTGCTGCTCTTGTGTTTTTGCATTCTTGTCCCGCGGCTGGTCGCATCTGTCCTGCCATTCCCTGCACACACCCTCGCCACACGCCCCTCCTCGACGCCAGCAAAAAGGGCAGAGAGCAGCGAAACACAAACTCTCTTTGCTCTCCCTAAACCCCCCGCCCTGCTGCTCTCCAAATTCCGCGCGGCATCAGAACCTCACCTCCCGTCGAACGAATAAGCTGTCGTATGTTTAACGTTCGACAACTGCAGCGGAGATACACGAGGGAATGCGCCTTCTGTCGATCGACCTCACTTCGATTCAGCCTGTGCCTGTCCCGTATTTGGATCCCCACCACGAGCCCGGAAGACCTGGAGGCTGTGGCTCCATCCGGCGTTGCCATCTTTTTCAGCAGTGCCCGACCAGTGCAACAAACATTTCCCAGCCTCTTCTTTGCCATCTTCACTTCCTTCATTACGCCATATCGACGCGGTCCGAAAAACCTTCGAATGAATCCTCCTGTCGCAAGCGTCTGTTGATTCCGGTTTTGCTTCCCTCGGCCGACTCGACCAGTTCCTGACCCCTGACGTCGACGCAATCATTCCCAGACACCCACCCCCGCACTAACACCCCCTGCAGTGGGCTTGGTCGTCTCAGCCTCGCCAGGCTGCTCGCCCATCATTTATCAACTCCCTTCTCTCTCTTCCTATTGCAGGCACCCCGCGTGACTCTTTTGGACAACACACTCGCCGACGATGGCGGCCGCTTTTCGCCCTGTCAACAACCCGATGCCGACGGATGAATCGGCGCAAGATATCGTCTCAACGCCGATGACACCGCGACCAACGACCGCGCCGGCTCAATCGACGACGACCCAGCCGCAAGATGAGGCCACAACGCCTACTCGGGCCAGCTTCGGAGCCGCCGCATTATCATCGCAAAAGCCGCTGCCAACTTCACCCTTTCCCGACTCGGTGCAAGTACCCGAACCCTCCGCGACGACCCCGAAGAGAGCACATTCGGAACATTCGAGGAGATCCAAGGACTCCGATGACATGGAGATGGATGACTCGGACGGCGAAGAGCACCCTGCCGATGATGGGGCTGGCTCAGATGACGAAAGCGTTAATGGCGATGGGACAAAATCTAAGAAGAAAAAATCCCAGCGATTTTACTGCACCGATTATCCGCCATGTAGTCTGAGTTTCACGAGAAGTGAACACTTGGCACGCCATATCAGGTACGAAGGAAGTGTATCCCATCATTCCCGTAAACTCGTCGCTGACCGCATCGACCTTTGCGCAGAAAGCACACTGGTGAACGCCCTTTCCAATGCCACTGCTCCCGCCGATTTTCGCGTCTCGACAACCTCCGACAACATGCACAAACTGTACACGTGAACGAAGATATCCCGATCGATTCACTTGCCGCGACCGGAACACGGTTCCAGAGACAAATCAGGACGGACAGGGTCCGACAACCCGGAAGAGCGCGGGCATCAACGGCGGGGAGCGTTGCCCCTGGGGGGCGTGGCCACTCCAAGTCACTATCCACATCGAGTATCACAAGCGTGAGCTCGATAGCATCTGGATACAGCGTGAGCGATGCACGCCGTCGCCCTGCGCCACTTGTTATGGCTGACCCACGGTCTCGAACGTCCCTCGAGGCTTATCGCGGTCCGGACGGGCAATATTACAGAGCGCCCTCGCCGGGTGATTTCAGCACACCGACCTCCGCAACGTTCTCCGCCGGCCAAAATAGCCCCCGATGGGGGTCGGTCATGTCCCCAGCCAATTCGCACTCCCGGTCACATAGCATGTACGCAGGGTCGAGAACTCCAAGCCGCCGCCTAAGTGTTCCATCCAGCAACAACCCATTCCAGTCTCCCCACGGCCAAGGGGTTCGCCCTCCTGTTTTTGGCCCGGCTCTCAACTCGCCAAGCGCCGGGCCATTTTCGCCGCAACAAAACAACAGCCTGCTTGGATCGCCCACAATTCCCACATCAACATGGTCTAGGAGAGATTCGACTTCTTCGGGCACAGACGAAGCATGGCGTAGGCGCACCTGGCATCCCGATACCCGCGAATACAATGGGGCAAGTAGACTCAGCCAAGTCATTACACCATCGCAGTTCCCCCCGGACACCGTGACTCTGCCCGCTCCCAATGCGGGAGAGCCCCGGCAGCAGATGAGACTCCCCGGTATTGAGTCCTTTGACGAGTTCACAAGGCTCGCGCCCCCGCCACGCAACCCTTCGCCGATGATGATCGATTCCGAGGCCCGTCGGCCTTCCATCCAGTTTCAAGTGCCTGAGCCACGCATCGAGGACCCTCGAGGTCATCCCACACAATGGGATTCCAACCTCCACCGCGGCCTTAATCGATTGGACATTAACACGCCGCCAAGGGACACAGCGGGAACGTGGGCAAGCGAGGCTACTCAGGCTCTCCACGCTCGGGCCGAGCAAGCTAGGGTCAGGTTTGAGCCAGAGGTGGAGGCCTTGCCTCCGTCACGCGGCCCAATGCCTCCCGCTAGCAGCGCTGGAATGATGGGCCCTCGGCACCAGCATACCGTTTCGGCCCCTGCTTTCAACACTCCGCGTGAAGCCCGTCGTCATGGGTGGTACAATGGACCTGCGAGTGGCCATCCCGCCGGCGAAACTATCCCCGAGGGCCGGCCTCACGTCGACCGCATTGTCCACCCTAATGTCAGTTCCTTTCAAGGGTTCCCGGCCCGAGACCAGCAACAGCCGATTGTCCATCAACAACAACAGGGTCCCCATGGGGAGCGAGTCGAGCGTATGGAACGGATCCCCGAGCGGCCTCCGAATCAGGGAGGAGAACCCGAAGCCATGAAACGGTTGGAGGCCCTGGTTGCCGTGGCCACTGGTCAGGGCTCCGTGGCGACCGCATATTGATTGCTCAACTCATGGCGATCATTTTCTTATTTAACCTCCGAGTTTTCCGCAGATCAGGAGGACACGGACCACGTTCTATTTATTGCATCAGTTCATTTTACTTTCATGGGCGCAACACTCGCTTTTCTTAGTTTAAACCTCGGGAGTTTTCGGGGGCTCTGCACTAACGGCCGCTCACTTCATATGATACCATTTCTTTCATGGGAGAGGTTGGACTGCAATGTCTCCCGGAGTTGAGCTAGACGGGTTTGTTTTTACACGCATCACGGATTCGGCAACGCCGCAGTTTACGACATTTTTCTTCCTCACTTTACGACGACATGACTGTGGAAGCCGGGTGCCGGGCAGCTCCGGGGCTGATTGGAAGGGTTTCTTTTAGTTATCTGCACCTAGTTTGGACATTGGATTTTGGTTTGCATTTTGAGCATTCATCTTGTGACGAGCACGATACGAATCAGGCGATTTTATACAAGACACCGCGACACTAGGTACGACGCTTGAACGTATCGGGCCCCGTCATTTTATGGGCGGCGTTACGCAAACTTTGCCTCCCGTTGTCTTCTTGCCTTAGCTCGCCATCCACCACGCTTATTTTAGGCGAGTACGCGAACACAGCAACCGACGCCCGGTCCTGATTAAGCCAGACCTTTTTCGTCTCGGGGTTTGCAGGAAGGGGGTTAGAGACGGACGGGATATTCCTGCATGGTTCTATTCTATGTAGGCTAGGAAGCTTCGTTGATGCCTTGCTAAAGTCTTGTAAGTCCTTAGCTAAGGCCTTCCCTCCATCAATGGAAGTGGGAACGAAGGATGCGTTTCATCACGACAGATATCCCTGGGGGTGGTCAGATCTAGTAGGCAGGTTGGACAAGTTGGAAAGGAACGATAGTAACGGGTAGCATGGACGGATTTTTGGGTATCTGGGTTTTCTTTTTGGGATTATGGGTTTACTTGTTTGGGTTTTTCTTTTTGGGTTGGTTGTCACTTTTCATCTCGCACGTACACGCTTCTCTCTCCTCCTTTGTCTTGTTCATTCTTCGGGTTTGGTGATATCATGGCTCATAGTTGAAGTTGAATAACTACTGTTGATACCATTTTACTTTGGGGTGTTGCAGTTGGCCTAGCGTCTGATACCGTGATCCTGGTGTTTTGTCATGCAGCGTTGTTGCATTCGGAGGTCAGAATGTCGGTCAGGTTGTCCGTGGTGATGTAGCGTGTGTGTGATCTGAGAAGCAGCGTGGCCAAAGCGGAATTAAGAATGGCTAGGGCAGGATACAGGATGATAGTTCAATTGGCGTTGCTCTAATTCAGTGTATCCAAGAAAACAAAATAACGCAAAAAATTATATTAAAAACGTTATATAACTGCTGTATGGTTCTAAGGCAGTGCAAAGTTTACTACCCGTGATTATGATGAGGTGGTGGTTCATTTTGTCCGCCATGCTGCAGCCGTCCAGAGGAATCTCTCCCGCTATGATACCGTTCCGGTTTCCATGTGCCTGGTTGTGATAGATGCGTCCGCGTTGTGTATCCATCGCCGGACGGTGGATGGTGTGCATGCCTTGACGGGCGTTCTCCCGCGCGGAGGTATACTCAATCTGGTTTCATCCTCGTTTTGTCCAGGCTGTGAGTGGGTATACCTGTTGGAGTATCCTCGATGGGTAACCCGCATGCCGAAGCAGATGACGAAGCAGGTCTGTCAGGCCTGGAAAGTGTCGGAGTGGGAATCTCAGTCTGCTGGCCAGGTTGCTCCGGACCTGGAGCTTGACGCGGGTTTGGGGGCGCCCAGGTCACAGCTCAGCTTGGTTTGCTAGCGGAAAGGCTGCAAGCCTCTCGGTTTGACTTGCCCCTCTCGTAGCCTTGAGCGTGATAAATCGTTAGTTATAGGTCCTCGGTAGACCCTTCAGACATCCAGCATACTCCTAATCTGCTGCGGCGGCTGATTGGTTGATGTCTCCGACTGGCCACCCACGCTCCTCGCTCCGTTGGTATGGCCGCGCGGATCCCGATCCCGCGAGGTTTCTGTGTACGGCGGTGGCGGTGGCCCATCCATCATCAGCTCGGCCCGTCTTTGCGCCGTGGTGTTGGCGCTCGCTGGTGGATTTTGTTGTTGTGTTGATTCGGGGAAGAGAATGCCGGCCACCATTTGTTGAGCGCGTTCTTGGCGTCTTTGTTCGGAGCGGCCGGTGTATGGGGTTAGGGGTGGGCTCCGTACGCCCGGGGAGGATATGGATGAGGGAGACACAGGTGTCATTTCGACGGGGCGGTTTCCGTCGGTGGTGGGATTGCCCACTTCAGCTGCACTAGCCGTGCCGGTGGCCTTGTTGCCGTGGATCTCGCGGACGTTGCGCAGGAGTTGGTCGCGTGTGCTCCCGTTTGTGTCTAGCGTCTCGCCGTTGACACGGCGCCACCATGAGGGCTTGATAGTAATGCCCATTTCGCGGTTAATGGCTTGGTTCCGCACCCGGCGTTGGCGTTGGAGTTCGAGGTCCTCGTTGGGGTTGAGAAAGCCGAAGAGGATCTGAGTGAAGAGGATGAGGAGGGAGGGCGTGTATCCGCCGGGAAAGATAGCGTAGTTAGGGCCGCCGACTCGGAGTGGGCTGTACTCAAAGTAGAATGATACCAGGGCCTGGTAAGCGACAAGGGCGGCAGCTAGAGGGAGGAGGATCAAAAATCGTAAGGGGGCGAAGCGGACAAAGCCGATGATGCGGTTGAAGATGCCCCGGTTGCGCGGGCAGTAGTATTTGATGGAGTGACGTAGAGAGAAACCAGTCACCAGCCAACAGGCGACAAGGAGGAAGGCACCCGCTTTGAAGCGAGCATCTGTGGCTCCCGGGGCGGCTTGTTCGACAGTTTGCTGAGGGTATCTTTGGAGCTCAATGGCGCCCCAGTTTCGAGGAACGATCATAAAGAAGTTCTAAGGGCATTTGATTAGTCACCAAGGTAAGCAGAGAGAGTACCAGCAGAGGGAACATACGAGCCATAAGAAGAGGTAGAACAACAACGGTAGGTAGAACTCAACCCTGGACCGTCTGTCACCATCCCGGAGTGTAAATGGATCCGGGTCAATGAACTGGCGCTCCATCCAGCTTCCCCAATGGCGTACCGCCTCCCAAACCAACGCCATAGCACCCCACTGCATTAAATACCAAAAGAAGCTTGTCAAGATAACGGGCAGCTCCGGCAAGAAGTATCGATCGACGTCCACCGCGACTAGCAAGCTGATGATAGCCGTGGCAGACACAAAAAGAGCCCAATACCATTGCCAGCGCCTTCCGATGCGGTAGAATCGTTTCTCGACGGGAAGATGCAGGGACCCGTGTTTATTGAGACAAACAAGACTCATCACAAGGGCGACGCCAAACAAGACAGCGTATCCAATGCCAATGCCACCGCGAATGCCAATCGGCTCGGTGGGCGACCAGCACCAGGTCGCGTTGATGAAGGTGCCATTGGGAAGGAGGCGGGCCGGTGCGTAGGAGTCAAATGTGAGGAGACACCAGGATGTGTTGGAGAGGGAGCCGTTGGAGTAGAGCGTGTAATTCCAGTGTTTGAGGGTGGTCAGGTTGAGGTGGACATTGTTGATGAGGGTGTCGGTCGCATTGTCGCCCGCCGGGAACGAGAGGGCCTCTCTCGCTGCGAGAAGGGCCATGGTGGGCGGCGATCGAGGTACGAGGACGGTCGGGGCTGAGGCTCAGTGGAATGGGACTCGACAAAACTCGCGGGACGTCGAGATCAGTGGATAAATGTCGTCGGGGTCTCGAGCAATCGGGGTATTAATTCGGCAATTGGATGGCGCGCAGCCTACGCGACCAGGTCAACACATCGCTGACGACGATTAAGGGCTCCGAGGCATTTGTCGGTCTTGGATGCGGAGGACTCGACGCTTGGGCTCGCGTGGAGGAAGTAAAATCAAGCCGAGACGCGAATGCAATTGGCGAGTCGTTTCGTTGCTTGCAGCGATGAGCCGCGAAACTTCCGCTGGTTCCGGAAAGTTTAATCGCTCAAGTGGGTCTCGAACTGCCGTGGGCTGCTGGAAATGGACGGGAACACCAGTAACAATACGAAATACGATCCAGCGAACATTGCTAAACGAACTACGGAGTATGGGTGTGGTTCTTACATATAGTACTTAATCATTTCTAGCAGCTTGAAGCCTTGATCCCTAGCAACCTATTAAGGGTTATCTCCCCCGATTCCACGTTTCTTGCGAACTCTTTGCTTGCGGTTGCGTTAGTATTGCCGTTTCTAGAAATACAGGCGGAGACGCTGGAAGAGGAGCAATGACCTCACCAGGAGCTGCACCCCCAGGGCCCAGTGTCAGCTGGCTCACGGGCTTGCGGGGCAGAGCCGGCCGAGCTGCAGGTGCTTTCAGCCCCACCAAAATTTCCAGGGTCAGGGTTCCCGAGCGCAGGGGTCGCATCTTGAGCTTCCTTCAATTTGGCCTCAACATCGAGCTCGATTTGGGACATCACGAGTCCCAATCCAACACCAACTCCCTTTCTCGCCCACCACCCTAACGCAACCAAATAACCAATGTCACCATTACCGCAATGAGCGACCCATTGCCCCCCGGGGGCCCCCTACCCACCGTCACCGACCCAACAATCCCCTCCAACCCAACCTTAAGTGCGGACAACCCTAACAACAACAACGACAACACCGAACCCTCCTACATCGACTACGAATCCTTCCTCGACCCCTCCTTCGCCCCCTCCTCCTTCGCCAACACCCTCGTCCACGCAACCAACAACCCCTCCGACACCCCCCTCGACCTCTCCACCCCGCTCTCCCGCGTCCTCTTCGACATCCAAGAAATCGACTCCCACATCGACCTGCTCACCACCCGCTCCGCCCTCCCCTTACTCGTCCACACCCAAACCCACGCCGAAGCCAGCGGTAATGTGCTCACGCGTTTACAGGCGCAGATCACGGCGCTGAATGAGAGTTATGCGCAGTTGGAGCGGGAGGTGAGCAGTAAACATGCTGAGGCGGACCAGGTACGGACGGTCGCGACGAGGTTGTGGAGCGCGTTAAGGTTGGCGAGGGCGGTTGGGAGGGTGGTGCAGTTGGGAAGGCAGCTGGAAGCGCAGTATGCTGAGTTTTCTGCGCCTGCGTCCGGGACAACATCTCCTGGTTTGAGCTTACGCGGTCGCGGGGAGGACCACCGCGCGCTGGTGCGGTGTGCGCATACGCTGCTGGCGCTGGGGGAGATCTTCTTGGGGTCGAGCACACCCGGTGCGGAGGGGTATGGGTTGGATCGGGTGGTGGTGGTGCGGACGTTGCGGGAGGGGGTTGTGGGCCCTGTGGATAGGGCTGTGAAGGAAGCTGCGGGACGGGCGGTGCGGGAGTTTTCGATGGGGATGGCGGGGGGTGGGGGGAGTAGTAGCTCTGGCGCGGGAGCGGCGGCTACGGCTGCGACGTTTGCACAGTCCGAGGAGGTCAGGGCAAGGACGGTGTCGGCGTTGACGACGCTGTATTTGCTGAGTCCGGTGCCGGTTTCTGTGGGTGGGAAGGGGAGTGCGGTTGCTGCTGAGCGGTGGACGCCGAGTCTGATGTTGCAGGCGCTGGAAACGTATTTGAAGTCGTCGCTGCAGAGTAGTATCGCGGGACTGTCCCGGGCGCTGGCCACGCTGCCTAGCTTGGACCGGACGCTTGCGGAGGTGAGCGCGCGGTGTCAGAATGTCGTGGCACTTGAGGCCGTGTTAGAGGGGACAAAGGCACCTGCGCATCCTCTCTTGCAGCAGTTACAGCAGCAACAACACCAAGGCAAACATTCGGATCAGGCAGCCGCCGGAGGAGGAAATATGTTACAGCCACTACTCGCCTATCTAGAAACTGGGTCTTTAGCGAGTTACTTTTGGCGGACGATGGCGAGCAACATGGGGCCTCGGGTGCAGGATATCATGGCTAAGGGCGGTGTATCTGCGCGGACCCTACGGTCGAACCGACAAGGTGTGGGGGAGGCCATCAAGGAGTGTGTTGCGAGGGGGAGTCAATTGCCCAGTGCTGTGGCGGCGGCTGCTAAGGGCAAGGGGAGAAGCGCTGAATCAGAGGGCAAGGAACGACAATGGGAACGGGAAGTGGCTGTTATGGTGGGGAGTATAGTCAACAACCTGGGAAGATGAACTGTAGAGCGTGTTGGAATTTCAAATTGTTAATAAAAGAGCAAAAGGTTCCGGGCTGATACCCGGGAAGGAGCCTCAAAAAGAAAAAGTGCAAAAAAGTGACACAAACGGGCCTCGAAAAAGAGAGCTGTGGTCAGCCGCCCCCCAAGGGAGCCTTTTCACCCTGGGAGGGGACCGACTAGGTACACAGCTTAACTACTACACTACCCACAGGTGTGATCCTCGTGATTTGCTTTGTTGTTGGAAACTGGCACCCGGACCTGCCTTATATACCTTACCACCTCTGGGGTTGACGCAGTCACGGCTCCTCCACTCTCCCCCAGCAATTCCCCTTCTTGCCCAACCTTCTCCCCGCTACTGCGTGCTACTTTTTCCTTCCATCATTCCCATTTCGGTGTACTTGGTGTTTGCATTTGCGATTTGCCGGACTACAAGGCAGTATATAGGGACCCTCTCCTCTATATTGAACTTCAGAGTCCGTTGTTCTAATAGGCCTAGATCTTCTATATTAATCAGATCGGGTCTCTCGGCTAGGGTAGAACTCGCTTATTCGAGTTGTCGAAGATTATGTCCGTTAATCTCTGATGTTCCCGTGGCCCGCCCCTGAGTTTGACCGATGTCGAGATCCTGTACGTGACACGATGGAAGGCGTTTGCAAAAATATAACGGCCAAGATGCGGTGCTCGAATGCCAAGTGAAGTTTCTCCAGAAGCGCAGGATATGTTCTCAAGCCGAAATTGGACATGACTTTATGATACCTACATATTTTTGGTCTGTCTGTTTTTACCTTCACTTCCCCCGCTGAGACCTCTTCGTAGCTAACTATTTAACTATCACAAAGGCTCAGTATCAATATCCCTTACACAGCAGTAGATTACCCCACCCTTAATGGCATGCCGCTTGTCACCAATCGCGGTTCTCAGGTGTTACACACTCCAACGTATTTCCCCGCATCGGCATTCTCTCAAACCCCAAATCTGCGGAGTCGTCGGGCGTAAATAAATGGACGAGGCTACGCTCTGGGAAATAGCCATGTACCACAAGATTTGAAGAGGGGTTCATCTTTGTGCTGAAAGCCTCGAGATAACTTCACTCGTCAAACATCTAGCCATCAATGTGGGTATTAGAGGATTCTCACTTACTTGACCTACCTCACACATTTGTCACCCGCTCAGTACTTCCAATCGAATAATTAAGCCCCATCTTCGACAACCTCGCCAGCCCATCATCATGCCCGAACCCACCCCCGAAAAACGCCCCTTTTCCAAAATCCTAATAGTAGGCGCCGGCCCCTCAGGCCTCCTCCTAGCCCTGCTCCTCTCCAAACACGGCATCCCAACGCACATCCTCGAAGCCGCCTCCCACCTCGACCCCCAACCGCGCGCAGCACACTACGGTGCACCGGCCATCCCTGAGTTTTATAGGGCTGGTATTATTGAGAAGATGGCTGAGCGTGGCGGGTTGGTGTTGGGGGGGATGTGTTGGCGGTATCCGCAGGCAGATGGGGAGGAGGAGGAGGGGAAGGCTGGGTATGAGGAGCATGGGATTGTGGCGGGGTTTGATGCGGGGCAGGTGATGAGGGAGGTCGAGGTCGAGTTGGATGGGGGGAAGAAGAAGATGGATTTGAGGACGCACTGTTTAGCCTTGCAAGAGTTGGATCAGTTGATGTTGGAGGAGGTTACGGAACGGTATGGAGGGACAGTGGCGTGGGAGCATCGGGTTGTTGGGGTGGGTCAGGATGATGAGGGGGCGTGGTGTGAGGTGGAGGTTGGGGAGAGTAAAGAGAAGAAAGTGGTGAGGGGGGATTATGTGGTGGGTTGTGATGGGGCGAATAGTGCGGTTAGGAGGGCTTTGTTTGGAGAGGAGTTTCCGGGGTTTACGTGGGATGCGCAGATTATTGCTACGAATGTGAGTTGGAGAGAGCAAAGAGAGGAGAGAGGGGAGAGAAAGGACGTACTAGACGAGTGGCTGATATCTGTGCTAGACGTACTACCCCTTCGAAAAGTATGGCTGGTGGGATGCCAACTTCATCATCCACCCCGAGCACTTCTTTGTAAGTCATAACCCCTACGATCCCTCTCCTTCTCATCTCCCCCACTTTTCACTAATAAAGGCACAACAAAAAACAAAAAAGATGGCCGCCAAACTCACCTCCACCGGCCTCTACCGCATAACCTACGGCGAGACCCCCAATCTCACCCATTCCCAATACCTCTCCCGCCAACCGCACAAATTCCACACCATCCTCCCCGGCCACCCCCTACCCTCCGACTACCAAACCATCAACTTCTCCCCCTACCGTATGCACCAACGCTGCGCGCCCAAATTCCGCGTCGGCCGCGTCCTCCTCGCCGCCGACGCCGCCCACCTGTGCAATCCCTGGGGCGGATTAGGTATCACGGGGGGGTTTGTCGATGTCGGTGGATTGTATGAGTGCCTGTCAGGGATCTGGGACGGGAAGGCGGATGAGGGGATCTTGGAGGTGTACTCGGAGAAGAGGATTGAGAAGTGGAAGACGATTATTGATCCGATTTCGCAGGAGAATTTCCGGAGGGTGTCGGATCGGGAGCCGGGGACGAGGTTGGAGAGGGACGGGTTTTTGCAGTTGTTGAAAAGGGGGGAGACGGATCAGGTGTTGTTGAAGGAGTTGTTGATGGGGCCGATGGAAGTGCGGTATGACTTTACGCAGCATTATCATGATGCGGGGAAGAAGTGAGGGTGTTGGCAGTAACGAATCTGATTCTCAGCTGGGGTTTGCCAGGAATTCCGTGACTTGCTACGAATGTGTACCCAGCGAAGGATGCATTGCCTAAGGTTAAATATCACGGGAGCACTTGGCACAGGGAATAAATAGTATCAGTGTGTGATCATGAATGTCCCCTTCAACAAGGACTCGGTATCTAAAAAATGTCAACTGTATGGTGCAAAATCCCACTACCCCTAAACCCCAAACGCCAACTGTTCAGCATGCAAAGCCAAACCCTCCAGACATTCCCAATTTGATCATGATATAACGCCGCTAAAGCATGCCCACCCAACCAAAACTCAACCAACCCACCCCATTCATACAAAATTGTGTTCCCTTACTGGCTCCGCCCCATCAGCAGGCCGCCCTCCTGCGCCATGATACCCAAAGTCCTGCCGATATGCCGGTGGCTGCATGCCATCCATCCCCGGAGGAGTATGCCTCCCATGGCTGCTCGCCACCCCAATATCGCTCTCATCCCCGCCAGCACCCCCATACGGTCCAGCGTGGGGCCCCTGTTGGCCATTGAATGTGGGTGTGTACTGCGGCTGGGGATAATGTTGGCCATCTTCCCTAATCCAATCCCTTTCGTCTGCGGGGCCCTCGCCTTCCTCCATCGCACTTTGCAAATGAGTCTTGCGTCGCTCCGCCTGCTCCTCCAGCAAGATCACCTTGATCTTGCGCATCTTCCATCCAATATACACGGCCATGACGATGGTCACGGCAAAGGCGACGCCGAAAACGATGTTCTTGGCCGAGCCGTCGGGCTGTGATTGGAGAAGGAGCACGCCGAGGTAGACGAGGAAGATCTGTTTCGGTAACGTGAGGGCTGTGGCGATGGTGAAGGACCAGAAGTTAACGCCGCAAGTCGAGAACACGGCGGTGGAGAAGTGGGATGGGATGGCAGAGAAACGGATGAGGAGGACGATCTAAAAGAGAGGGGAACAAAGGTTAGCCTTAGGTCTGTCTGGCTAGTAGAGGAAACGGGGAGCATACCCAGAAACCACCGTCACGAGTAATGCGCGCAAGGGCGCCGTAGTTAAGGTTCGTTCGTTCCAGTTTCTCAGCCTTCTTGCGAAAAAACCACTGGAAAGCAAACCAGGTACCAACTGCGCACTCTGTCAGTCTTGTTGTGTCCAACCCCACCGTCGGTCCGCTTGCTAGACTTACGCTCGCCAAGAAATGTTCCTGCTGCAACAATGCCAAAGCCGATCCACAGCCCATAGATAACACCACAGAGAAGCGCAATTATTTCGTGGCCGAAGAGCGGCGGGAACGAGATGATGATCAGGATGGCGATTGGGATTAACCACCCTGCGGGGAGGTCGCGAACTTTCTCAGCCCATGGACGGAGGTGCTGTGTGTTGTCGCTGGTTAGCGTCCATGTGGTGAATGGCGGGGGAATCGGTCCAGATCAGCTTACCGCAACGACCTCGTCATGTTTGATCGTGATAATGATAGTCAAAACGATCGTAATAAGGAGGATAATCCACAGCACTATTAGGTGAGGTTCGATGGTTAGGGTGCCCTGTGCTCTGCGTTCCGCGCGCGAGGTTTCTACAGCACATACCGAGATATTTGGGTGCCAGGAATAACCTCTTCCAGTTCACGGGCTGGTAATCTGTATCTGTCGGCGCTTCTTTCCCCCTCTTGATCTTCCGAGGCTTCATTTCGATGTTGTCGGCGCTCGCCATGGCGGCTGATGATTCCACTTGTCCTGGATTATTCGTCTACCGGTAATACGTCGAGAAATAAGCTCCGCGGCGGTCGAACGAGTGTAGTTGGCGTCTAAAACGACGTTGATTGTGTGTCCTATGTCCTCGAACTGAAAGATATCGAAATCAATTTTGAGGGGCACGCCACAAAGAAAAGGGGACCAATCCGACCCCCGGGAGGCCCCAGCTGCTCGATCGAACCGCCGGGACACGCAGCGAGGCAGTGCAGCAGGAAAGTGGCACCGCTTCAGATTGCAGGCGCGTGGTGGCTGCGCTTGTCGCGTCAGCCAAGTGTGGACAGTGGGTTAGCAAAAGCTTGTTTCCTTGTCCGCAGGCCTGGGGGTCAGGGGCCGAGCGGCCACCAACAGGGCCGTCAACCACTGGTCATTGGGCCACCAACACGCTGGGGAACCGTGAAGCGCCCGGCTCTTGCGACAACTCCCGGTGAGCCGCTCGCATGTGTCAGCATCCTGACACACGTCCGATTTTCTCCAAAACGGGAAATACCTGCAGGGCGATGATATGCACCTTCATCGCCTCACCAGAAATACAGTCCCTCACCTGAACTTCCTTCTTCGTGTAAAAATCACAAAGCCCCAAATCCCAGGTGACATCGCCCCTCACCAACAGCATCGCCATGCATATACACGTATACTCTGTACCTGCATTTTCCTCGAACGGCAAACCTCGTGCAGCGGGGAGTGTTAAATGCGAGATGGTGGGCTGAGACCAAGTTCCTACGATCGACATTTGTTTGGGCATTTTAAGAGACCGCCCATGACCTTGTCGGACCTTGGCGTTTTTCCAGGCTTGAAACCCATGCGGTTCCGGGCCTGGACGAGGACGAAAAAAAGTTGGTCATTTGCTCGGGTGTTTCGCACACAGACAAAAAGAGACGGGCAGAGCGAGTGAGGAATGAGGCTCTGTTGAAAAGATGGGTTAATGGTGGGGGAATGGTGCTAGCGGATGACCCTGTTTCGCCCTACGAGGTTAAAAACCTTGTGGCCCCGCATGTTGTTGTCTGCAAGTCAAATTGGTTGTAAAGGTTCTACCGTAGTCAGCCGGCCGAAGTTGGGCGCCTGACAATCGCGAAGGAGAAGAAAAGAAGCTTTATCCCAACCAGCCAAGCAAGAATGGGAGATCGGAAGCTCGCGGTGGATCCGCCCAGCCTTTGGTCACGTGCAAGCATCTGCACAGTGAAAATTTGCAGACGTGCACAGACCACATCCACCGAGTATTTAAGCGCATCGAGGCGGCCAGCTTTTGGATTTTTCTTTTCTCTTTTTTTTCTTCATGTCGACAATACTTCAGAGAATCATTTCTATAGTATTCGTCCTCTTTTGTGTTCCCTAAAGGAGCCACAGATCCAACCCGGGTTGATGAACGATATCCTCGGTACCCTACAGTGAGATCCTTTTTTTACTCTCGACCTGCCTGCAAAGGTGGCGGTCGCTGGCTCTCGTGGCTGCGACTGTATAGAGAGTGGCGATGATCTGTACCCCGATTTTCTCGAGGTCTTGCCTTTGGGCGCTCGGGCGGGGTGGGTATCGATGGAAGTCTGACCGGCTTTTTTCCCTCTTTTCGTTGCGTTCTCAGGCTGAGCTTGGGATGTGAGGAAGAGCAGATGGGAAACGGCGTTTGCGAGATGTTGCAAAGATTTTCTGTGGGGCTTGGCTGTGGATGTCTCGACAATTCCACACCCCACAGCCCAACACTACGACAACCGCTTCACATTGGGATCGTCATGCGCCAGCTCTCAATCCAAACATTGGCAATTCACCCAGGACGTAACTCAATGGATATGGTTAAGCATGGACGGGCCGTCTCTAGAAATCATCACCCCACCTTTGCTGGCATGCAGCCCCAATATCGCTCTCAGGGCATGGTTGTTGCCTGTCAGCATGTTATCTTCACTGTGCACCCGAACGTCGGCACATCTCCATGTAACAAACTCATCGCATTCGACTGCCTGAACTAACTCAATGCGTGCGTATAAATCTTCGCCTTGCTCATCAACCCGCCATCAAACTCTGTCTCCCAACGAGACTATGTCATAATGCAACGCGGGGAAAGCAAAACAGAAACAACTCCTCATCGCAACCATAACCATTCCCCCCCCTCGGTCAGCCGACCACCATCCCATTTTCACTGGCTGTTACCAGAACCCTCGACGCTACCGTCAACATCGCTGAGCTCACCACTGCCGCTCTCAACCCCATTTTGACCATCGCTACCCTCCGCAACACCAGCCTGGCCGTTCCCATTCTGGCCAACCTCCGCATCAGAACTATCACCAACGCGAATACCATGAGCAGCAAACCGAGCAGCCCTCTCAGCAGCACGCTCACGGCGAGTCAGACGGTGGCGCGACGCACGAAGAGATGGACTCTCGCGTCGGTGACGGTTGTTGTCGGGCCGCAGGGACGGCAGGGAGTCGGGGACAGCCGGCGAGGATGACGAGTCCGGGGGCGTTAGGGGGCGGAGACCCGGGAGACGACGGTTGCCGCTGCCCTGCTGGTTGTGGCCGTTGTTGTTGTGGTGGTGGTTGTTACCCAAGGGGGAGGACGGGGTATCCGGCATGACGGGCAGAGCCGGTTCGATGGGCTGGGCCGGGTAGTGTTCTTGGTCCTGCTGCGGGAGTTCAGGCACATCGGGGAGGCCGGTGAAGTCTTCGAGCTGCGGGACCTCTGGGCCTTGGTCAAGCTGTTGAACGGTCTGGGCCGGCTGCTGGTGTCGGCGGGCTCGGCGGCGGCGTCTGGTCCGGGACCGGGCAGGCTGCTGCGGGCGCTCGTGGATCTCGCAGAGCGCCGGGATGCGGAAGCGCTCCAGGAGATGGCGGATCTCGCAGTCGTCGGTGCCGTAGTGGTCGCAGTAGCGAGCCGGGATGGTGCCGTGGATGCAGCCACAGGCCCAGAGGACGCGCTTAACCCAGCACATCTTGGATGGTGGTTTCGGAGCTATGGAGCCTTGGGGCCATGGTCAGAGGTCAGGATATGGCTGGGGATTTCAGGGGGTGTCGAGGGTTTGGAGTTGAGCTGAGGAGGAATAGGGGGAGTGGCTTGCTTACTTTATATGCTTCAGTGTTGAGCTAGTGTCGTTGAGTCTCTCTTGAGGTGAGCCTGTCGTTGCTTGGTGCAAGTTCGTTCGTGAAGGAAGTTGTTGGATGCGAGGTTCGGGGAATGGTGTTGGGTGACATCTTGCCAATATATAGTTACCCGCGAACTGAGAAGTTCCTTCTGCGCCTTCTCCGATCTACGCGTCGTAACAACAGGTGTCGTTTCTATTGTTCACAACTTCAGATTCTTCTCGGGTCTCCGCCTTTTACACAACAGGTGTCGCTTCTATTGTTCACGACTTCTGCCGCACCTCCAGTCTCCGCATCCTCAACGACAGGTGTCGTTCTTCATTGTTCACGACTTCTACTCCTTCTCTGTTCTCCGCTCCCTAAACGACAAGTGTCGTTTTTTATTGTTCATGACTATGGTCCCATTCAGGGGCGCCGTTCAAGCCGCCTTTGTTGGCGGCGCCGAATAAGGGCTGGTCATCATCCTAATGTTCACGCCCTTGCACAAGCGACGGGGATCCGCCAACCGCCCAAAATGGCCGCATACTTTCGACGATACGTTCAGCTAAATAGCACGAGCTGCGGCGAAGGTGTCATCAACGCAGAGGTTGGTTTTCATAATGCCGTTTGGTGTCGGTACGGTCATTGTTTGCTGTCGTGTCACTCCCCCAAGTCAAGTTCCCACACCTCACCAGGTGTCGATTTTGGCACTATTTGATCCCAAGAGAAGAAGTCACACATCGATGAAGCCCGGATTATCTTGCACTCGGGGGCATTATCAAGAAAATGTCCTGGGTGATGGCCGTTGGAGCTTTGCGAGCCCGCTCACCAAACGGGAATAAACTACGGTAGCTTCCGAAATTAGCCAGTTGAAGGATCACCCGGAGCCTGCGATCTAACGTCTCGGACAGTTTGCCGGGAGCAACAGCCCGGGTATGGATGCTGCGTCACCTGATCTTCAGGAACACCTGGGTGGTTCGAAAGAATTGATGGCAGACAGCTCGGTATTGGGGAGGATAGGACTCTGAGGAGGCCGGGGACGGGCAAGGGCAGCCGCCTGTGATTTTCTCCATGGCCGGCCTCCCAGGTGTACCTACATGTACCTAGGTGATCATGTACATCACACCGTTCGCTGCGCTTGCAGGCCATTCCCGGCAAGCCCCGAGTTCGCCCTTCTCTCAACCTTCAACCGGCCGTCCGGCCGCCTCGTTTTCCTGGGCCCCTCTCCGTCCACCCAGAGCCGGATCGCCATCGGTGTCATCAAAGGCAGGCCTTGTTGAATAGGGTGTCATCCTTGCCGAGGGCCGCCATCCCAGTCGAGGGCCAAGTGTCCCGGCAGAGTTCGCGGTAGAACTCCTGCACGTGCGGCCAAACGCATGCCCGATCCTTGCCCTGGATGGCGCGCTGCAGCATGGGCAGCACGGTTTCGAGGTAATACCGCCGGGGACCGTCCACCAGCAGCAGGGTTGGCAGATATGGTCACCGCGGCCGCGTAATTCTTGTTCAGGCCCTCGCCATAATCGCCCTGGTGGCTCGCCTGTTCCAGCAGCTCGGTATGGCGTTTGTCAACCATCTGTTTCACCTCTTGGTACCAACCATTCGCCGGCCAACGAGATTTCTCCGGGGGTAAGAACGGCCGCTTGCCCGGGTCCAAGTCGAGCAGCTCGAATGCGGTGATGTGATCTTGAGGGTACTTGGCCAGCATCCGCAGGCGGCCATGGGCGTTGCACACGGCCTGCATGTCGTCTGACGTGGCGGCAGGTGGCCGGTGTGGGATTGCGGGCTCGACTGTCTTCGCTCCACGAACTAACCAACGGGCGATGGAGGTTCCTAGCACCACCACCAGGAGCGCGACAACGGCCCACGCGATTCGGCTGAAGAGGGAGTTAGCGACGAGGGCGGGACGGGTTGCAGCGGCCAAAGCTAGATGGGACTCGCCTGGCAAACGCCCTAAGGCGGGAAGGCGGAGGGCAGAAAGGCGGAGGGCAGAAAGGCGGAGGGCAGAAAGGCGGAGGGCTGGGTGGCCGCTTGGACTGCCGTCGCGTTCTCGGGACCATGATGATGGGTTACGGGTGATGGGTGACGATTCAGTAGTTTTCCTGAACTGTGTAGGTACGAAGCCAAAGCGGAAGCGGAAGTGGTTGTTTCGCGGAGCAGCAAGTTCGGGGGGGGAGACTGGCAGAGAGCTGCTGGTCGCTAAGTGTGTCTGGGTCCGTTTGCTTTAGTAAAGTCTCAGGCCACCACTCGCCAGGCAGACGGCAACGACACCGCCATCTTTTTGCAATGGCAACATGGGCAGCATATGGCGACCGCGGTCACCAGACCAGCTTCTCAGAAATGACCGGCGACCACCCAAGCAAGACCAGTGGACAGCGTTGGCCGCTACGGTTGTCAACATGAGACAGCCGGGACATGTCAGAAACTGCCCAAACCCCCTTCCACCTCCTTCCCCTTCTTTCCTGTTCTACGCTCGCTTTCTAAGCCGCGAGGAGAGGGCCGCCGCATGGCCCCTTTCGTTGAGACGCACGACGTCCTCTGGGACCATTTGGGCCTGGACAATGGCAATGGCTTTGTCCACGACGCTTTGGCTTCCTCTCCGTGTTCGTGTCCACCTCATCTATGGCCAAGACAAACCGGAAGTTTCTGTGCCCTTCTCGCTTTGTGACGGACGGCGTATAACTAACCGTGTGCTCTGAGTTCCCGCTCTCTTCCCTCAAGCTGGCCATAATCCTGAGCTCCAGCAGCTCCACACATTTCAGACCTCACGCTACTCACCGCCAACCACTTTCGCTTCTGCAGCCTCCCGTCCTCTACCAGAGCGGCCGTCACTATCAAATCGGAACAGAGCATGAACTCAGCGGAACAAACCGGACCGCAGCCACAGCGCGAGCAAACGACACCAGCAGTAGCCGGGCCCACTCGCGCGGCACACCGTCCTGACCTGCAACAACAAGTTCCCGCCACCATGTGGGCCGCAATATGCGATGGCGTTTGCATGTTCTGGGCCGGCTTCTTGCTCGTCTGGCGCGGGCTGCGGCGGGCCTACGCGATCACGCTCTGGACGGCTCTCGCGTACGTCTTCTGCGCTGGCGTCTTCATCCTCGTCATAGCCTGGCTCCTGGCGTTCCTGGGGAGCGCCACGGCACCGGTTTTCGGCTTCTTCCGCACCGCCCTGGGCTCCATGAGCCGGTGGTGGAGCTGGTCTCAGCCGTCTGAGCCGTCGACGAGCCCTGCCAGCACCCTCGCCACGGCGACCCCTGCGGTATCCGGCCTGTCGACGGGCGTGACGGCGTGCGGCCGGTTTCTGGCGACGTAGGCTGCCGCGTTGGCGGCCGCCTCGGCATCTGCGACAGCCGTCGCCGCGGTTGCAACCGCGGCCTTCTCCGGGTTAGCAGGCGACGGCCGGGGGGGTGAGCGGGTTGTCCGAGAGGACTGATCGGGGATTGCATCGAATGCTAGCAGGCTGAGCACTGCCATTGTCAACCGGTTTTACGCCGAGCTACGGTGCCAGCGTGCGGTTCTTGACCGCGCCAGTCGCATCACCGAAAGCGTAGCAGATAGGCTCGACCAGCTGGGCGGGACGGGTGGCGGAGAGAAGCGGACGTCCAGCCTCTTGGAGCGTCTTGGAGCCATCTTCCCAGGCCCTGGGCGGGAGCTGGCAAGGCTCCAGGGGACCTGCCTGCGCGAGCTCCGGTCCGTATCTCAGCTCCTCGGGGAGGCCCGGTTGGCGCACGCTCGTTTCCACGCACGACTCGGCAACTTCACAGACACTCAACTGGAAGCTCTTAACGGGATGCCAAGACCTTCAACCGGCTGGGCCGGGACTCACGGGCCGGGTGTATTCTTTCAAGCGGCCATCCATCGTCTGAACGCATTGGTTGACGCCGACTCGGGATCCGACATAGACGGCTCGGAGCTGTTGGCGAAGATCGCCTCAGACCCCGAGCTGGCCTCGTTTATCCGGGACCTTCACACGGCCCAGGGCGCGGGCAGCGTGTTCAGCTGCGTGTTTCTGAACGCCATCAAGAAGCTCGATGGACTGGCCACGAAGCTGGGGGACGAGAGTGTCTGGGCAGAGGAATACCTGGAGCGCTCGCTTGCTACCCTTGAGGACAGCCTGTCTCTGCACCAGGCCCTCACGCTCTCGGAGCTCGAAACTTATGTGCAGGGCCTCTCGGAGGTGACTATTGAGTGGCGCGACAAGCTCTGGGAACTGTATTATGAGATACCTTAGCCTCGCTAGTGGTGGGCCGGGCTGCTTTCTGTTTCTCTCGTCCGTTTTCCTTGCGTCGGGTTCAAGGTTCGGTCGCACGCTGTGGCCATAAAAATCGGCGCACCACGAAACAACCTTAAGCCCATTCCATTAGCGTTCTGTCAAATCTCAACAGATTTTGATCATTGTACCTGTAATACCTGCCTAGGGGTTTGGTGATTTTATGGGCTTATTTTGGAGACTTGATATTTCAATTTGCAATGTTGGTAACGTGGTGTGTTTTTGGTTGTTTTTGTTACTTTAATACAAAAGTGGGGCATCGAGGCATTGTGGTATGCCGATTATTTTGGCCAGAGCGTAGGTAGGTGGGTTGTGCACCTGTAGCTCAGGTATTCATTGATCGTTCCATCTCTTTCGCACTTGGGTTCATTGCCGTTTTCGGAAACAGGCGGCTGTTTGCTGGGTCCGCCGTGCCACTCCTTTGTACCAGATCCGGTCAGGAGAAACAGGCAATTTCGACTTTCCGCCTCTCTTTGTCTGGCGCGACGGACGCTGCCTGGGCCTGCTCGCCTAGGTCTGTCCCCCCCAGGACCAATGGTTGTTGTATTAATTACCTCTCAACCTCAGCTTTCCCAGTCCAACTGCACTTTACGGCAACCGTTGCTCCTCGCCTCTCCCTCTCCCTTTCAGACTGGCTGCCAATCCTCGTATTTCGGCCACCATCCCACCATCTCTGTCTTTCACCAGGCCCTCAAGACGCTCAAGTTCTCAACCTGCGTCCTCTTGCCTTTGCCGTGCCCGATCCGTCCCAGCCGGGCCATCAACGCGCTGAACGCCCCTAAAGCCAAAAGTCCAAGCCCAGCATTCACGCCCACGATTCAGATGCCTTCCCCGGACTCGACCCGGCCCCTCCGCCGGAGCAGTCGACGTCGCGGTCGTTCTCGTGCTCACGGTAGTAGCGACGCCGGCGACGATATAGGCGGCATTCTTAGTTGTCTCAGCTGTCCTGACCCCGAGCTGCTCGACTGCCGCCGATGCCTCGTTAGCGTGGGTGCTATGTAAACGCCTGCCACAGTCTAGGATAGTGTATTTAGAGCATTCAGAGCATTTGAGGCATCGGGGGCATTCGAAAATATGCGTATCCGACAGGTCTTGTAGGCCTCCTCGCCCTTGCTAGCACGGCGGCCGTCGTCTGCGCCTGGTTCTGGCCGGCACCCTTCTTCTCCGTCTCGGCCAACCATGTCCCAGCCGGTTGGACCGGAGACCCGCGCGTCAACCTCTCCATCTCGAGTCTGCATCCGGAGGACATTGGCATCTTGGCTATCCCCTTTCCAGTCGCCGACTTGGCCACGGTTGCCGACATGTACACGCATGCGTCCTGAGAGATCCTCCCCCACCACCACGCCCCGAACATCACCCTGCGGCTGGATGCGCCTGGCCTGGCCCCGGTCGACGTGGCGTCCTAGCTTCCTGCGCTCTGGCTCAAAGTGTACGTCCGGCAGTCGACAACAGGCCCCGGCGAATATAAACAGGTGCAGGCGCTGAGGGCCGAGCACGCGCCCCTGGCTGTCGACAGGGCCAACGTCACCCTCACGCTGGAGCTCATGGAAACGCTCTGGCCGGTACTGATCCAAGCGGCTAACGACCTACTCGTCCTCGGCTTGGGCCGCGACCACCCTGACTACCGCCCCTTGAGGAACTCCCTGATCGAACCGGGGAGGACGAAGCCTGCGCTGCTCTCGCTAGTCCGCGCAAAGGAGCTCTGGGAGGGTCGTCTTCACAGCTCCGCGCTGGCTTGGCCATACGGGGCCCAAGCCTTTCTTCGGTCCGTTCGCGCGTTCATGCAGCTCCCGGTAGAATGGAGGGCTGACAACAACAATAACAACAACAGCACTATCGCTGCTACTTTCCCCAGCATCGGGTCCTCTCAACCCCCGACCTCCCTGAGACTGCTCAGGCACGCAAGACACCAACACCCACCCAATCAAACGCTCCCTGGACTCCTCGCCGGCCTCCAACCATCGGCCAACACAACGGGACAGTTGCGAGGGATGATGGTCGCCTTGGACTCGAACCTAGACATCAACCGCCTCGGGCTATGCCGCGTGCCGAGGCTGCTCGAGGCCATCGCCTCGGGCCATTGCATCCGGACCAAGACCTCGGGCATGTCCATCCCGTGCTGGGCCCCGCTGGGGAGCCATTGCCACCCGACCGACTGCATGGGGGGCCTCAGAGAAGCGCTCTGCGACGCCGAGGCGCTGCTGTCGTCCGTGGCAGCGGCGGCCGAGCGCGCAAAGGCCCGCGTGCTGGAGGAGCGCATCGTCGGCCGCTTACGCTACAGGGACGGCGTGGCGCGGCAGCTGGAGAAGCCGATAGCGGAAGCCGTTGGCCGCCTCAAGACCAAGGTATCGGACGGCTGGTTGGAGAGGCTGGGGTTGGGCGACTTGCTACTGGAGGAGGAGGCGGACGGGCTGGGAAAGCCTTCCGAGCCACTATGGTCTCTGTAGAGAGTAGAGACGGACCGAGCCGTAAGAACTAAAGGACCCAGGAGTGCCACTCTTCATACAAAACAAAACGAGACACCACTTGGTTGCCGTTGCGGGAGTTGAGATCAAGCCCGGTGATGGACTCGTGGATGTACCTGTCCAGTGTGCGACATTTGTTCACCGTTTCGGGGTACACTGTTTCCAGGTTTTCCAATCTCGAGACCTGCTCTCTCTGTTGACTGTCCATCTTGCCATCCACCTTGCTGGCAGGGTTCGAGTCGGGCGGCAAAAGACCCGGGTTGAAGCAGACAGGCTGCTGTATATCAACGTCGATGACGGGCAACTGCCGAATTCGTGAGCTTCTCTCCTAGAGCGCTGGTTGGTACCTACCTTGAAATGCGGCTGCATGTACAGACTTGAAGCATCCGATTCAGCATCCGATTCAGCAAACTGCGCATTGATGAAATTGAGAATGTCCAGCTCCGTCGTTCGGAAACCGCCAGCCTTTGCCTCTTCGTCGACAGGGGCTGCGTCCGAAGAGTATACGGCTCTGAATACATCCTGCGCCGGCGGTCAGTGGTTACTTGGAAAGACAAGTGAATATTAAGTCGGCGTACTTGGATCCACGTTCTCTGTTGAGAGCCAAAGTTAGCAAGTCAGAGTCGAGGTATTAGGTATTACCGTAGTAATGGGCCATCCCCAAGGTGGCAGCTTACGTACATGTACAGACATATAGTATTTACGTTCTACCAGTACAAGACGTCCTTGTGTGGCGCTATCCCTGATTGTGCCGCGAGCGGTCCTGAGGCTCCTGGCCTGACGGCATGCCGTTCGAATCACTCTGTGCCCGACACTGCTAAAGATTGCCCGTCATACATGGATGTACTGTGTGTAATGTCTGTATAGATGTCTGTATGGAATACATGTGCGCCCTGGAGGCCGAGGCCGCCCCGTGACCTCGCTCGCCGGCGTCGGATTGGGCCGCGGTCGACGGTAATTAGCACCGTTATTTCCGAATGCCACCCACTTCGCCCGGACTCTTGGCAGCTGATGTATTCGTACTGTATATTCGTACTGTAGGTGTGTACGGATTCGTACCTCAGCGATGCAGCTAAATGAACAGCAACCGTTGGCGTCCGTTGTAATTTCCAAGACTCTAAATACTGCTAATAGGGGCACCTTGTCTGGGGCATCGCGGCATAATGAAGAAGTTCGAATTTGTCGACAACACCACCATTGATAGGGCCGCGAGACGTCGGATCCGTAGCCATGTTGCCACTGGCCGGAACGCCGGGAAGAAGCTCTCGAGGCCATCGAGGAAGAAGATGTTGACGAGCGGGCCACGGAGAGCGCGGAATCCGGAGACAACAGCCACAACAGCCACGCTTGTTCAGACACGCCTGGCTAACAGCGTCTCGCGACTCTCGCCCCCACCCGTGGAATCTCCGTGTTCGGCAATGAGCACACTTCCAGCCTACTTGCGCCAACACTGCGACTCCAGATGGCTTGCCCATTTCCAAGGAGGTAATTCTTTCCACCATGACCACACCAACTAGGCCCCCCTTTCTGGAAGCTAACCCGTATTTCTCTCTCCAAGTCGTCTCCTTGCTGGGCAAGATTCGACATGCTCCCGAACTGGATGTTGCCCTCGATTACGGCTCTGAGCCTCAGTTAAAATTTGTGCAGCCGTTATTCTTTGATGAAGCTTGTGAGTAGCTGCCGAGACAGCCAGAGAACAGTAGAGTATCCCGGCCCTAACAAAAATTACAGACTTCCACGGAGCCATGGCTGTATTTCTGTCCGCGGGCCACCGGTCTTCACCCCTTCCGTACACGTCCAGTATCATCAGTACCCCCCAAGAAGTCTGGAGCGCCCGAACGCGTCACCTCTGTCTAGCACTCCGCCTTGTCAATACCCGCCTCTCTGGGGAGAATGCCGCCTCCAACGAAACCCTGATGGCAGTGCTGGTCTTGGGCATGTATGAGCGCCAGCAGGGCGAGTACGACCGCGGCCTAGTGCATCTCGATGGTCTGCAGCGGATGGTCCAGCTGCGAGGCGGACTCGCCAAATTCAGCGAAAGCGGGCCGTCGGGCCCGGTCCTGGCTCGCAAAGTCTTCAGGTGAGTCTCTTTTTTCTCCCTTGTCCTATTCACACCCTTCGCCTCACGCCGTTCACGGTTCCCCAACTAAACAACACAGGTCCGACATCGAATACTCCCTCCACCTCGGCACTCCCACCCGCGTCAGCCTCCAACAAGTCGAGCCACTCCTCTCCGCCAACTCCCTCCTCCTCCCACCACCTCCTCATACCGCCCAACCCTCTCCGGCCCTCCTCGCCTTCTCCCTCATGACCGTCCTCCACGACGCCACCCGGACAGCCCACCTCCTCACCGCCGCCTCCTCCTCCACCACCACCACAACCAAACTCGACAGCTCCGTCGTGCACGATACCTTCATCCTGCTCGGCTACCGCGTCCAGGCCGTCGCGCTGCCGCTGACGGGCCCGGACGGCGGCGACCCCGACCGCGCCGCCGCCGAGCGGGCGCTCTGCGCTGGGCTGGCGGCGTTCGTATGCAGTTTCCTGCTGGCCGGTGGCGCGGGCGTCCTGAATCGGTTCCCTGTCGCGTGGCTCGGGCGGGTGGCGGGCGAGGCGTCGGGGGCGGTTGTTACCGCGGCTGCTGCTTCTGCTTCTGCTTCTGCTTCTGCTTCTGGTACGGGTGGTGCGGGGTTGGGAGAGAAGCGGTGGGGGGTGGAGGCGGTCATGTGGATGTTGTTTATCGGGGTTGCGGCCGAGGTGTTTGACGCGGGTGAGGTCGACGGCTGGGTTGTTCCGCGGACGAGGCAGGCGCTGGGGGCTTTGGGGCTGGCTGGCTGGGAGAGCGCGGAGCGGGTGCTTGGGAGGTTTCCTTGGATTGAGGCATTACATGGGAAGAGGGGGAGGTCACATTGGGAGAGGTGCGTGGGAAGTGCAGCGCCAGCGCCAGCACCAGCGCCAGCACGGTGATGGAGTGGTGTGGTTTGATATCCTGCTGATACGGCCGACCGCCCAATAACCCTAACCCTAATCTAATCACTCAACTGAATCCGATACCCGATGTATTACCTAGGTACCTACCTTACCTAGGTAGGTAGGTAGGTAGGTATGCACTTGGTTGCACGTCCTCCAGAAGAAGAAATCAAACAAGTTAATTACAGGAGCTTGCTCACACAACCTGGCTCGATAGCCTCCAGCTCCTTGGCGATGAATTCCCAGGTATTTTTCTGCACCTCGGTCTCATTCTTCACCCAGTCGGGAACGTCGGGCCTGGGATTATGTCAGCCAAACTGCCTGATATGCCCGATAATTACACAAGTGATCTTAGTAGCAAATCAGAGCACTTACTCGCCATCCGCGCAGGAGTGAAGCAGCGTCCCATGGCTCTCCACGCCGGCCACGGCGCCGTGCAGCAGCGTACGGCTGCCGTCTTCGGCCGTCCGCCCGTAACTCGCATGCATGGCACGCAGGCGCGCGGCAAACTCTGGCGGCGCGTTTCTGCCAAGCTCGGTGATGCAGAGGCCGGGGCAGACAAGGTTGAGGATTACGCCCCCCTTCTCGACCGGCACCACCTCGCGGGCGAGGTGACGGAGCGCAAAGGTCTCGGTGACCTTGGAGAGCGGGTATCTATCCATGATCCATCGCACGTTAGCAAGCCACAAACCGACCAGGCGTCTAACAAAAGAAGAGAAAAGAAAAGAAAAGAAAAGAAAAGGAAAACTCACGTCTTCACGGGCACCATATCCTCCGCGTCCATCCCCTTGATCGGATCCGCCTTGATGCCCTCCCAGTCCGCCTTGCATTTATCCTCAAACCCGGCCCGGCTTGTGACGACCACCAGGCGCGGCAGCACCCCGTCCCCGGCCCTCCTCGCCTTCTCCCTCATGACCGGCACCAGCAACACGGCCAGCAGGAACGTGCTCAAGACGTTCACCGTGAGGGGCTTGACGTGGCCCTCGGCCAGCTGGCGGGTGGCGAGGGCGACGGCCGCGTTCTCGACGACGGCGTCGATGCGGTCGAGCTCGGCCTCGGCGCGGCGCGCGAACGCCTTGACGCTCTCGTATCGCTCCAGGTCCAGCGGCCACACCTCCACCACCCCCGCGGCGCCCGTGCCCGCGGCCTCGTCGATCGCCGCCTTGGCCGCCTCGCCCTTGGCCGGCGTGCGCACCGCCAACACCACCTTGCCCGCGCCCAGGCTAGCCAGGTGCTTGGCCGCCTCGAAGCCCAGCCCGACATTGGCCCCCGTCACGATGTACGTCTTGCCGGCGCAGAGCTCGCGCGTGGCGAGCAGGGGCAGGTTGCGGGCCTGGGTGGCGACCGCGTCCTCGGCAATTTGGGAGTTTTTGAGCATCTTGGGTGGTCTTGTTGGGAGCCGAAAGAGGGGGGTAGATGGGTGGTTGGCTTTTATATCTGAGAAGGGGGACGATGCTTATGTGGTTTTGTATGTCTCGTTGAAGGTTGTTGACAACTGCGCCGTTGCTTGTTCTCTGAGGGAGAGAAGGTCACGGTTGACTTGGGCCGAGGGAAGGAGGAAAGGGGCTCTTTTATGTCGACGACTCGACGGCTGCGACCTTGCCATTGCGTCCAAGACTTTATGTCGAGCCGTCATGACGCCTGTGTCAACCGTGTCGAGACTGTCGACCACTGGGAGAGTAGTTACCTAAACGGGCAACCGGGATGTTCTCGGCTTGCTTAACCGACATGGTGGCTGCAGACGGGCCGGTGATCAGGCGAGAACGCCTGGGAGCGCCTTTGACATGAATCACATGATGCATCCGCTCCCGCAAACAGCCCACGTTGTATGGGGGAGTTGGACTGGCCAACCAGAGAGAACTTCCCTAAACAGGTTAGACGGCCGCTCTTGGGAGTTGAGGAACGTCGGTCGGAATGGCAGAGTCGGCAGACCATCCGGAGGCGCCGTCAATCCCGTTTTTTTGGCGGCGGATGTCGGAATTTACGGGGTTATTCACATTAGCTCCGGGACCGGGGGTTCCGCTTCTCTCGTCATTCAGCCTCTCGAGTCTCGACTGCAAGTCTGCAACCGTTTTACGTCAGCCTCTTCAACTAAGGTGATGAGTTAATACCCAAGTCTCCTGCGTCTGCTCCCACGAGGTGGGCTGCGAATAAAGCCAGAAACGGAAGCTTAAAGGAAAACCGAAGCCAGTCTTTACTACTATTCATTGCCTACCTATACAAGGAGAAGACGGCTGCTCACGGGTTTCCGGGACTCTCGTCGTCGCAGATCCACGACATATTGACCGACAACAGGTTACTAAACGCCTCGTAGTTGACGCGCGTCCACCGGCTCTTGCTGCGGTTCGGGTCCGCGCTGCGCTGGCCCACCTCGATGCTCTCGCGACAGTCGAACCAGTAGTCCGGGTCGTACTGGGCCGGCACGTTCCGATTCAGCTTGCCGCTCCAGCCGTCGCACTCGAGCTCGACGTCCTAGCCCACGCTCCACAGCAGGAAGTCGAGCCGGCCCGAGATGTCGTTGTCGCCGTCGCGCGACGAGACGTAGTACCGGTACTCGAACTGCAGCGGCGCGTAGAGGAGCACGTAGCGCTTATCGGGTCGAGCGAGTCGGGAATAAACCAACGAATCTCGCAGTACAATAAGCGTGTCAAGGGAAGTGGGGAAGGCAGAGATATAATAAAATGACAGGCCTACAAGGATGGATATTTGTCGAGAGACGAACCTTGGATGTTACGCAAAATATGGGAATGTCGATGGTAGTGCATTGTTATTAACAAATATATGTTTTATCAGTGTCTTTTGTTTCTCTCCTAGTTGTCTAATCTCGTGAATTTGCGGTATTACTGCATTTTTCCTAGGTGTAACCGGACTGGTAAATTTAGCACAGCCTAAGCCATTTCAACATGACCCCCAGTAATTTCTGGATGTCCAGCTGGTCCGTTAGCTGTCCCTTGTTGGACATCGTTGTAGTTTGTGTGGTTTATGCCTTGAATAGATACTCAAACAAGACTTGTCCAGAGTTGTTTACTAGAGTAGCAGGCACGAAGCAGAATTCATTAAAATCAAGCTTGAAAATTATCACGATGGTTATAATCCTGCTGCTAAATCCCAGAAGTTGATATTGCTCAACATCCAGAAGAATGCCGGGGAATTCTTTTCCAGTTTCATTAACAGTTGTTGCATGCGCTTCGTTAGTCGCCTTCATGAAACAAAACCCCGATATTGAATTTTGTAAGATAATTATTGGGGATCTAGCCGTACATTGGATGCATGTTTTTAGCTCCCAGAGTTTTCCAAACACGGGGGTTTGGCAATTCAATTAATTATGACATGATTAATACCTACCACGACAAACCTATATGTGCTTTCAAAATTCCACCCCCCCCCCTCCCCCCTAGTATTTTAGCTTGTAAAATGATACCCGGAAAGTATTGGGACTTCAAACAATCACTGTTGTCACTTTTCACCAAAGAATTTCTTGCATTTTGAGTACTTGTTGGGTGTGAGACCACTTTCCCCACGAGAAATGAGTTTCAAGTCGAAGTATTTTGGCATCAAGTCTCGCTAAGGAGGAAAAAAGTTGTATTGAATGTTCAAGAACAGCTGAAATAATTAATTGTAAGATTGTTTTGCAGTGGGGTAATTATGTATATTGTCATTGAGGACTCAGTGAATTGTTGACAATGTTCGTGGGGGGCATCAAGATCTGGCGTTCTACGAACGCGAGGAAACGCAGCAAGGGACCATTGTAATTTTGTCTGCTCCGACAAATGCATCGATGCCGACGGTGTGGCTGGTTCCCTGTGTCTGCAAACGAGGTATGGCTGAAGACCAGAACCTGGGAGGCACCTTCCCGAGTTTCAAGGCTTCATCATCCTTTCCTGTTACTACTACGCCTTGACAAAAAACAGGATTTCCAAGCCCGAGACTAGAAGGTACGACTCGAGCCCTCCATGGGCTCATTCCTGCTTTGGTCACCCAAAATTTCCATTTTCTGCCGCCCGCACCACTGCGACAATTCAATCGACAAATCACCACATAATACTACGTGGCGTTGGATCTTTTCTTTTTCCAGCCCAGGCCTCAACTTCACACCAGCGCCAACTCCAACGCTAATTCGCGACGGAAGAGGTCCTTTTAGTTTTGATAGGCAACTGGTGTCTCTCCAGAGCTTGTGCCGCCCCCGACTTGCGATCTTCTCTAGGTGCAGCCTCCATGCTGCAGATCGTCCGGTAGTCCGAGAAAAAGCAATTTCACTAGGCGCGACTGCTTCTGTACCCAGCTTGTACGTGTCCGTGTCATCTGTATGGATGACGGTTGCCAGAAATTCTTTTCCCTTTTCTTTGCGTGTATTTCTTGCCCTTTTTCCTTGATACAAAAATTGATGGCTGACAATTTGACAGTGTGATGACAGAAAATATGCCAAAAAAGAAACACCAGGTGGTTCTGTGGGCTTGTGATACTCGACTTTCCCTACAGGGCTTCAAGCATGCAGACTGGTACGCTCAAGGATTGAACTATATCTTATCTGGGAGTTATGTTACGCGAGAATGAGAAATCTGTCACCGGCAAGTCCGATATTTGGAAAAGGGCATTTGCTTGCTTTCGGATTGTTCTTTGCTGATCCCGGGGCACCGGAGGGGTTTTTAGTTGCTCTCGCAAGCCTTTGTGATGGTGGTGTTGTGGGACCCTGAGCCGAGACCCTTGCGAAACCTGGACGGAAGTGGCAAGGGATGGCAGCTTGCCCCTGGATGCCCCACCAGCCCGGGCTGCCACATGGCCCTCAGGGCTCACCGAGTGTCGGTGATATTTTGCCTGTTTCGGAAATTTTTGGTTTGGCCGGGGAAAAGGGTTTTCGGCGAAGAGGAAACGCTAACGATTGCGTGTTGGTAGGAACAGTCGACACTCGATCTGGGAAATTTCTGATTCACCTCGCGAAGGCCAGTGGTTCACATGTGGCGATCGACCAAGCGACCCCATCCGTCGTAAAGTTATTGGTAGCAGAAAAAATAACGCGAGTGGTGGGTGCGGCCCGATGGCGACGCCAAGCAAGCGGACAGAACGGGATCTTCAACATCTTCGGGGTTCGACCTTGAAGAATAGCTGTAGAAAAGGCCGGCGGCGGGGTTTGGTCTGGACCAGGTTTCCGCTCTGAACCGGGTTCCAGCTTTCGGGGAAGGACGACGTTGAAACGCCGTTTTACCTTGGTCGCTTGGGTCGCTTGGGTCGCTATGGGGCAGGCGGGCGACAAGCCGGAAACGGAAGCGTACCGTACCCATCTGACACGGCAGAGCTCGAAGAGCATTTCGATGGAAACCGCCTTCTCACTTCGGCGAGCATTGCAACTTGCAAGCCCCTTTCTTGCACGGCGCACTCCACAGCGGCAGCTACCGGTGGTTTGGGTTGGTTACGCTGAGGGTTGGTGGCAAAAAGTTCGTCTCGTCCCAAGAGCTGGGGGATTTCCGGCGGTGGGACGCGGTACAGCGTCCTGTTGGTCAACGTGGGCGAGCAACAACGCAGTTCTATGTGCAGAGCATTGACTTTTTTCGCCAAAAAATGATTCGCGTTTCTCTTGTGGCGTCCGGCGCCCGCCGACAGCCTTTGAAGTCGACATTGCCGACGACATGAAGCTAACAGGAAGTGCCAGTTCAAGAGTGGTCCCCGGGCAAAGGACGCAAAGCTCACCCCTGCTATTGTCGGCTGCCCCCGGCTGAGGTTTCGGCACGAACTTCGCCCCCTTGGCACAGTTTTCCAGCCTTATCTCCGGCAGTGAGGGTTCTCGAATTTTGATATGCTTGGGGGCAACGGTAGAATGTGGTGTCGAAGGCTAGCAAGAGTTGTACGGGCGGCATTTCGAAATAATAAATAAGCAACAAGATTGCAAGAAGCTGTCTTGCCATTTTGCGCCTTGCAGCTCGGTTCCCCACGGCAAGCGAATCCTCACCGGCCGTGTCGGACAAAAGGCCCCTTTTTGTCAATTCGCGCGGGAACCGGCGGGGCCGACCCGTTAAACGGCCCCCATTGTGGTCCACCGCCTAGCGGGTCGTGATCTCCATTGTTCGCTTTTCACTTGATGGCCCGGCCCCCTTGTTCCAAGACCTCGGCCTCTGATCGTCATCAGGAAGGAAGTTGCAGATGCATGCAGCATGCGAGATTTTACCCCCTTGCTGGCTCGGCCCCATGGCGGAAAAGAAGGGCCGGTGATGCTTTCCGAAACTTTGACAGGAGAAAAATCATTGCTGGGCATCGCAAATTGAGCAGTGCGGTGGCGGAAACGCCTTCTTTTTGGGCTGCCCTGCGATTGGGATGGAAACCATTTCCATATGCCCGTCACTCCTGTCCTTTGCTGGCTGGTGACCATAGCGTGGGACTATCAAAATAAGGGGGCCACACGTTCCTGTCACGCTTGCTAAGCATGAACGGCGATCCCATGTCGACACCGGTTCCACGCCCGTGGAACCTGGGGTTCAAAGAAAGTTGGGATAGAACCCCGGCAGATCGGGGTGCACACTTTCTTTGAGCCGTGGTAAATACAAGGTGGTTCCCACCAACCCGCTTTGCAGGGCTTCCCTCGAAAACAAACTCCAACAAGGTTCCCGTCAACGGCCTCCTCGCCATCGTCCAGGTCCAAAACACCCAACCTACAACGTTCTATGGTCGCCAACCGAATTCTCACCAGCCCACCCGAAGGACGGCTGACGACGGTCACGCCACGGATGGTGACCTAACGCCGGTATGCGGTCCTTTACGAACGCGCAGGCCGTTCTCGGCCTGTGCCTCCTCGCACTAAGCAACTCCGCCCTCGTCATCGCCGCGGCTTCCGACCCAGTTCCAACACCAGGCCCTATCTCACTGCAAGATGGCTTTGCTTCGATGCCCGACTGCGCGGTATGTCCCTTTCAGGGGGTCGCTGAGCCCGCTGTTGCAGGACGAGGTCCAGAGTAGCTGATACATCATGCTAGAAAACTTGCTTCACGGATGCACTCAGCAAGTCTCACTGCACCACCCCGGAGGCCTCTTGCCTCTGCCAGGATACCAAGTTTGAAGATGCTGCGACAGCATGTATCATGTCCGGCTGCTCGATCAAGGAATCTCTCGGTATGCACCCATGTTGCCCAGCCGCAGCACCCTCTGGAAAGCGAGGAGGAATTTGGTGCTAACGATGACTTGTGTGTTGACCAGCCGCCAAAAATGCTACTTCCCTGATGTGCGGGGAGCTCCCGGAGAGGGACGGCAGCGTCATCACGCTGTACTCGGTGTTTATTGGCCTGGCAGTCGTGGCGGTGCTGCTCCGGGTTGTTGCGCGGGTGCTCACCAAGGCGTATTTCTGGTGGGATGATTTTGCCAACCTGTTTGGGTTTGTAAGTGTGGACAGCGGCCGGGATAATTACTACCGGGATGTGTTGTGGCTAACAGGGATCGTAGATCGGGTCGGCGGTGTTTACAGCTATGAACCTGCGAGGTATGTTGAGAACCTTGTTCCATATGTCAGGGCATCGGTCAAGCTAACTGTATTTCGTATCTTAGCCATCGATATTGGCCAGGCCCTCGACATATGGTTTGTGCCTGAGCGGAACATCACCCTCGTTCTCAAGGTCAGCGCAACTCATCCCCGATGCCAAGCTGGGCGCGTCGTCGCGCAGCGAGACTAACACACCGTCCAGTACTTCTTCGTCGAAATGCTCCTCTACACCATCACCCGATTCTTCGTCCGCGCCTCCATCATCCTCTTCTACATGCGCGTCTTTCCGCCAAGCCCGGGCAACAAGCTCGGCCGCATCGTGCAATACACCATGATCTTCAACTTTGTCTACAACTTCAGCTTCCTCTTCGCCGTCATCTTCCAATGCACGCCAATCTCGGACTTTTGGACGCAGTGGGAGGGCACCAGCCAGGGCCACTGCGGGAATGCGAATATCCTGGCTTGGGTCGCGGCCGCCACGGGGATTGTGTTTGACTTGTGGTTGCTGGCGCTGCCGTTCTCGCAGCTGTGGGCGCTGAACCTGCACTGGAAGAAGAAGTTGATGGGGGGGATGATGTTTTTCGTTGGTGTTGCGTGAGTGATTCCTTATTGAGATCTGGTGGCACCAAAGTTTCAGCACGCCCTGCTAACGGCCACACAGCGTCATGATTATTAGTCTGATTAGGCTCAAAACTATCAACGAATTCACCCGCGCGGTCAACCCAACCAGTATGTCCCCCATCTTTACTAACGGGTCAGGACTTTGCGTGTTTCTAATACAGTCTGCAGGGGACATCGTCCAAGTATGCCTCTGGTCTGGCATCGAACTCGACGTCGGCGTCATTTGCCCCTGCCTGCCCTCCTTCCGCCTCCTTCTCCGACGACTCCTACCCCGCGTCATGGGCACTTCCAAATACGAACTCGACCCGATGTCCGAAGGCGGTGGAACCAGGAAGAGCGTGGCCGGGATGCCCACGGCAGGAACAGGAGGGCTGGAAGCAGGTACTGCAGTGAAGACGGGAGATGGGGAATTTGCGAGCAAGGAAATGGGACATGGGTATACTAGCAGTGGTGGGACCACTATTGGTGGTGTTGGGAACTATGGGCAGCACAACAACAACAGGATCTTGGTGGAGAACACAGTAGCCATCAAGTACGGGAGCGGCAGCGAGATCTCTAGTGAGGATGCTCGGAGCTCGGCGAGTGTGAAGGGGCTCGTGGCGCCGAGTCGGGCGCATATGATGGAGGATGAGGGCGACAAAATGGGGTATAGGAGGAAGAAGTAGAGCGGTGGGAATGGACGGGCGGTAGTATTCGTACAACGATTACACGGGATGGGACGGGACTCGACGGAACCGGTTTGGGCGGGTGGCTTTCTGGTCTTGGGTTTAGCGCAGCATTAACATACAATCTTGGTTTTTATTCTTAATTCTTAATCATGAATGCTGGTGTCTTGGAGGAGAGGGTGGCTCGCTGGAAGCGGTCATGGCTTTCATGATAATGGGGGGTCTGGGCGGGTGAAACGCGAGTTGTGATTCTGACAGCCCGGTGGTGCGATGTGCCACCGGTGTAATTTTAGACGCTCAGCAGACATGCGTCAAGCCACGACGGCTCAAATATTCCGGTCAAGGCTCGAGGATTTGCCGTGTCATGCTCTGTGGAACTACTAGCAGAGCTCGGACCTGGCGATGCCGGCTCAAGCCATGAGTTATCAGATTTCCGGGGACACAGATCCGACTCTGGCAGGGTCATCGGATCCTAACACGTGGACAGCCCAGATCACGATCATTCTCGTTCCTGCTCGATCCTTAACTAGTGAGTTAGTTAGTGCACACCTCTTGGCTCCTCGATCTACACTAACTAATTTTCATCGACACGCCATGCGACCATGCGGCCATGGTAACATCGCGCTCTGGCCACAAGTCTGACAAGTCTCGCTCACCTGCCGTAGATCGTAATACGCTAGGTGCACTAGCTTATCTCCGTGATCCGGACCGGGAAGGGATCTGGGGTGTCACCGTTTTTGAGGGGAGGATTCGTGGAGTGAGGCGGTAATCGAGGCCTGAGCTAACGTTAGGGCATACACTACACTATGACAAACCTCGATCTCGATTTCGATCTCGATCTTGATTGTGTGTGTCCAGCTTGAGGTTTTGATCTGCCGGCCACAGACCTCACTGCTTGTGCCTCGGCGTCGTCATACCTCGGCTTAGCTAGCAATTATGCTCTTGGCCTGTCCAAGTCCATTCTCGTAACAGTCTGTCTGTTATGAGACACTTTTAGGGCAGTCGTTCGGTTTAATAGGTTCTGCGGTTTACACTGATCGTCAGGTTGGGTTGACTTTGACCATTGATTGTTGCTGACCGAAAGAGAGGCGACTGTAACGTCCAAGTGTCACCTTGGTTGTTTCGTTATCGCACTTTCGATTCAATGGCAAATGAGCTTTTTCACTTGTCTTGCCATCTGATAACCTTGAATTATGCTAATGCCGTTGGACAGGCAGCTGAATCTACGATACGACCGTTTTGTGGGTGGTAAAAGAGTAACGGTAGGACTTGGCATCACCACGAGTTTTTTGGACACTCGACGTCGAACCCCGCGATAATTAGTACCCACCGTCTCACAGAATACTATATAGGGTCAATAAGATGTGTCTGTTGGTGTCAATTGGTACCGGGCTAAATACATGTTACGTTGTGGGAGCAAAATTACCATGTACGTACATAATACATGCGGAATTCCCCATCGGTGTTACACCATTGTTCTCGGCATCAGGGGTTCCCGACGTAGTGTACTACCTTACTGTATGTATGTAGGAGCCGCTCAACAACCTGTGCACGTTGCACGTCTCATCGAGTTGAGCTCCGCATATTCTTGTCCCCACCTGCATGCCACCGTGCCATTCTACAACCCCTCTCATCGATTCCTCTCCAATTCCAACGTCATTCCAACCTCAACCAAACTCTAACCCACCAACCTCACCTGCAGAATCCATCACCACCACCGCCCAAAATGGTCAACATCAACCTCGCCTACACGGCACCCATCAACCCGCCGGGTGCCTCCCCCGTGCTAACTCCCGCTCAAGTCTGGACTGGCCTGCAATACAAAGTCCGCCGCGCCGAGAAATTCGTCCCCGTCATCACCCACTGCGAAGTCCTCTCCGAAGAAAACGCGCCGTCTTCCTCTTCTTCCGCCTCTTCCGGATCTGACAACACGAACAAAACCCACACCATAACGCGCCTAGCCACCTTCCGCGCAGGCGCCGGCCCAAAGGGAGGCGGTACAGTAAAAGAAGTGTGTAAACTGCATCCGCCGTGTCGGATTGATTTTGTGCAGGAGGATGGCACGACGATTGGGAATTATGTGTCGCGGGGGCCGGAGGGGGAGTTGATGATGACGTATGTGTTTGAGTGGAGGGTGGAGGGGGTGGAGGAGGGGGGGGAACGGGAGAGGGAGTTGGAGGGTGAGTTTGCGAAGGTGAGTTTTTTTCTTTGTTTGTTCCTTTTCTGTCGATTTTTCCCTGAATTTATGTGTTTCTTTTTTTGTCGTTGCATCGTGCGTTGAGGGCTAACAGGCGATAGATGGCCAAACTAGCTGTGGAGGGCAGCATCGAGACGATCCGCAAGATTGTGAGGGGAGAAATCGAGATGGACTAGAGCTGTTCAGTAGGGGACTGTTATCACGCACATAGTAATACGGCGTAATTGATGACAAGTCTCGACTGAACAAAAACAACGCAAGTGATATTAACTAATAGCAATGCCTGCCGATGTCTGTCTACTCCAACCCATCACACCCCCGCCCCCCACGCATACGGCGCATGCATCATGATCATATCGTCATCCAAGAACGCCCGCGTCCGACACATCACCTCCGTTACCGTGTCGTCCTTATTCCCATCCTCATCCACTCCCGGATGCCTCACCATATCCCAAAACCTCGCCAGGCCGCTAAACGGCAGATACGCCGGAAACATCCGACCAAGTCCCGGATTCTCCTCGAGGAGTCCCTCGTGCGGGTCCGACTGCCCGTTTCCCGTAGACCACAGTCTTGGGTTGCTTATCAGAACGGGCGTGAACCGGCCCAGGGCATCAGGCCGTTGTTTTCTCTCCATGGTCGGGTCGGTTTCTGGGCCGACGTCGTATCGGTCGGAGACAAACCACCAGGCGGAGTCGCCGCAGAGCTCGGGCTGGGGTATGTCTTTCATTTTGCCCACCCGCTTGAAGGTTCCCTGGCCGTGGGAGCCGGTGTAGTTAACGTGCATTTCAGGGATGTTGATGGAGTTCATGCTGATCTCGATATCGGCTCTGATCTGGAGTCCTGAGCCCTCGCCGAGGTAGTGAGAGAATATTCTGTGGATGGAGAACGGGACGTCAGCGTTCGTTGGTAGGTGGCGGATAATGAAAGTAAGTTGTTTTCCACCGGCTGCGGTGCGGTGTGTGTCGGACTTACATCTTGGCTTTGCTCGGCCCGAGGATTTGCACGTTACTCCGTATCACCGCTGAGGTATTGAATGCTGCGCGCGCAACGGTTAGTCAGTACCCAGCTTTCTCGCGCTCAGCTTATTTACTCAACAAATTAACACGTACTAAGGTCCATATCCGCGGGCCACTGTATCGCGGGAAACGCCGGGCTGAGCTGGAACCAGGGCTCGGCTGTGTAATAGCCCAACTTCTCATGATCTTCGCGCGGGTATGAGAGGGTACCTGCGGCCAGACGCAGGGAGCAATCATCGCCGCAGCAGAGTGCCACGGATTGTGACACCCCCGGCGCATCCCTCTCCGAGTCCTCGTACCGCTGTAGGCCCTCGGGTATGACCCAGGTTCCTTGGACTGCTGCGAAGCTGCCGATATTGGGCATGTCGGAGGCGTGCATGCTCATGCCGCAGAGATCGGTCCGGTTCTTGTTGGCTTGGGCGGGAGAGGCGATGAGGAAAAGGCCCAGGACCGTGAGGGTGGTTGATGACCAGTGCATATTAGTTATTGAAGGCATTGTGGGTTTATGTGTATGAGTTCTTTTGGCAGGATAACAGTGTTGTTTTGGATCGGATGGCGAGTTCGAGAATGCTCGAGGTTGCTGGAAGTTAGTAAGAGAACGCACTCGCCCGAGGTTCTGGGTTAAGAAGGGCGAGCGGCCTCATGATAACTACCTCTAGTTGACGCTTTTATCGAGACCTCGAGTTGTTAAACCCTGCCGCTTTGTTGATACACATCACGCGGGCCAATCTCACTGGGTGACGTGTTCGATATGTTATTTTATGGACATCGGATCAACGGGCTCATTACAGTGAATCTTAAACGAGGCGTGCAGTTTTTGGTCGAAGGGCCAAGATGGGATGCCCGAACTATGCACTGGTGACTCTTCATGGCAACAAAGCGCTGCAGTGAGATATCGGGAAAATTCGGAGCTGGTAAGCCTTAGACTATGCTCGTCTTGTGTAATTAATTAGTTGTGATATTCCTGGCGATTGATCGAGTTGTACCTGACTCTGGGAATGATTACCTAATTAATTTCTCAATTACCTTGAGGAAGTATTGAGAGAGGTGATGGGGAACACCACAGGAATTTGGCTCAGATTTTGTGTTGGTCCTTCTTGGACTTAATTAGTATGGAACTGAGCACTCATCTTCTCGTCCTCCAACCCTAGGCTTTATTGGAGGCGACTCATGTCAAGTGGGTTAACTAGGGTTCTTGGAAACCCCGCCTTTCAACAACAAATGTTCCTTTAGCAACAAAGGTCACCACACTGTCAAGTTATAATCCCAAAACAGATACTGTACCTCGAAAATGGCAGAGACGCCCAAATACTACCCCGCAGGCTGGGACCGGGAACGGATGCTCAATTCGGCCGCCACCGGCGAAATCAACAATTTGTCTGAGGCAGAGCGGGATACATTCCGTGAAGGGTTGCGGCAAGACTTGGGAGATGAGGGTTTCCAGCAGTTTTTCGAGGAGATGTGGAAGCGGGAGAAGGCTGCCAAAGGTATGAAGCATCTAATTAGTCCTCTAGATATTTTCCCTTGTTTTATCTCAGGGTCGGGCATTTGATATGGAGCGCATCGCTCACCTAAATTACAGGCATCCACCCCACTCCAACAGAACCATCGTTTATGGAGACAATGCGTTTGCGCGAGGAGCGAATCGGGCCTGCTGCTCGGTGGGATCCCTGGGGATTTGTGGTGTTCAAGAGCCCCGAGATTCAAGACCACGAGGAGTGGGAGAAATGCAAGGATATGGTGGAAAAGATTGTGCGTGACTCAACGGAGATTTATCGGGGATATGAAGGCCTGGATGAATGTCTTGAAAGAATGAAGTTCCGGTGGGTTGAGGATGTGGAAGTTGGTGCTGGCGTGGAGGATATTGCGCGGTGAGTCTGGTGATGCTGTCAGTGCGCCTTACTTTTCATCTGACGGCTTCCGAACAATTAGGTTGTACGGCAAGATGGATCTCCCGCCAGGCCTCAAACACACCATGTGTTTGTACGTTACCCCGTCGTCTATGCGGTCGATTCTCGACTCGCCGATGCCGTCGACGGCAAATCGTAGGTATCGGGTGGATATTCCCTGGGTTGTTGCGGTTTCAGTACAAGCTGCTAGGGTTCAAGAATCGCAGGAAGAAGGTCTTACGGCGGATGAAGATGAGGTTGAAGGGGAGGATGAAGATGAAGTTGAAGGAGCTGAATGGCGCGGCTTCTTCAATGCTGCGGTCGAAACTCTACTCGAGGGTTTGTTTCCCATCGTCGCAAACGACTCCTTATCGCCATACGAGATTGGTGGACATGCTAGTGGGGAGGATATTTGGTGCGATCACACGAGGTATGGCGTACACCGGGCTGGCGTTGGATACTGGGATAGGAGGTCTGGATAATCTGGGGCGTGATTATGCCCGTGGGCGTGACCGGATTTGAATATCATGTCATCGAAGCTTAACGTAATCACTGTACCCCTTGCAACGAATAACCCGCCCCTATGGTCGTCGAGAGACCAGCCCAGGCGCTAAATTATACCGAACCCCAAATCGACAAGACAGGATTGCATCACTGGGACTCGTTGCCGTGAGAGCGAGGAGAACGAGTCGCTAAGTCCTTGATGGAGAGCAATACCCGCACAATGGTGGGTTCATCGTCTTTGAACTCCAAAGTTCGCCCCCTGGTATCAGGGTGGGGGACGAGCGTGGAGTTACCTGGGTGTAACACGTAGAACCGGGAGGAAAGACCGACGGTGGCAATCCCAAACGTGTCTTGTAGTCGTGCGTTTTCGCTCATTTCCATTCGATCCGCCGTCATTTGTGTAGTTAACTTGTCGACGATAGACGTCCAGGTGGTAGTGGGGCTCACCCCAGAAACGTGGTTGTCCACGATGACTGTGAGAAGCTTGTGCCGGAAACGTTTGACGTGGAGGACCGTTAATGACTGGTGCTCGAAGTGGAATCCGTCGCGGATGGAGAAGTAATTACTGAAGAGGTTGCTGCACAGGTTGCGGGCCTTGCCTGCGTCCCAATTCTGTGTTAGATCGTCATACCAGGATGACATGGCTTCGTACTGCATATACCGAGTTGTGATCATCTTTGTTAGAAACTTAACTTTTGTGATGAGACGCTTTGGGGAAGGAGGTGAGTCACTCACCCCGTCCATGTCCTGACCAGACATAGTGCGCTTCTTTTAAGTGTATAATATGCCGCTGACAATGGTACCTAACGGCGGTGTTCAAGATTTAGCGAATGGGCTTAACTGAGTGTTCCGGGACAAAGTTTGGTGCTGGATGTATTACGAGTGGGGCAATTATCTATTAATTAGGCACCCAGGCCCTGTCAGTGAATAGGCAGAGGATCCAGGATGCACGTGCCCTTGGCGAACCGAACAACCTTCCAACCAAGTTGGTGACCGTGACTTCCCAAATGATTCAAGCCTGGTCCCCAACATCAAAAATTTAATCCAACCTGTCTAGGAACACGGGTTGCTTAGCAGAAGCGCGCCACTGAAGGCAGGAGGCAGGAAAACGCATTCCTCGGTCCATAGCTCTTTAGTGAGTTGTTAGAACCCCGTTACCCCAATCGCTCTTCAGATACCTCAAATTCACAATTGCCTAAGTTCTAACGCTGCTTACCGACTTCCGAACGGGACGAGAAAACGGCTAACGTACGCGGGGCCTCCTTTCGGCGATTCACGTCGAAATACCCCCGTCACCGAAGGCAATCAATTGGTATCATCTCAACCTTGACCGTCTATCACCAACAGTTCAACGGCGAACGACTTTGCGTGTAGGAGTCAGGACTCGGGAGGGTTGATCATTCTTTAATGAACGTGCCCGGAGCTTTGGGCTACGCTAGCATCATTTCAACATGAGCTGGTTTCACCATTGCCCGTTGTGCGGATGGGTGTTGAACAGCTCGGGGACATGGACGGGAGAATTTCGGGCAGGTACGTGAACTCGCGAACCCAACATGGTCCACTTCATAACCCTCTGACAGGAGTCCCAAAATTTAGTATATTCGATGTCAAAGGAAGACTTCGGCTTGACTGGCGTCGGATGCTGTAGCTTGCAGACCCCGGCCCCTTTTACAGCTCCTCATAACCCTGAGGCTCGCTGGGACGATCCCGGCTACGATCACCCTCTAGCCGATCAGATCTTCTCCATAAAAGGTGGTACGCGTCATTCAAAACGCGGGTTCGCCTTCCACGACTCTTGCTGGTGGCTTCTCCAGCGGACGTGCTACCCCGCTGTGGTCCCTCTCAACAGGCTGTGGGAGGCCTGCGCGTCGCTCGCAGAGACTGACGCATCAGAGAAACTGGACTGGGGCCACGACTTCGGCGGGTTATGTTTCGCGGCAACGGATACCCGGTTCCCGTGGGAGCGGTTGCTCGGACCCCGTGAGTTTGCCGAGGCGGCCGCAGAGCCCCCGTACGGCGCCGACCCGCGCTCGAGCTTGGAAGCCAGGGAGATATTGGGCGAAGCTCCAGCAGAATACCCTCCTTCTGCTCCACCTTCTTTGCGGTTCGGGATGACCGCTGACACAAGAGGCCACGATCCGTTTGCCGTGCTCCCCCCCGAGATGTGCTTGGCCATTGCCGTGCGTCTACAGACCCGAGATGTTTTGCAGGCCCGCCTCGCGACCCGGTCGTTTTGGCCCATCTTCCACAGTCAGCAGTTTTGGGCGTCTCGATTTGACGGCCCTGCGGCTGAGCGATCGTGGTTTTTTGAAGCCCGTGACGCCCACCAGGAGAGACGCGGAGAATCTTTTGATTGGCGTTACTTGTACCGTCGTACCGCGGCTTCTCGTCTGCCGCTGGGGCTACGGAACCGAGAGCGGATTTGGGAATTGCTTCAAGGTGTTGTCCCATTGCTGGAGCTTCACTGGACCGAACACGACCCTGCCTACATGCTGCCAGTGCCACCGGGGGGCCCTGCTGAGTGGGAAAAGCAGCTCAAGTCCTGGCTTTTTGTTGGGGGGGATGTTGTGACTGATACACCGGGCGCGATTTCTTCATTTAGAATGGGAACGCGCGCACGATACGTTCGCCGAGTGGCTGTCCCGGCAGACATTACCAGAGTATCGGTTTCTACCATACGTATGGGTTTGTCGGAGTATGTTGCCGGTATCGCGCTGGTGTCGCCCAAAACGGGGTCTGTTTTGCGGCTCGGATTCGGCGAGTTCAACAGTTATTCCGTTCGGTTACCTAACAAGCTCTCGGGGTTCAACATCTCCGTCGGCATGTCTGGAATTCACGGTATCCAGTGTGTCGACAGCGAGGAGGGACCCGTCGATGGATGGCTTGGGTGGGTGCAGGACGTCCCTAAAACAGAGCGACTAGCATGCGGGCCTTCTCTCACTGCTCTCGAGCTTGTATTTGATGTAAGAAACGAACTCATCAAAGGAATGACATCCTACTAACAAAAACTAGGGATTGAAAGTGATAGGGCTGGCCGTTCCCAAGGAGAAGCCCTTGCAGTCCGCCAGCACCAACGACAAGACGTCACAGGTACGGCACATGGGCATCTGGTATCCCGCTCTACCGCCGACAACAATAAATTTAAATGAGGCGTTCTTCTTGAGCCAGCGACCATGCCTAGGATATTGGAGGGGATTCCGGCCCTTGTTTTGGACGTGCTTCGGTGGACCCGGCGGCATATATCTTCGCCATCTGACCAAGATTAGGCTTTGCAGCGACGCCTTGCGCCGTATCGAATTTTCATTTGACGTTGACGTTCCTGTAGAATGCCGCATGTTTGGCCGGCATGAGGACGACGACCTTACAGATGTCGTCGAGTTCGCCATCGACGGGCCCGGGGGCGAGGTCATCGATCAGATCGAGGTCGAACAGCACTGCAGAGGCCCATCCCAGGGGCCAGGCTGGCCGCCAGCGGTACCAGAGCTCACGGCAGTGAAGGTACGGTTTGTCCCCAACACGGCCTCAACGTCACTTCATGATTGTATTGTTGTGTCAAGTAGCATCGCGATCGCGGCTAACGCTGTTTAGATCTCCACCAACTGGGGAAGATCGTGTGAGTCAAGGGGCCGAGAGGCTTCCTGGGAGCTGGTCAGCAACGCGGTGTTTCGCAGTGAGCCTGGAACCGCCATCACTGGGTTTTATGGTTCGCAAGTAAGTACAATTTCGGTTAACTAGCGATATGGTTCGTTACTACACCGAGGCGGGCGCCGCTAATGCTGTATTGCGCCATTAGTACTACTTCATCCGCCCAACTCTCGCAAAATTGGGCGTGATGACTGAGTCGGTCCGGGGGTAGAGACGTGGACACGATCGATACCATCACACTGGCCCACGTTCAGTCGAGAGCAGGCGGTTCTCGGTAATTAATACGCGCAGGGATTCTGTTTGAACAAGAAATTGATATCCTGACCGGCTATCTAATACACTGTGCCTGGACAGGTCTCGGCCCATTGTCACAACAATAATCGTTTTACCTATGCACCTGCGAATACGGCTCGACTTACCTTTTGACCCCCCCTTTTCCATCCGCTCCACCAAAACACCTGCGCTCACCTGTTCAATACACCTCGTTTCCACGACACAGTTCTCCTTCACCTGGGGCTTCCTGCCCCTTCGTAGTCAATCACGACCGTTAGCAGACACAACAGCCTCGCCACTCTCATACCCGCTCAGATAGTCGCCAAACACCCGCTCCTCAACGTCCAAGTCCTTCCACGCTTTCCCGTTGCCCCCGGCGGCCCTTCGCGCCTGGCGACGGAAAAATACCCGCTTAGACCACTTCCACGCCTCAACGCCGGCGAAGAACAACACGGCCGCGACAAACACGATGCCCCACTCCCAGCTAATCCCCGTGTGCTTGAACACGACGTGGTTGATGACCGGGATATACAGCGTCGGGAACAGCGACACAAACCCAAACACAACAGCCCAAAACAAGAACCTGTTCCGCCACACATCGTGGAACCACTGCGTGAAATACTTCGTACTCCCCGGCTGCATGCGGAAAAACGACCGTCTCGCATCAACCACCTCCCAGGCGAGAAACAGCGAAAACCACGTCAGACATGCAAAAGTGGTCGCCCGCGCCCGGAACACCGTCTCACACCCCTGGTTGAACCGATCGTTGCAGTTCTCGCCGAGTTGGCCACCGCCCCAGGCATAGACGCGCAATACGAAGCTGGCTAGGCACAGGGCTGCAACCCAGAGGCCGTATACCACCATGTCGACAAGGAATTCAGCCGTGAAGATACCCGTGCGCAGGGAATGTGGCGGACGCCGCATGATATCGGGCACGGCGCGTTCAAAGCCGAGGCCCATGTCTGGTAAGCCGGAAGTGATCATGATAATCCAGACGATTTCCACAGGGGCCAAGGGGAAGACAGATAAAGACGAAGCATCCTTGAAGGCCAGGCCGACGAGCAAAGTACCGGCTTGCGCGAGGTTCTCAGCGAGGACGTGCAGGACAAATTTTTGGATGTTGTCAAAGATGCGGCGGCCTTCTTCGATGGCGGAGACGATGGAGGCGAAGTTGTCATCGGTGAGGACAATGTCGGAGGCGTCTTTGGCGACGTCGGAGCCGGAGAGGCCCATGGCTATGCCCACGTCGGCGTGTCGGAGGGAGGGGGAGTCGTTTACGCCGTCGCCGGTCTGGCGTTACTTATGTCTTAGCATTGTGAAGACAAAACAAAAATATAATAGAAAAAAAGAGAAAAAAAAGGGGGAAGAAGGAGGAGAAACCCACCATAGCAACAAACCTCCCCCTTCGATGCAAAGCCTGCACAACCCTCACCTTCGTCCCCGGCGCACACCTCGCCACAACCAACGGCAACACCGGCAACTTATCCACCTCCTCATCACTCAACTTATCAAACTCCCCCGCGGTCATAACCATCGCCCGCGCCACTTCCCCTCTCACCCTCCCGAGAGCCTTGGTGCTGGGTAAGATCCCGACCTCATGTGCGATCGCCCGTGCCGTGTCCGGGTGGTCACCGGTGAGCATGTGCACTGCGATTCCGGCTTCGTGGCATTGGTGCACGGCCGGGGCGGATTCGGGGCGCGGGGGGTCGTAGAGGCCGATTAGGCCGAGGAAGGTGAGGGAGGATTCGAGGGGGGTACGGGGGAGGGAATCCAGTGTGGTGTTGTTCTTGGCGTCGTTGTCGTCGTCGTCGTCGTCAGGGGAAGTAGTACCGGGGAGGAAAGAAGCAGGAAGAGGTCGACTAGCCAGAGCCAGGACACGCAGACCGAGAGAGGCTAAAGCGGACATGTTGGTCAGGACCTGGTCTCGGAAAGCATCGGTTATTTCGGTTGGCGGGGTGTTTTGGTCTTGGTCATCGTCAGAGGTGTGGTAGTGCGTGCAGACGTCCAGGACACGCTCCACAGCGCCCTTGGTGAAGACATGGTGGGTATTGGTTGGGGTGTGTTGGACGAGGACGCTCATGCGCTTGATATCGCTGTCGAAGGGGAACTCGGCGATGTCAAGCCATTCTGGTTTGCTATCCGTACCCTGGGTCGTATCCTTGGTGTGTGGGCCAGGGGGCTTGTTCGAGGTGAGGTTGAGTCGGTTCTTCCCAAAACGGCTGGCAAAGACTTGGATGGCGATTTCTGTTGGATCGCCCCGCGCAACCCAGGTGTTCTCTTTCTCGAAGACGGTGGCTACGTTGGCTAGCGAGGCCACAGTGAGGAACTCCTGAAGGCGAGATTTGCTTCCAGCGATGAGATCGCTAGGGGACGTCGTGGCCGAGGGCTTTTCGTCCGCGTTGTCGTTGGTGATGGTGTTGGCCCCCTGAGACGAGCCAAAGTCAATCTCACACGGCTCCCTCTCATCAAACCTCACCACCCCCTTCGTCGGGTTAAACGGCTCACTAGCCGTCAACTCCACCGTAAACGTCCCCAACCCTGCCACCCACGCCCCCCTGGCCACCATCTTCCCCTGCGTCAACGTCCCCGTCTTATCACTACAAATATCCGTCACCGCCCCCAACGCTTCTAGGCTCTTCAGATTCCGCACAATCACATTCCGCTGCACCATCCTCTTGGTCCCCGCCGCCATCGTAATCGTCAATACGACCACCAGCGAAGCCGGGATCATTGACAGGCCTGTGGCTACGGCGTAGATGACTACTTCCTGGCTGGTGTGGAACGCATTTGCGCCGAGCACGATAATTGCGCATACCACGGCTACGCCGAACAACACCATGGCCAGTTTACTCAGTTTCCTCTGCAGCGGCGTACCGACGCTGACCCCGAGAAACCGGCCGATGGCGTCGCCGAGCGTTAAGGTATACGCCTCTAGATACCGATGCGGACCAGCATGGCCGTCAGGTTTGCGTTTGACGGGCCGCACGCGCGGGTGGTCCTTTTGGTTGAGAGCGGATGCGATGGCGCCGATTTCGGTGAAGGTTGCTGTTGCGAAGACGATACCTTTCGCGCGGCCTTTGGTGACGGTCGAGGAGCTGTAGGCTATGTTGAGGCGGTCGCCGGGGCCGGTGGGAGAGGGGAAGGTGGTGAGGGCGTGTTTGCGGACGGGGAGAGATTCGCCGGTGAGGAGGGCTTCGTCGGTTTCGAAGTTTTTGGTTTCGAGGAGGCTGATGATGTTAGCAGAATTCTTGGGTTGGGTGAGAAAAGGAGACGAACCGGATATCAGCAGGAATGGTATCTCCCATCTTGACCTCGATCAGATCACCCGGAACTACGTCACCCGACGGAACCACGACGGCCTCACCCCCGCGAACGACAGTAGCAGTCGGCGAGCTCAGCGACCGCAGCGAGTCCATCGTCTTCTCAGCCGAGTACTCCTGAAAGAAACCAACCACAATATTCAACATAATCACCGCGGCCACGACCCCGCCTTCAATCCACGACTGAATCCCAAAACTAACCGCCATCGCCAAGATGAGCACCTAATACCCCGACATTCACATCAGCACCCTTTATCTATTTTCAACGGTGAACAGAAATGGGAACAGTTACCAAAGTCATAGCATTCGCAATCTGAGCAACAACAATCTTGAGCGGCTGCACGCCTTCGTCCTCACCCAGGTCGTTGCGACCGAAGCGCTCCAGTCGGGCATTGGCTTCGGCGGGGGAGAGGCCCGAGAGGATGTCGGCGTTCAGCTCGGAAGCGACTTGCGTGGCCGTGAGGGCGTGCGCGGGAAGGGAAAGGGGGTGGTTGGATTGGCCTGAGATGTGCAGGGGGGAGGCTTTGGACTTTTCTTTGGCCATGGTGATGTTGAGGTAAATGGTGAGTAACGATGTTATGATGGAGGCTATTGCTGTGATGAAGTTGAACAACAGAACGAGGTTTGGTTGTTCTTGGATTGTTCTAAAACGCCAGGCTCGGGGAAATCCCATCTCATATACCATTCCACCCCCAACTTTTATGACAACGACATCCCTGGGAACTGTCTTGGCCTGCATGCGAGGCTTGCCACGCCCAGTTCTTTATCAGTCACAAAAACGTTCTACTTGCTCTCGATTTGCTCCTCGACAAAACTTCCTCGTGGTTGTGCATTCTTGGCCCTTCTCGGCATGCTTGGCGATGGAGCTCGGTGTCGGTTTGGTGTATGGAATGTGCACAAATGGTTTGGAGACTTGGGGTAGAATGGCAGGGGAATTCCTCCTGGCTTGTCTCGGCATCGTCATTTCTTCCATTGCTTTCACCCGCTGAATTCGATATAAAACAACTCCCACCGTGGTCTCAAACTGAAGAAACTGAAGTGGCAAACATGTCGTCATCTCCCAACGCAGGGGCAATCTCCAACCTCTCTAAGGACAACCGACAACCCTTTTCCAACCCTACCCGCGTTACCCGCGATTTCCGTGCCGAGACTTCTACGCCGAGACTCCCATGCCGAAGACCCGGAAGACGTTCGAGAACCCCGCTTGGCCACGCACATTTCTCCCGAGCCAAGCCTGCCAAGATCTCGGCGAGAACGGCCGGTGGGCCGGCTGGACTCGCTACATACCAGGACGCCGGTGGGGTTTGTCTGCGAGCCAGAGAAACTTACCTCGGGTCCGGGTTGGGCCCAGCGTGAGTTCGCGTGTGTGGGCGGCAAGATGTGCGTTGTGGAGGGGAGAAAAGGTTGCGATGGAAGATAGGGAAGACGCTGTGATCTGCTCTGTATGGGCTGTTTTGTGTGTGGTTTTGCGTATTTGGTAAGAGGGCACGCGAGGAGCCGGTCTGTACTTCATAATAATTAGAGCTTCCGGGCGTTGTAGGTAATTACCGTATTGGGATTTGTTGGGATTTGGGACTAAGAGATGGCAAGGTCGGCCGAACTTCCATACGAACATCAACGGCCTTGACACAACATGCAAGCAGGTTTACGCAGTTGCAGCCAGCAGTTATCTTCCGAATTGTAATCGCTTTGTACTACTTATATAATTATATATGTCCTGTGTATAATGGGGTCCTCGCTAATAACCTTTGAATCTGCACATTTAACCGTTTAGTGGTCTTGTTTACCCGTTTTATTCCAATTCGGGAAGCTGTATACCTGGGATGAAATATCCTGTAATCAGTACAGGTGTCACAAGACTGGCGCCTGAGTGGCTTTTAACAGTTGTGATGAAGCGAAGAAAGCGGCGGACCTGAGGTAATATACGAGGTGAGGAGGGCTGCATATATATAAAGAGGTGCGTGCGTTGGACTCGGAGCGGGTTCTGATGTCATGTTTCCGGAAACGCTCTCGTCGGTTTCCTGGCTGCGATGCGATGCGGGTTTGTCTGTGCAATCCATTCGCCTTGCCGTTTTCCATCTTCTTTCGACGTTTCCAAACACCTACAACACCATCGACAACTCTTTTCTCGGCAAATGGATCACATTTGTCTGCGGCTTCGCGAGCTTCGGTTTCTTGTCCCGGCATACCGGCGGAGGTTATCAGCCCAGAAACGATGCACCCTAAACATCCCCTCCGAGCTCGTGGACATGATCCTGAAGCACCTTCCGCCAGAATCAGCCATTGCGTTCGCCCTAACCTGCCGCGGGCTTTTCTTCAAGCATTTTCCTAAATCGGCCGCCGCCCAGCTATCCGCACCCTCCAGAGAAACACTGCTCCAGTGGCTTGAGCAAGATAACCCAAGGCTCTACTTTTGCCACGGCTGCGCCTGCCTCCATCGATGGCGCGCGACGCTGAAATACAACTGCTTCAAGACCTACGACGGACCATGTTGGTGGAATCGGGATCGTCGTGACCGAGGCCGTGTCATGCGTCAGTGCGTGTCGACCTTGTCACTTAACCTCACATATTCCTGGGCCCGGCTTGTCACAAACCGCTATCTCTACGGGGCTCTTCACGGCCCGCCTTTGCAGGACATTGAGGTGACCCACCGTATTCCCTTCTGTAGTGAGATTGTCACGACCTTTTGGCGTGCCAAGATCATCGGCAACAACCTCTATCTCCGTGGCACCATGGTGATTCAGGGCGATGGGGAAAGGGGAACCGCGCGATCACTGAGAGCCTTCATTAGACTATTCCAAGATTCCCTGGTGTGCCGTCACTTTAAGGCCAGTATCATTTCTGAATTAGGCGGCGACGAGGAGTGCTCAAGTCCCTTCCGTCTAACCTCTGGAACGAAGATTCGGTCGTCCCCCGTTTGTTTCACCGACTATTATATACGTGTTGCCTTGAGGGACTTTCCAACATTAAGCCGAATAATTCGAAAGTTCGGGTCCAAGCTCAATCAACGACGTCCCAGCGAACGCGAGGAGTGGTCCATCGAAGTTATCCGGTGGCATAACCTTGGACAGTGTCGATCCCCGCACGATCCAGAATGGCACAACCTTGTAAACAGGTCTTCGCGAACCTCGAGAACAAGGGAGGACATGTGTGGGGCTGGGATGATACACAAATTGTGGAGGGAGGCGGAGGTCCAAGAACGGGAACGAGAAATCGAGACTGGACGAGGAAAACGGTGTGAGGCAGGCAAACTCCAAAAGGCGCAAGTTACTGAGTGGCAACTCTATAAGGAGAACTTGGAGAGAGATGGAGGAATCATTGATCAGGAGCCATGGTACGCATGGCGTCGTGTCGGATGCTTGATGTATTCTCTGCACACCCTGGATTGAACAGCGCCTAGGTACATAGAGGAGGACTCCGTATATTACTGCATGTAGACCGCCAAAACACTTCACTCGTCTTTTTGCTAAGAGCTGCCCATCATCGCCAAAGTGTCCACCCAAGTATCTCACCCCCAAGTCATCCTTTGATCCCTGGTTAGCCTTGCTGCGAGCTTATCCACTGCCCCAGAGGTCCCTGACCGGCGAGTGTGAAGGTGTCTGACGAGATTGGATCGGAAATCTGTCAATAGGAACCAATGGCCGCGGACAAAGGAAGGGAGAGACAGTACGGAGTTGAGGGTCAAGCTGAGGATGCGAAAGAGAAACGTTGGTTGTTGAGAAGGGCTGGGATACGGCCTGGGGACGGTTGGAACGCGGCTAGAAAACGACTCGTGGAAGCAGACCAACATGGAGGCAATGCCGCAATCCTGTAAAGGGAGTCAAGTGCAGCTGGCCCTCTGACAAGACGACGAAGTACAGGATTGAGTGCAAGAAGGGGAACTCACAAAAGCAGCTCGTCTTGGCTTCCCCTGTCAAGGGTACTGAACCCCAGCACCACGATAAGGTGCGAGCTGGTCGCTGGGGGGCCTCTCTTGCGAGAGACCCCCACCACTCCTCGGGGAGCGGTGGAAGGCCGGCGCCTCTAGCCAGCGGCTACTTCAGCGACTACCCCACTAGCCGCTGGGTGGCCCATGCATCCCTGTTCCCGGGGCTTTGGGAAAGGCAGAAACAGGTTCTGGGAGCCTGTCCAGCATCTTGGTAAGGACTTGGAGGACCTGATCACCTTTCGATGTCGCATCCTGAACATCCTCGCGTTTCACAAGGGCTTGGACGTCGGTCCTCAGACCACGGACGTCCTCGCGAACCTCTTGCACGACGGTCATAAGATGCTCGTACTGGTTCGTCTGCTGAAGAACTTCCTCGCGAGTCGGTAGCTCTTGCAAGACGGCCATCAGCTGCTCGTGCTGGTTCCTGCGCTCAAGAGCCGTCTCGCGCAACTCTGTCCTCACATCAGAAACGAGCTCGACAATCGACTCCTGTGGCTCAGGGGTGGGGCCCTGAACAACATTCTTAATCGATTTGACATCTTCGCCGACAGCTTCAGTCTTCCCTTCAAGCCTGGTTAGCACCACCGTCAAAGGTCCGAGATCCTGTTCAGGAGTGGAGGCCTTGGGGAACCATGAGGGAAAAAAAGCTCGGACAATGTCAAGGAGGAGCTGGCAGATAATAAGGCCACCACGATATGGAGTACAGCGGAGCGCTAGGCACTGCAGTCTTGGCGAACACATTTTTATTTTCCGTCAACTGAACCCAAGGTTGGTAGTCTTCACCGTTTTGTTTCCGCGGATATGATCCACTGTGTACAGACCACCATTTTAGGCATCCAGCAGGACGGGTTTGGAGGCCTTCACTAGGTTAAGCCAGCTGGTCGTCCCGGGGAAGGAGGTTGCTTTGGTACAATGAATGAAGCTCACCTATCTGTTGTTTCACAGAATTATGTAATTACCTAAAGTGGTACAACACTCCGTATTCAATCGTCCACCAGACAAGAAATAACACCAATAATTATACCGTGGGAAAAGAATCTAGCTGATAAATATTTATAAACCGCATTATATCTAGTTCAATTTGTTTACTTTGATACCTTCTTTATTGAGTACCAAAAACGACAAGTTTGGGTCGATTTTCGATTTTCGGTAATTATAATTAGTGCTGTTTCGTTGCGTGGGGAATTCTGGTTTCACCTGAGTCCGAGGCCAGAGGGCCTTCAGCAGCATGTAGATTGTGGAACTATCCCACTTTGATGATGGGAAATGAATATGCTGGCGTCGAGCGTGCATTGTATGACTGGTTATTGATTATTAAATACCTTAACTCCAGACATCGTAGCTGTTTCGACACCATCAACAACCAACTTCAACAGTGCAACGGGCCAAGCTTCCTAACCGACGACAATGAGCGCCAGAACTCCCAGAAACACCTCTGGAAACACCACCGGAAACACCGGAACAGCCAGAAACACCAACGGAAGGGCTGGGAATGCCACAAACACCGGGAACGCTGGGAACGCCAGGAACAATACTACAAACACCGCAAATACCCGCACGGGCAGTAATGCAGCAACCGCCGGGGCCGGCGCCGCCAACACCCCGTTGCCTCAATTCATGGCCGAAATTGAGGTTTACATCAAGCTGAAACCCAGCGTGGAAGCTGCGCTGAGAGAAAAGAAACGATCGAACTTTTCTTCTTTGCCACTGCACTGGCAGCGTTAGGACCTTGACCTCTGGAACGACGCAGAGGGTACCGTCAAAGCGTCGCAGCGGCGCTGGGTTAATGAGGCCGTTACAAAAACTATCGCCGGCGTTTTGGGCGAGGATTACGGATGGCGGTGCGACCCGGATATCAGCTTGCGAGACGACTGGCTCCAGATCGGCTCGGATGCTGAAGCAAGGAAGTGGTGTATGTATAGCGACAGTCAACCTTTTCAATATGCTGATTATAGTATTAATGAGTTATAGGGGGCATCGAACTCACTACGCCACTCATGTCGGTATTGGAGCAGTGGCAACGGGAGATCAATGCGGTTTGGGACGTTCTTGGTAAGACGTTCGACTTCTGGACCGACAACCTCTGCGGCTTCCACGTCCACATCAAACCCGGGCCCACCAGACAAAGCCGTTACACGCTGGATCAGATTGTCAAGACGGCCAAAGGAACCTACTTTTGGGAGCATGCGTTGTCCCGCCTCGTGCCGCAGAGCCGTTCCTGGAATGAGTACGCCCTGCCAAACGGCACTGCTTTTGGCGGGCCCGAAGACATGTCCGTCTCCAACCAAGGGTGGACGCCGCTCTTTTCCAAGATCGACCGACTTGCGGCTGTATCAGAGTCCAAACTTGTCGATGCCATCAAAGGCGGGGAGACCTCTCGCGGCTGGACCGCGAAGCTATCAACCAACTTTTGCCCGCTCTACGAAAAAGGCACCATCGAGTTCCGTCGCCAGGCCGGCGTCGCCTCCGCCATGAGCACCATCCGCGGTATCCTCCTAGCCGTCACACTCCATATCAGCGCTCTCCTCTATGACTTCGACCGAACCAGTACCCGGCGGGACCGCCGAGACAGCGATGAACTACTCAAGGAACTCGCGGGGTGCATCAAAAAGCTTCCCGAAACATGCCACGGGACTCGGTTCGTGTACTGGCTGAAATGGTGCCACGACTCCTACGGCCCGGCGGGCGGGGCCCGTAGAGATTACACCGATGCGTAGATCAATATCAGGGAGGAGGCTTTTCGGAAGGGAGCGGAGCCTCCGAATCAGGTTACCTATGACCGTTTTGCTGAGGCTTGTCCTCCTGAAGCGCTGGTGCTGCCGGCATATGTACAGCCAGCGTCCACGGCTTCCACGGGCACGAACACCGCCCCACAAACACGACAAGGAACAGCCCCCACGGCCCAAGGAAGGGGAGGAGGAGTAGCGGGAGTAAGCGGGAGAGGAGGTGTCTCCAGCGTGAGAGGAGGAGGTCCTTCCAGCGGGAGGGGAGGAGGAGCCGTGAGCGGAAGAGGCGGCGCGGCGACCACCTCAACCCCATCCCGCACCAGTGCCACCACGCACAAACCCAAGGCGGAAGGGGCGGAGCATCAGCCCGAGTATTACTGCGATCGCCCACCAGCCCCCGAACCAGCGGTGGTGGTGGTGGTGGCATGACGACGATGCGTTTGCCTGAACGACCTGCGGCAGTGTCGTCTACTTCCTCCCGGCCTGTGGCCAGCTCGGGGAACAACAACACCACTAGTAATAACACTACTACGCCTGCTGCTGGACAGCGGCGGCGCCAGCAGCAGGGTTAGGGTGTACCAAGATCCAAGTGTGGTGAGAGGGAGTTTGGCATTGTACTCTAGGGTTTTTATCTGCTGCTATTTTATTTGCGGGTTCCCTCGGAAATAAGTGGGCGTCTTTGATAAGTCTGGAAGTTTAGTTTCTGTTGAAACGGAAACGGTACCTAATGCAAGGTAATTACAACGAAACAAAGGGGGCCAGTCCCCAGACGTTGAGATAGATAGGATAGGAGTTATCGGCGTCTGGTGGTTTCAAGACAACGGTTTTTATATGAAGCACAGTCCCGCCGTGTTCTAGCTTAAAATGACTTATTGATGTCTGGTTTCTTGGGTTTCGTTGAGAACAAAGTTGGGTCATGTTCATGTGCGTGACATTCACGAATCACGGTAAATGTGGGTACGAGGTCGAATTACCTATAATATTTACTCGGGAAATGGTCAAGGTACCTACCCAATAATTAATCTATTCCAGTCTCTCTTTACGGCCCGTGAGCCTTACTTAATGTATCTTTGAGCATGGGGCTATTCTTCTCCTCCCATGAACATCACATTTGGAACACGTGAAGTCGTGAATTGAGAATAACTATCTCGTGTTGTTGAGTTTTCAGAGGCTTCAGCCTCATGCAGGTGATCCTTTCGTGGTTAGCTCGTAATCGCGGGACGTCTATAGCCCGACCCCTGTACATACATGCAGATATTTATCTCACGATTTCCATGTCTCATGTCAAAACAAACCCGCGAATTCAATTCTCACAACACTCCCTACATAAGAACAACAACTCCAGAAAGTAAACCATGTCCTCAGGCGACCCCAACTGCGGCCTCTGCCGGGGCCAACGCTCCGAGCGCTGGTCCGACCTCCCCGAAATCAAATCCCACGCCGACGACGGCTGCCCCTACTGCGCCAACATGCTCGAAGGGCTGCTCTGGCTCATCCCGGACCTCGAAGCGCAATTCGGCGAAGATGCCACTTTCCGCTTCACCGGCTCCCGCGGCATGCGCGTGTATGCTGACCCGAACGGGTCTTTGCGGGATACCGAGCGCAACGAGGCCGTGGAATTGGAGTATCGGTGGTTTATGGTCGATCAGCCGCAGCCGTATGAGACCGGAGGGGATACGAAGGCGGAGGCGAGTTTTGAGAGGGCACGGGGGTGGATTGGGGAGTGTATGGGGGGTCATAAGCTGTGTGGGGGAGATGGGGTCGCGGTGTTGCCGACGAGGGTGTTGGATTTGGGGGAAGGGTTGAATGGGGACAGTGAGGAGGGTATCAAACTGGTCGAGACAGCAGCCGGCCAGGAAGGGAAGTACATCTCGCTGTCGCACAGCTGGGGCGGTGAACACCCCTTGACCACAGTAACCACCAACCTAGCCGCGCACAAAGTCGGCATCGCCCTAGCCGACCTCCCCCAAACCTTCCGCGACGCCGTGGTCATCGCCCGTCGGTTGGGGATCCACTACCTCTGGATCGACTCCCTCTGCATCCTGCAAGACAGCGCCTCAGACTGGGAGCACGAAGCCAGCCGAATGGCCTCAGTCTACCGCAACTCCTGGCTAACCGTCTACGCCACGGCCTCCTCCTCCCCCAGCAGCGGCATCTTCCGCACCCGCCAAGCAGTCTGGATCCAAGCCGACGAGCCCGAAGACGCCGAAACGCTCGACATCCTCTTCCCCGAAGCGGCCAAACTCCGCCAGGACCTTCGGCTATCCCTCCGTTTCAAACCCATCCACCCGGATTTCTCCCCCTACGCCGACCCCCTGCGGCAAGTATCCTCGCTCCCATTACTCTCCCGCGCCTGGGGCTACCAAGAGCGTCTCCTCGCCCCCCGCGTCCTGCATTTCGGCCCGCAGGAACTCTTCTGGGAGTGCATGCAGACCCTAGACTGCGACTGCGGCGGTATCAAGCTAGAGTCCCAGCACATGGGCAGCTACCTCAGCCGTAACACCACCGCCGAGCTCCCGCCCAAAGTCTCCCACTACGCCGCTCTCCACGTCGGCTCCGCTTCCCTCGTCAAGTCCCAAAAGAACAACGCATCCAAACCCTCCAAACGCCACGCCAAACTCCTATCCCGCTGGCAAGAACTAATCCAAGAATACACCCACCGCAGCCTAACCTTCTCCTCCGACCGTCTCCCCGCCTTCTCCGGCGTAGCCGCCGAAATGCTAACCTCTCTCGCCCTCCACGCCCCCGATAGCACAACCACGACCTACCACGCAGGCATCTGGCGCGACCTCCTCCCTCTCGCGTTACTCTTCGAACGTGGCAATATCACCCAGCCTGGACGGATCAGTATACTCGACCCGCGGCCTGCGCCCTCGTGGTCGTGGGCGGGTGTTGATGCGCCGGTGCGGTTTTTGGTTGATTTAGCTGGTCCACCTGCTTATGCAAAGACTGAAATTAGCGCGGAGGTCATAGAGTTGGTTACTGTGCCCGCGGGGGAGGATGTGCGAGGGAGTGTAAAACTAGGAGGGGACGCGTCGTTTTTGGTGTTGGAGTGTCCGTGTGTTGTGGCGTGGGCTTGTGTAGCGCCGGATGGGTATATGGTGCCTGGAAAGGCGTGGAAGAGGATTGGGGATGTGGCGAAGGATGGGAAGCAGGGGCCGGTGGAGGGGAAATTGGGGTTGGGGTCGTTTGGGGTTTCGAGGTTTGGAGATATTGGAAGGCAAAAGAAGAAGAAGGGGAAGAAGGGGAAGAGGGATGATTATGAGGAGGATGATGAGGATGAGTTTGTGCAGCGAGAGCCAGGGCAAGAGCCACTGACGTTTGTGCCGGATGTCAAGTTGTGTGATGAGAAAGGACAGTGGCTGTGGGAGGGAGAAGGGGAAGTGGTGTGTGCGCGGGTGATGCAGGTGGATAACACGGGGTACTGGTTGGTGCTGCGGCGCCTTGAAGGGACCGGGGAAGTCGGGGAGGTGTATGAGCGCATTGGCCTGGCCAAGGACTACGACGGGAGCTGGGAGGGGAAGGGAGCGAGGAAGCAGAGGGAGATGAAGAAGGTTAGGATTGTGTAGGCTATTTGGTGGTGGTTCTCTTTGTCTGTGTTGCCGTCATCTTGTTGACAGAGAAAAGAACAGGGGCTTGACGTAACAAGCACCCCGACGGGCTTGTGGATTGTGTACAAGCCCTTTGTGCTGCGCTAGTCTGTCATGCATACGCAAAACAAAGCCGATACCGCCCGAGTATTTAAGTCTCGAACCTCCACCCTCTTTTCGCATTAATATTCTCTTCGTCAAACCCCAGATGACATAATTTCACCGGCATCCCAGACCGTATTTTCTGAAACATCAGTCACTCATCTCGCAGCCTAGCCTGGACATTCCTGAGCTCGCCTTCACTTCACTTCCGAACCCTCAACTGCTGGCAACCACTGGCGACTATTGGCAACCTCTGGCATCGCCTCCGTCATGCCCGAACGCACCTTCACCCTTTTCCCCGAGCTGCCGTACGAGCTGCGCCGCCTCATCTGAATCCAGGCCTTCTTTGCGCCCCTGTCGTCGGCCTACTACGCCGACCAGAAATTACACCCAGAGTTATACAACGCCCAATTCCTACCGTTCCCCAGCGTTCCCTTGCTTCACCCGTACTGGGTTTCCAGGTGCTCCGAGCCCGACGAAGAAAATCGCATCAGGGAACTGTCCGATATCCCGGCCTTTCTCGAACGGTGGACAACATCGCAGCTTCGTGCCGTGAGGCACGCGAGGAAATGTTGCTGCTGAAGCAGCGGCTGGGGAGCCCGCGTGGGTGGGTGGATCTACACGGGACTGCATCTGCGAAAGGGGGCGTTGTTTGCTTCCGGAATTCCCACGTTTCAATGCAAGGAGGGCCTTCAGATATACACGCGGATCTGATCCCGACCATTCCTCTGCGTTATTCTCTGTCGTTGGACAATCGACGGCCAGACGAGACCGGAAGACTGGTACGAGGCCCACGGTTGCTGCCCGCGGCGTTGGCACATGTTGAAGTGATGGTGGCGGTGTGGACGCCCCACTTGTGCTGGGACGCTTTTGTGGGAGGATTGCCAGGAGCCCATCCGACATATGGCGAGGGCTGTGGGCAATTCGCGGACAGTTACCAAAAGGACATGCTGGTGGCACATCCCAGATTGCGCACTCTATATATCTATGATCCCTACACTCGGCCCGGGCCTGATACGCCATACCCCGTGAAGCGTCTACGGTTCCGTGGGGCTGGCGCGTCTTTTTATGAGATTTTGCCATTACCACTGAACGGGTGGAATATGCGGACAGTGGGAACGTTGGGGATCCATGGTACCGTGGGTATGTGGACGTTGCTCTTCAATATGGCTTTGAAAAACGCACTGAAGGAAGAACAACGAAAAACGGGGCGGAAGCGGATTGTTCGGGTCTTGCCGTTGGCTTGTATACCTGATACCGAACTCCGACCATGAGTATGACCTCTGTAATACCTTGACGGATCATCGCTTGGGTGGCTGTGGTTTGGACAACGGTATTCATGGCTTGGGCGGGGGTAGAAATTGAACCACGATATTTGTCATTGGACCTGGAAACTAGGGTAGGAAAGATGTCAGCAGTGGCATAAACCAGGGTGGCTAAAGGGTGTATCGGTCTTATTGTAATATAGAAGTGTAGGAGTTTGTACATAATTAGATCTAGGACGAAAGAATCCGAGTAATCAACGACCAAGTGTCATTTCGTTGTGTTTCCTATTCTTGGTTATAATTAACCTGGGGAAGCATTTTCCCTCCCACAGTATTTAGGATAACTAAGTACCTATGAATATACTTCGGGTTTCGCGGTACTAAGGGCTGCAATGATATAAATGTAGATATCGAGTTCGGAGTAATGAGCTGTTACGCTTTTTTTGCAGGTCACCGGATAACCCATCAACAAAAGACCGCAACTGAGATGCATCGAACCGGGAGCATGATCACATTTGTCAAAAAAAAAAAAAAAAAAAAAAAAAAAAAAAAGCTCCAAGTAAGGAAACAAGAAACAGCAAAAGCTCACCCTTGGAGCGAACGCCAGGGGTTACGGAAATCTGTTGGTACCACCAGCATACAGCCCTGGCTTCTTAAGCAGAGAAAATCAGGCCAACTCTCATCACCCAAGCCCGGTTAGCTCAGCTGGTTAGAGCGTCGTACTAATACCGGGAAACCTGTAAATGGTATGCGAAGGTCAACAGTTCAATCCTGTTACTGGGCATTTACTTTTGCATTTTCCCCATTTTTTCCCCTCTCCCCCTTTTGAGCTGAAGTACAGTAAAATTCCGAGTCTGTCAGTTTCACTGCATTGTTTCTCCTGTTCCGTCGTGCGCGGTGTATCACCGGGTTAACAATCAGTACCCAATGTGTTGACAAGGGCCAGCGACCCCCTGACCAGTCGTTGTTCACCCCAACGACGTTCCTAACTTCATAAATTCATGGGTTCTCGTCTAATTATGGGGTATGCCCGTTTTGCACTTCGGCTCAATAATGCCAGCTAAAATTACTTTCCGGGCGCCTGAATCATTTCGGCTCCTTTTCGTTCGGCCCGGTAACTACCTACCTAGGTATGCTCTGAAAGGAAATTTGTCCGCAACACTTACACCTTCACCTTCCACCCGCTCTTTGTCAGCTCCCCGTCCCGTCTGAGCCTCCTCACCTTCACCACCCTGGCCGCGACCATAAGCACCATCCCAAGCAACAACGACGCCCCCGCAAACGCCTGCGCCCCGTAATACGACCCGCCCCCGGCCGTGATGATGGCGCCCGCAATCGGCGGCCCGGCTAGCGTGGCAAAGCTGACAATCGTAAATAACATGCCCATTCTAACTCCGGATTTCCGCAGGTCCGTGGTCAGACTGCTAGCGCCCGCTGGGAACAGGCTCTGGATTCCGCCCGCGAGCATGCCGTAGAAGCAGCACCAGACGTACAAGCCAGAGGTGGAATTCACGGCCATCCAGCAGAATACGCATATGCCGGCAAGACCGGCGGAGGGGATTAACATGTTGATGGTGCCGAAACGGTCGGCGAGATGGTTCGGGAGCAGGCGGCCCGGGATGCCGACGCCGTTCATGACGAGGAGGAGGTTAAGACTGGAGGTGTACTCCATGCCGATGATGTCGCGGCTGAAGGAGGAGATGTAGTAGAAGGCAAAGTACAACCCGAGAAAGAACTAAATCACTCCCGTCAGTAAACCCTCTTTTCTCACGTACACAATAATCACCCCCCGCCTTCACTTAAACAAACACTCACCGAAAAGCTCCCCGCAGCATACAACGAATACTCCCCCTCCGCAAACGCCTTCCACTCCACCCAGGCCCCCGTCCGCCTCGCCGGAATCCTCGGTTTCAACCCCACCAACGCCACCGCAAACGTCGCGACCTGCACATACCCAATTGCCCGCATCGCCGCCGCAAACCCCTGCGTGGGCAACAACTGCCGTACCATACTCGGAAACACCAGCCCGCCCGTCGCACTCCCACACGCGGCCATCCCCATCGCCAGCGCTCGGCGCGTAGAGAAATACGTCGACACCGTCGAGATACACGGACAGAACAAACACCCGTTGCCCAGACCCATGCAGATGCCCTGGGCGAGGACGACGTGCCAGTACTGGGTTGCGACGGAAGCGGTGAAGATGCCGATGAGGTTGAGGGCGACGCCGAGGGCAAAGACGGGGCGGAAGTAGCCGGCATCGGTGAGGCGGCCGGTGACGGCGCCGACGAAGAAGAGGAGGAAGATTTGCAGGGAGCCGATCCAGGAGATGTCGGAGGGGGGCCGGGAGAGGGAGGTGGTGTAGTGGGTTTGGAAGAGGCCGAAGGAGTTGACTATGCCCCAGGTGTTCATGACCACGATGTGGGTGCAGGCGACTGGGGGGGTGAGTCAGTCGTATGATGCTGATGGTGGTGTGTGATTGGGGACTGTGAGTGAGAGTTAATACGCACCGGCTGTCCAGGCTTGGAGTCCTCCATTGGGGGGTGGCCCTGGGTTGAAGCTGGATTTGGTCGTGACTTTGGTGATGACTCGGCTGGCGACCCGGGAGAGTACGCCGTCTCCGTCGCCGGTTTCATCGTCGTGATCAACGTCATCGGTTTGATGTGCATGCCGCTGTTGTTTTCCATCCTCAAGCTCAGCTGGTGAAAGGTCGCTCCCATCATCGTTCTTCGTGTCAGCGAGACCCGGATGTGGTCCAGTGTTTTCGCCGCTCCGCTTCTCGTCGGGCCCGGTCTCGGCCCAGAACGAGGACTCGCTGTCCGGCCCGGGCCGGTGGACGTCCGTCTCCTTGTTGAGACCCATCTTCAGGGTTGCCGATGATGTTTGTGACAGTTCCTGTTAAAGTGTTCCCATGCCATATATAACTTATGCCTCGTTTTGTCCGCTCGCTTGGAAATCTCGGCGTTTCTTGTGAGTGCCGAGTGGTTTGATAATGTTCGTGGATGAAATTACGGGTCACGACGTTTTAAACATGAAAGACTCATAAAGAACCCACTGCGAACAATTGCACGATCCACTGCAATTCAGACAATTCCGCGGAAAACACCAAACCATCCAAACCGGTGATGTTTCCAGGAAATCCAACCTGCATAAAGGCCCAAACCAAACTAAGGATTCATGGCCGTCGCAGTTTGTCATCCGTATCAATGATTCACCGCCCACGCCGACGCCGGAACTAAAAACAAAAAAAAAAGTTCGCGTTCTCGGCATTGGGAGTGAAAGTGGACCCATGGAAGCGGGGAGGAAGGGATCTCGGCTTCGGGCCAAGCCCAAACGACACGCACGCCCTTTGAGAAAACAGGAGGGGGATGACATGCAAGTGGTGAACAAAACCGTGCGCTCTCGGGGTTGTGTTGCGGGTTCAGGGGGCCAGAGCCGATGTGGAGTACCCTGCGACCGCTGGATAAAACCCGGGAATACCGCATGTGCCGACCGGGAAAGCTTCCGACTCCCTTTCCCGGGTATGGAAATGGGGTATTTGCCTCGATATCCGTCGGGCCGGTCGAGCTCGGATGTGGGGGGGGGGGAGTTCCTTTGCTGACTCTTTTATGATCACAAGACGAACAAAACGGCCATTGAGCAAAGCTTTACTTGTTTTGAACAGCAGAACACAAGTATCCCACTTTGTTTCTAGGTATGTATGTACTGACAAGTTCCACAACAGACTTGTCCTGGCTATTCACATGAAATTAAGAAAAAAAAGACATCAAACTCGGATTCCCAGCCCCCGATTACTCATAACCATCCATTATGCTTCCCACCACTCAAGCCGGCAACACCCAAGTCACCACCGCATTACCCAAAACCGACCCGCTCCACTGCGCGCCACTCTCCAGCGAAACTGTGACATACACATCATTCGAGAACTTGTTCTCAATCACCACCGTCTTGCTCCCATCCGGGTTAACCGACGCAACCGACTGAATACCCGTCCCATCACCATAGCTGTAGCTACCGGTACCATCCAGCACGACCGCACCCTTCGGCATGAACTTGCTGAACTGCGCCATCATGTAATAATCCACCTCAAAGTTATAGTTCCCCGTCGCCGTGTCGACCGTCACCAACCCGCGGCAGGTCGTGCACGGCCCGTCGTTAGCCGACAGATGCGGGCCGAAGTTCTTGTCAGAGCCGAGCGTCCAGGCCATCGCGCCGCGCGCCCAGTTTTGCAGGGGCCCCATGGTGAAGTCGGCGGCTTGGGACCAGCCGGTTTGCGAGGACGTCCAGCACTCGGTCATGTACTGGTCGACGTTGGGGTTCTTGTTGTGGAAGTCGGTTAGGACGCCCCAGTCGAGGCTTGAGGCGTAGCAGTGCCATGCGACGGCGTTGACGAACTCGGAGGCTTCGTCGAGGACTGTTTGGGGGTACTCCGGCTTGTCTGGGTGGAAAATTAGCTTATGATTCACCCCAACAGGTCCGTGATCTGGGGAGCAGGGGGAAACCTACCAGTGTTGTGGTCATACGCCCACACCGTCGTCTTATGACCCGCATCCCTCAACGCCGGGCCAACATTGTTCTGGATCAGCTTCCCCGACTCATCCGCAAACACATACATCGTCGGCATCCCCGGGCGGCTGTTCAGCGGCTCGTTCTGAATCGTAATCGCATCAATGTCCACCCCCTCAGACTTGTACGCATCCAGGTACTTGGCCAAGTACTTTCCAAAATCCCCCGCATGGTTCGGGTCGAGGTTGTTGTTCTGCGTGTTGCCCATGAGCACCCCGTTCAGCTTCATCCACCCGGGCGGACTCCACGGCGTTCCGAGAATCGTGAGATCCGACTGCAGGCCCTTGAGCTTCTTCAGCATCTGCGCCATCGCCGTGCCGCGGTCGCCCAGCCCAAACGACTTGAAGTCGGTGTCGGCTTTGCCACCGTTGTCGTCGTACGAATATGCCGGGTCGGCGGACAGATCCGACGACGCGATGGTGTGCCGCAGCAGCTGGAAGTTGGCGCCGGCGGGGGTCACCAACTCGTTGAGCAGGTCGGACAGCTTGTCGGAAGACAGGGAGTTGAACACGGTGACGGTGGCGTCGGTCACGGTCGCGCCGAAGCCGGTGATGGTTTGTTTCTTGCCGGATTGGTCTTTGACTGAGAGTTTCCAGGTCGAGGCGCCACCCGCATCACCGGTACCGCTGACGGGGGCGTCGATTTCCGAGAGCTTGTGGGAGCCATCGCTGCTGGAGGCGAACGCTTGGGGCGAAGCGCGGGCGCGGAGAGTAGCGGCAGCCCAGACGGTGGGCGCGGCCGCCAAGATGGCGAGGGTTGATGATAGCATGGCGAAGAAAATGAGTGTCTTTCTACCTTTGAGTGCAGAGGGTTGTGTTGTTGTCGGCTCAAGAGGCGGTTGTGGTTGTCCTGCCTGGCTGGCGTCGAGATGTGACATGAGACAAAAAGCAGACGGCGTGTCGACGTCTTATACGTCGCGTCTCTCAAGGCTGAGGCTAGCGTCCGCTAAGATCTGCGAAGATCCCGTATTACAATATCCCGAGTGTGAGGTTCTAGAACAGGCCTCGGTCGACGCTTTCTGCGACCCGGGAAAGAGAAAACGTGCCGGTGGTGGATGTCGTCGAATGCTCAATTCCGCCACGCTTGTTGGTGGTTTGTTGTCTCGAGTCGGTCCTTTCCCGGGGTCTTTCTTCCACTTTACCCCTGTTTCTTGGGGTAGGATGCAACCTTAAGGAGACATCGAACAAACGCACCGTCCCGTAGAGTGCTGCCTAGAGCTACAAACTACAAAGAACCCAGCTACCCTGGCTCTGAGTAATCAATAGCTTGTTGCGGCCACTTCGCCGTGAAACGGCGCGGCCCCTGACATCTTGGCCGAGGGCGCGTGCGGCGCCGTAAAATCAAACATCAGGCCAATGAGGGCCCCATAGGGCAGACCTGGAAATGGGGTCATGAGACGGCCCAAAAAGGGAATTTTTGTTGATTTGGTCAAATCTCCATGACAGCAATTCCGGGCCAAAACATTAGTATTATGCAAAATGGCATTTGAGGGGCTCAACCGTACCCTAACAACGCTAACGTATTACCCCCCCTTTCCTTTCCACCACCACGGACAGACCACGATGTGAAGCATGTCTCGCAAGGACCCAGCTACCAGGCCTATTACGGCAGCTCAAAGACCAAGTGACGTTGTAACGGTCCACCCCCGGTATCTTGATTGGAACTTCAGGACCTTACTCCAACTCGCATGAACTCGCTGCCGTCGACAAAGTTCCTCAAGCACAACCGGCGGGTCAATTGAGGACCACCCATTGCATCCAGGAAATCGAAACCGCCGACCGGGTCGAAAGCGTCGTACAGTCGTAATGGCAACGTCGCGCGTCAGGCGCGCCTATGGCATTTCCAGCCTCCTGGAGAGTGGCTCCATTGTGTGGTTTACTTTTCAAGCGATGACTTTCGATTTCTGAGATCCACCCCGCCTGCGCCGGTAATCTTCAATCAGGTCCCCCGGTTTTTTTGTGTTGTGATCCGTGTTAGCTATCCGCGCTGACCTGCCAATCAGGCGATAATTTGCAACCTGAGTGGGGGATCAAGGAAGATCAGCTTGGACAAATGCGCCGAAGCCAGGAAATACCATATCCACGGATTACTTAGAACCCTCGAACCGTCAAACCACAGTCCATAATTGCGTTCAGCTGGAAACCCGGAGGCCGCGGAGCCTGGAGGCGACGCCGCATCGCATTCTCAGCTCTTTCAGCCGGCGTCCCGTGCCACTCGGGCGCCCAAGCCCCTAAATTCCCGCCCCGCTCAGCGACCCACTCCTCTCTTTACCCCCCGATCGGTGACAACAATGCGGAGCCGAGGACCGAGGCCAAGCCGGACGGGAACTCTGCTCAGAGACGGAGAACCCGAAAAGGGTAATCCGAAACTGCAGGCGATCAAGATCGAGAGTTACTATGTGTTCTTCATCGTAGTTTGTAACAAAGGTTCGATTTCAGACTATAGTGTGAACACCCTCTTCCCTGACACACCCCTCGTAAGCGCGATGGCGCAAATTCGCAAATTAACTTTGACCTATGTGTTTGCTTGTTCAGACGTAACAACGACAAAATGATGATTACAATGGCCTCTCTGGTCCACAAACAGCTTTAATAAACAGCTCATAAACCATGCAAATGATAAGATCATGGAACATAGCAAACAGGCGAGTTGGACTCTTGTCCCAAATCCCTTCCCCACTTCAGCATTAATTAAGTAGTGATCCTCAAGGGTAGAATCAGCCGTGAATGGCCCAACGAAGGAGGTTCTTAATCCGCGCGATCAGCGAACCACTTGACCCCCCTTCTAGACATCCAGCCCCTGTGCACTGCCCATCGAACCGATCGACGACGGAAGGGCTTGGGCGAGTCCAAGTCAACGTTCCCTGGACCGGAGAGGTGACGTTCGCAGTACCGACGGCTGACGCGCTCACCTGCCCACTGTGCCCAATGCAGGATGTGAAGAAGGTCGTTGGTACGGGCACCGTGCAGTTGTCAAAGCTGGTAGGAATCTGAGACAACACCGCGGTTCCTGTGCTGTTGAGGAACACGGGGTACTCAGCAGCTCGACGGTTCAAGATGGGCTTGAAACTTGTTGGGGTGGTAGTGGGGCTAGGTACATTAGAAGTCGCCGAAATGGTCGTTGAGGTGGCCAAAGCCGTGAGCACCGCCGAGCTCGTTGTGCTGACCGTCGCAGTGGAAATGGTTGACGTAAATGTGTATGTTACCACAATCGGCGACTCGGCGACGCCGCCACCGGAACCACTCGAGCTAGAGCTAGGACCGCTGGGTGTGATTGTTGCGCTCGTCACAACGGTGCTGGTGACGACCGTACTAGTTGTGTGCTTGCTAACTGAAAAGGACGTAATCGATACTAGGCCCGTGGAGTTCAACGGTGCAGTTCCGGGGAAACCAGACGATGGGGTATGGTGTAGGCTACCGATGGACGTCGAATTGGTGAAAGCCGGGGACGAAGTTGCCCCAGTTGGATGAGGGCCACCGGTCCTCGTAGTTACTGCCGATGACGGGAAACCTGGAGTGGATGTTGTTCTCCAACTACCGGTATGTCTGCTGAGTGAAATCGACGTCGTCGAAAATAGTGAGGTGAACGATAAGTGAGTCGTTCCAGGAGGCCCCGACGGTGTCCGGCTGCTGGAACGAGATGTGGCCCAGAAGGACGTCGTCGAGTTGACCGGTGCCGTTCCAGGGAAGCCCGCCGAGATTGTGGGCCGTGGTGTGCGCGATGAAGTGGAGTTGGTAAAGATTGGAGTCTGGCTGGCTACAGAGGAATGCGCATTCCCGGTTCCTGTCGTAAGTAGTAAAGAAGTTCCAAGGCTTCGTGTAGATGTGTGATGAGCCGTTGACGTCAAGTTTGCAGAAGGTTGAAACCCCGTCGTAAGTGGTACGGAGGTGGCAGGCCATGTTGCCGACCATTTGGTGGAATTGGTTCCCGGTCGGGTCAGTGATGCCGATGATGCCGACCCAGTCGAAGAAGTCTTAACGGAAGTCGAGCCGGTAATCGGGCCAACGCTGAAAGTGCTGGATTCCGACGGGGGACCGTATGGGATATCAGTTAACGAAAGGCTCGGGGCGGGTTGAGAGACTGGCAGATTGGTGCCAGTGGTCGAAACGGGGTGTGTTGTTTGTGGAGGGATTCCATCGCTTAGTGTTGGCGACCCATACCCATTATCCGTTGGAGAAAAGCTGTATCCTCCGCTAAACGCACTCGTCGTCGGGTTACCGGGCGCATTATCGGAGGAACTAGGAGTCGGGATGGGTGATAAAGTTGTTACCGACAGCAATGGGGTGGAACTCGTCGCAGATGTATCTGACTCGGAACACGACGTGCTCGTTGAAGGGAGCGGCAGAACCGTGACCTCCGAAGATGGGCTGGGCGAGGAACTGCTAGTGTTGATTGGGACGGGCAGTGTACTTTCCTCAGTCGCAGTTGAACTGCCGGGGATGGACGCGGAGTCCGTTGCCACGGATGCAGTGCAAGACGTTGTAGACAACGGCAAATTTGATTCGACACCGGAAGTAGTAGCGGATGGCGATGTGGTGGGAATTGGCCATATCGTTACTTCCGAAGGGGACGCTGATACAACAGACGAACTTGAGCCCGCGACAAGAGTAACATCTGTGGTGAAACTCAGAACCGTGCTGGAGTGGGGCCCTAATGAGACGGTTTCCGTGAGCGTCACCTTCGAAACCACGGCAGTTGCTGCGGCTGGCGAAGACAGCAAGGGAGTTGTGGCCTGGCTCCAGGTCAATGTGGGAGCCCCCGTAGTAGTACTACCGTATTGGTAACCGCCTGAGTCACTTGTGGTGCTGGCATCAGTTGGTGTGCTAAAAGACGGTTGTCCCGTGGTTCCTTCAGGTGCCGATGGTGTTGGGACGGTAGGGGGGCCGTACGAGTCTGCCGTGGAGGCGCTTGAAGGATCCCCGTTATCGATGGACGATTGAGCGCTTGTGGGGGCTCCATACCCCGAATCTTCTGTACTGCTCGCCTCACCAGTCACGGTTTGAGTATCGGTGGAGATAGGCGTGGCGACATTGGTATCGGATGTGGTGGCATGGAGTGTGTAAGTTATTGTCACGGGGTTGTGCGACCCGGAAACATCCACCGGGGTGACTGTCACAGTATAGGGCGTCTCCGAGCTATCTGGGCCATCGGTGCTGCTACTGCTGGGTGTTGTTACATGGCCGAACCCGGACCCTGATGTATCCGAGATGCCTCCCTGCCCGGCAGGGTGGGTAGGAAATGCAGGGGCTGTATAGCTGACAGTATACGTGGAAGCATCTCCTCCTGCTTGGCCGGGGATTGTGTAAGTGACCTGTACCACTGAGCCCTCGGTATTGGTTATCGCAGTGCTGGAACTTGGCGCGGGTGACGATGGCGTGAGGTCAAAACTCTCGGTTTCGAATATCGTTGCAGTGGAAACCGCCGTTTCGGTGACAGTGGTGGCACCAAGGTTTGGCTCGAGGCTAGGGACCTCGTGAGAAGCTTCGGGCAGCGCATTGCTTGCACGGGGTGTGGGTGTTGTCACAACCGACGATGTCAATGTGATTGTGAGTGGGACGATGGGGATGGAACCCAGCGTGTTACTAATGGGGTGTGGTGTCAAAACCGTAACAACCGGTGTGCCTGACTCCAACAGCGGATATTCAGTGACGGTGGTGACGAGTGTGCTCCCCGACACAAAGGCGGTGTAAGTCATCGTGACGGCGGTTTCCACGGGGCTCGACACCGCAGGATGGCCTTGATCAACGGTTAAAACTGGAGATGAAGGTGTGAGAGTGACGGTCCCCGTGAAAGCTGCTGAAAAAACATCGTCCGGCGTTAGGGTGTAGGTCACTTCGTACGGGCTGGGCTCCGCGGCCGTGGGGCCGGCTGGAATCGTGACGGTCGTGATGGTAGGACCACCTTCGGTCGACAATTGGGCGGGGTTCCAGGTTATATCTGGGATGGTGATTGTGACGAATTTCGTAGTCGTATGGCTCAAGCCATCCGGGTATGCGAGCGTCAACACCTTCGTGGTACCGCTTATGAAACCGTCAGTTGCCGTTATGCTCTCCACGGAATTGATGTCTGGAGAGACGGTCACGGCGGCAGGAGATCGGCCCGTTTCAAGGCTCTCCGCGCTCGTACCGCTGGTAGGGGATCGATTTGAAAGGTCCTCAGTGCAGGATGAAGACGTTGAAACCGGCTGACTACGCGAAGAATCTAGGATTGAGGAGTCGCTTGAGATTGAAACAGGGAGGTTGCTGGATGTAAAGTCCACGGAGCTAGCAGGGCTGGTGGTGATTGTGATGGTGACAACCGTCGGGGACGTCGATGCCTTTGTACCTGTGCTCGCAGTAGAGGCAGAATTGGCAGTCGAGTGTGCTAAGGTACTGGTCGTGCTTTGTTGAAGGGATGTAGTCGAGCAGCTCGTCTCAGGCGTAGTCGTGGTTGCTACCTCGGACGACGTACTGTCACTGAGACAAGTCGAGTCAACGGCATCGTCACTAGATCAGAATGTCACGCGTCAACTCTCCAGTGCCCCGTTGATGTTTAACTACCCAATGCATGCTTGAATACTTACGGATTAGGGACCGTGTTGCCTAACACCACCCAGTACGCGCCCGTGAGCGCCGCAATTGCCGCTCGAAGCCGCATATTTGGCCGGTTTCTTTTGAACGTGTTCGACTTTAGTTAACGCGTAATGTCCTCTCGGGAAAAGAAAAAGGGACACAGATATTCGTCACAACAACGGACTAAACGAGTGGATTCTGAATTGTATCAGACAAAAGGAGAGAACGGCGTGCGTGATTAAAGAACTTGGGATGGCCAGAGGAAACCAAGGTGGAAAATAATGGAGAGCAGGTAGCTGCTGATTTGGGGCTTTTGGTCGATTCATCAGCTCAGAAATTGGGATACGAGGAAGGCGCGACCATCGCGTAAATCGCGAAACGATGGGGCATTATAATTTCGAGTGGGATTGGAAGGCACGCGTTGGGCGTGCCTAGGCTCCTGCCACAAGCAAGAAGGCGCGATAGGACGATAACACCCACATCGAAATGTTGTCTTTTAGCTCCCTCCAGTGTAGGCGGGTGCCGATACGTAGTTCTGCCGCGTTCTAGAGGTTGGCGACCTTGGGTGGCGTTCCTCACTCCCGAATACACAGTTACCCACTTCAGCCAGAATGTCGGTGTTAATGTTGTGAGAGAGTTCAGTTGTCATTACCGATTTGGGACATGAGAACAAGAGCAAAGGAAAGCGATACGTATCAAATGTGAACCGCGTCGAAAGTCTACAGCGTAATTATTGACTCTTCATATCAACCACACAGTCTTATGAAGCCTACACCGGATCATCATGAAACACCGGCCCCTCCACATCATGGTTGGCTTCGTCCTCCTGCGTAATGGGGCGCCCAATACGTACTCTTGACTGTTCCTCCATCTTAGCCGCCCACATCGCCGCCCCGGCAGTGCTGGTCAGCAAGAAGAAAAAGCTCAGGATCGGGACAAGCTCCAACACCATAGCGACCGTGCCGAACCACAAATATTCCCAGCGCCTGATTTTAAGCTCCCTCTTCGCATCCTTTTTGCTAATCCCTCTGAGTTTAAACCACCGATGATGTGACAGCTTGCCGAGCCGGGAGCCGGTGATCATGATGAACGCGATGGTCCCGACGTAGGGGACGAGATTTAGGGGCAGGAACACGATCAGTTCGATTATTTGCACGAGGCTCCATGGTTGGTACTCGGCACGGCTCGTCGGTTTTCCGAGCATACGCACGGAGTTTGCGGCGTCGGGGAAAAGGACACGCTGGGGCGCGATCAGGTCCGTCAGGCCATGGTTGATGAGCGTGGCCTGTATCTTGTTAGTAAGCTTCCTAATTGATGCCTAGACGTCAAACTTGCATCGAAAATATCCACACGACACTCGTCAACAAAGAAGCCCTCGAAAAGGCCCTGGATGACCACCAAACCTTCTCCAAGAACCAGCACCGTTGTGTTGATCACAGCGCCCGCGCGGCCATGGAAGATGAGCAGAAACAAGAATTGGGGTAGGAAGGCAAATGTGAACAAGATAAAGTACACTAGAAAAGATATTATGGAGAGCGGGAGTAGTCGGCTCACGAAGAGCGGATAGAACTCGGGATGTCGCAAAAAGTACCAAATGCCACGGATGGGGTAAGCAGCGGACCTAATCGCCCGCGATGCATAGTTTGCTACGCCATAGGCCGGGCGTAAGAGAGGTGAAGCATGGGATCCACTTGATGGCGGCATGGCTAGAACGGGGAGGGGAGCGGTCGCTCGGAGTTTGCTGCGAATTTGGAACAGAAATCGTGGTGTTGGATCGTGGTGTGTTTCGACAAACGGGCGCCTCGCGCTGCCGGCCGCGTGTCCCCAGGGGTGCGTCACTGCGGGGTCATTGAATTGGTAAGGGTTAGGGTTATGTTCCCTTTTACTTTTTTTTGAACCCAAAACTTGGGATGGAACCCCCCAAGGAAATGATGAACGGTGTGGAGACTTCTGCTTTCCACAGACATAAAACGTGTGTGGCCCCAAGAAGAACGAGGGCAATCCATCCAATGTGTTGTTTTTGAGGTTTCCCCCACGCTCTTTCGTCATTTCCCACTGGAAATCAAGGACTTGACTGGAGTTGAGGAGAGTCACAAACAGGGTCGGCGGACTTTGGGATGTCTTCCCTTGCTTCGGGGGATTGGATCTTTCGTCGTCGCAACACTCTCAACACCAGAGGGTGCTGCGACCAACTGTGAGGGTGTTTCGGTGGGATTTGTGACCGGATTTTCGTCCCGATAGTCCCAATCCCATGTTAAGAATGTGTGCAACCGTTGGCCAGGTTCCCATCCTCCAGCGCTGACTTATTATTCAGAGATCCCAAGGAATCGGTTCATTGATGGCCATTACTAGCTCCCCAGACTGTGAAGCTGGCAGTTTTGTGTGGAGGCTTCCGTGGGGGTCATCTTGAATACCACCGAGCATGCCGGGGAAGCGGAGTTGAGCAATGGGGAAGCATGTCGATTGCCAGGATTGCCAGGGTTGCAGGGATGAGAAGGACCGATCATTCTGCAGCACCCCGCAGCACCATTTCCTCGTTCATCGCGTGAAAACCGCGACCCAAGCCTAATTCGGTGATTTTCTTCCGTCGTCACTTGTCAGTCAAACTTGCTTGTTCGAACTTCTTTCGGCGGCGGGTTCGGGATCATGGACCAACGTGAGCAAGAATTAGCAACCATTCATCTCGTGACCTCGTCAGCTCGTCTCCCGTACCTTCGGGCCCGTTCCTTCGCCTCTTCGGCCATTCTTCGCTACCGAAACCATGTGCGGCACGGCTAGCGGGCTATGACCTGCTGTCAAAATGCTTCTTGGCGCTCGCGACAAAATTCATCGATGGCAAGATGGGTCACGACAAGCTTCGAATTTTCACCGGTGGGAACCTCGAGAATCGGTGAGCTGGAAGAATCCACATTACCCCTTCAAGCCCCTCCACACTCCGCAATATTCTATTTGACCCCACGAGTATCGTTCTTCCCCTCGGGGTCCCCTCTTTTTGGTGATGCAGCGATGGTGTCGGAGATGAAGAAAGCTGGAGTTCGGCTTCGCCATTGGCAGGGACCCCTGGTCACCTACCCCGGCGGGCGCATGACAAGCCTTGCCGTTTCGATCTCGGCATGGCGGAAGTGACAGCGGGAAACACGGGTTTTGCGGCAACAAAGACAACGTCGTGCATCACATCGGCGCTGACGCTTGTTTTGTGTGCGACACAACCGACGGACACAACTAGCACCAACGCCAGCGCCGGTCTTGTTGTCGGTTTGAGGTTACAAACTTCAAGTTTAAAAAAAGTCCGCAGGCGGGGCCCGCATCACACGGTTCCGAACTGTTGAGAACGGGCCCACCGCGGCGGACCCTCCGAGGCTCCCAGTCCAAAGCGTCCAGTTGTCCCTGATCTCGCCTCTGCGGATTCTCCTGCCTTGATCCCGGGAATTCTGCGAGCACGGCAGTGGATGCTACTTTGCCGCATGGGGTTTGTCAAACCCACCCACCCCGTGGGAAAGTAATATATCAACCACCTCCCACACTCCCCCGCGTAAAAAAACGTGTCCCAACGGGTTTCAACCTTTCTTTCCTCTTTTCCCACCCCGCCTAACCGTCGCCATGGACTCGGCAGAGAAAACAGAGGCGCATCAGCAGGAGGTGACTACCGGGGGCCCGATCACCACGATGGACCCCCAACGCCGTATCGTGGTCGAGAAGAGCCTGAAGCGCAAGCTTGACGCGCGCTGCTCGCTCTTCATCCTGCTTTACATCATGAACTACCTCGATCGCAACAACATTGCCGCCGCCCGGCTAAAGGGTCTCCAAGACGACCTCAAGCTCTCATACAATGAATATGCCACCTGCCTCAGTATTCTCTACGTCGGTTACATTCTCATGCAGGTCCCCTCCAACATGATTATCAACCTGGTGTCACGACCCTCGTTGTATATTGGGTGTTCGATGTTGTTGTGGGGTCTTGTCTCGACCCTCTCCGGTATTGTCAACAACTTCGGCGGCATGGTTGCGATCCGGTTCTTCCTGGGCTTTGTGGAGGCCGCTTTCCTCCCCGGCGCGCTGCTCATTTTGTCAAAGTGGTACACCCGCCGCGAGCTGACGACCCGCAACGCCCTGCTTTTCTGCGGCAACCTCATTTCCAACGCCTTTTCCGCCCTCGTAGGTGCCGGTGTTCTGTCGAACATGCAAGGCACCCTCGGCCATGCTGCTTGGCGGTGGCTGTTCTTTAGTAAGTCCGCCAGAAAAACGGTGATGATGTGCGTTTCACGCGCCGGAATCAAACCGCTAACGCATAACAGTCGAGGGTGGTGCGACCATGTTCATCGCGCTGCTGGCTGCGGTCATCCTGCCTGACCTGCCGCACAACTCGCGAGGCTTCACCGAGGAGGAGCGCTACGTCGCGCAACTTCGCATGACGGAAGACGTTGGTCTTGCGGATAGTGACGAGGGCCAGTCCATTTGGACGGGTCTGATCATGGCCGCCAAGGACAGCAAGGTGTATTTGATGATGCTCACGCTCACTGCGTACGTCGTGGGCCTGTCGTTCAACGCCTTCTTCGTGGGTTCTGCCTGTGGTCTTGTCACCCATTTTGGGAGGAATTCATTACTAATGCCACTTTACAGCCGACTCTGACCGGTACCCTGGGCTTCGATTACGTCCCGACTCTTCTGATGAGTGCTCCTCCCTGGGTGTTTGCCTGCTTGATCTCGCTCCTCAACGCGTGGCACTCCGATCGGACCCAGGACAAGTTCTGGCACATCACCGGCCCGATCATCATGGGTCTTGTTGGTTTCATTATCAGCATGTCGACGCTTAATGTTGCGGCGCGCTATGTTGCTCTGTTCCTCCAGGCCGGTAGCTACGCTGGGTAAGTTACTACACCAGGACTACAACTATAATCTACATATTGCGCAAACATGTTCTGACTTGTTCCCAGATTCATCGTCTTCTACTCCTGGATCTCCTCCTCCTTCCCCCGCCCCCCTGCCAAGCGTGCCGTGGCCATCGCCATGATCAACGCCTTCAGCCAGCTGGGCAATGTGGCCGGCTCCTACGTCTGGAATTTACCCGAGAACGGTTACCGCAAGAGCTACGGCATTGTTACCGCCATGTTTGGAATCACCATTGTTGGGTGTCTCATCTTCCGCATTGTGTTGGTGCGGTTGAACAAGCAGCTGGATATCGAGGAGGCGACAAGTGGTGGTGTTGTGGATGAGAAGTCTGGTGTGAATGCGAAGAATGACCCGGAGAGGGCTAACAAGGCTTTCCGGTATTTGGTGTAAGGGTTTGGATAGCCTTAGTAGATTTGAATATTGGCCTCGAGTGCATTGGTCACCACGATAGTCATCATCAATCTTGTTTTCAAAGCTTATCTTGTTTCATGTCCCTATGGATAAGAAGAACCCGGCAGATTGCCAAGGCTCATCTGCCGATATGACCAACTCCTACGCACCAGCCTTTAACCCACGTTAATCGACGACGACCCAGCGCTTCCCGGCCCACCATTCGCCGTATACCCCTCCGTAGCAATAATCGAATAATCATGGCTCCCCAACCTCAAACCAACCTTGGCCCACTCATCAAAGTGCGTCTTGGTAGTCACAGTCCCACCAACCCGCTGCTCCTTACGCACAGACCAGAACTGCTGGAACGTGCGCGTGCCCTCGATCGATGGCTTGTTCACGCGAGTGGCGCTATACAATTCGTAGTCGCCTTCTTCGCTGCTGAACTCGCCGAGAAGCGTCCAGGGCTCGTTGGGGGCTAGGTCGGCGTGCGATTCGATGATGTAGTATTCAATCAGGGGGTTGCGCGTCCAGCCGTAGACGGCGAGGTAGCCCGGGCCCGTCGCGTTGTACGTGCCGGAGTAGGTAATGGTGCTTGAAGTGGGAGTTAGTATCGAGGATCTTGTGTTACTGGGGTACACATTGGTCACACCACGAAGCTGTGATGTTTTATGTAAGATAGAAGACAGAGGATGGCTTACCGTTCACCGCCATAGCTCCAGCCCTTGCCGCAGACAAAGCCACCCTGGCTGTTCCAGTTGGCCGTGTACGACGCCCCCTGGCCGTTGTTGCACTGGATGTTGCTGCCGCCCTCGGACCAGTTCTGGAAGTAGTAGCCGCCCTGGCGCGGGTTGATGGTGTTCTGCGTTTGGGTCTGGGGGCCCGGGAGGGGGGTGGCGAGCACAGTGGCCGCGCCGAAGCTGGCTGCGAGGAGAGAAAGATTCACCATGGTGATCTTGATCGGTTGGCGCGGAACAGTGGGAAGGTGAGAGGAGGGCTGGTGAGGTGAGGAACCAAGAACCGGGTCGGGACTTGTTTCCTCATGGCCCTTTTTATAACTCTCATCGTGCCTCTTGTCTGTGCATCTCTGTGATGGCGGCTTGGCGCAATGTCGCCGATGATTATGCCATCCTTCGCCACAAGTTAGTTCACGTTCCCTCCTTGGAGGAGCACTGCGCCAAGCTTATGTGACTTTTGCCAGAACATACGACGCGTGGTTAAGGTTACATGCCTGTGATGTTCTCCTACGGGCTAAAATCGGTGATGGTCAACAACAAGAGATCAGGGTCCCTTATTCGGGGATGGCATTTAGCCTAAAGCACATGACAATGAACATATGGGGAAAGACAATTCCTTCTAGCCGGGCCCGTTCTTGATGAAGTGCTCCGATGGCAGGGTTTATAGAGTTTAAACAATGCTAAAATAGTTTTGCGTAACACCCGAAGCCTCTGCCGTGTTGCGGGGGAGCCCTTCTCCCGGCAGTGTGGATTCCGGGGAAGGCATTTAGCTGCATGAGAAATCGCGGGTGAAGTCGTGCTTGGGGGCCAAGCCTGGACAAGAGCCGGGTAGTGGGGATAGCTCGCAATAACCTTCAAACTGGGTGCAACCTCTGGGCGTTTGATATTGGGGTGCCGCGCAAGAAATAACAGGATATATCCTCTGTCTTGATCATGGTGATCTTGTGAGATGCAGGAACTACGGATAGTGTAGTCTGGAACGACATGCTATTTTTGCCTCATCCAACAAACCTGCAGCAAGATGTCGAAACTGGGAGCAATGATGGCGATCCCGTAAAGTGGGAACAAATGGGTCAAGTGCTGGAACCCGGAAACAAAAAGCCAGCACCGCCTAAAACGGCAAAAGAGAGACTCGGATACCGGGAGTCGAACCCGGGGCTGTTGAGAGAGAGCAGTCACTCCTGAGAAGTGAGAGTCAACGATGTTACCGCTACACCATACCCGACTGAATCGCGTGTGGTCCCGATTTGTTGGAGTTGGCGGCCGAGAGTGGGCTTTTGTGCAGAGTTTTCGATGCGGGATCCATTGTGGGTCAAACCTTGATTTCCTTTTGACATCCAAGAAGCCAAGCTCGAGCCAAGGTCGCGCCAAGGAAGGTGAGCGAACCCTAACCCTGACTGCGCAGAGTGCTTACGTCATCCCAAAAAAGGGGAACCCCACGACTCCGGCTTCCTCGGCTGCAACTTCCAAGTTCGCGCGCCAAGTTCCCATTCGCGACCCTCACAAAAGGATCACCACAACTTGAGATAAAATAAAAAGAAAAGTCTCACCCACGCCCCACATTATCATCATCATGGAAGTAAGATGCCAATGCGGCACCGTCCGCTTCACCACCCCGACCCCGGCCCCGCTGGCCGTCTACCACTGCCACTGCACCGAATGCCGCAAACAATCCTCCTCCGCCTACGGCACCAGCGCCATCTTCCCCGCGGCCGGCCTCTTCCCCTTATCGGCCGAGCTCGCCGCTGCCCTCGGCGTCTGGACGCGACCCACCGATCGCGGCGGCGAGATGGACTGCTACTTTTGTAAAAGCTGTGGCGGGCGCGTGGTGCATCGCATCCGGGAACCGGATGGGACAGAGCGCGATGTGGTGAGTGTTAAGGGCGGGTTGGTGGAGGGGTTGCGGTGGGAAGGGGCGGCGCATATTTTTACGAGGAGTGCGGTGGTGGAGATTCCGGAGGGGGTTGAGAGGTGGGAGGCGGAGCCGGGGGATGATAGTATGCCGGGGAGAAAAGGGTTGGAGGAGTTGAAGGGTGATGGGGCGACTACGGGGTAACTGGTTGATGACTCGATGAGTGATCGAGTAGGTTTGGGAAAGGGGATCGGTAGGGCTGTGTGGCAACGTTAGCATGGAGTGGTCTGGAAGAAGAGGTGTTGCCCAGAAAGAACCTGGTCGCGATAGAACCCGAGAGCAGACGGCTAAGTAATTATTAGTGATTACGAATCCGGACCTCCACGGTTTGATATCGCTTCGGTTTCCGGCTGTTCCTGGAAGGGCATTTGTTCGCAGAATGGTGCCTAGAACTCCAACGGTCAGACCGACTTTTAACTAGTTGCTGACGTGAGTTTTGGAATCGGGGCTGGAGTTCTTATTTCCGCCGATCCTACGACAATTGATTCCCCCGAAATCCGCGCCGTGGCATTGGGATCACGGAAAGTATGCGTGAAACCCTGCTATGAGTTGTAAACCCCAAATCGCGATTGGTTTGTCTCACGTTGGCCCCAGCTTTTGGACATGGTGTGGTACAAGACGTTTCCTGCCACGCAGTCCCGCAGTCGCCGGCAGTGCAACGACTTACCAACTTGGAACTTTGAATCACACCTTAATCGCGTGCTCCGCTGAAACTCCACCATCCGCGGCGCCTCGGCGATAACCAATGGTGAGCGGGGATACCGGCAGACGTGAAGGTTAGCCCCTGTTCTCGGTTGCGGCTCCAACTGGATGATAATTACCTATAAAAGGCTCTCATATCCCATCTTCACGTTTCCTCAAAGATAAAGACAATAACAACGGCCGTCCCTCCATTCCACCTCCATTAACCGTACATACCTCAGTCTCAACAACACCGAGGTTCTTAGTATCGCATCGCAACCATGGGATCCGCTGCTCCCGCGACAGGTCCGGGACTGAAGGGTGAGGTCCTGCTCATCGCCTTTCCGGGCCCGCACAACGAGGAGTGGGTTACCGAGCTCAAGGCGGCGCATCCGGATCTCGAGGTCCGTTGGGTCACCCACTCTATCGCATCGCCGCCGGAATCTTTCCCGCCTGAGATTTACGCCGACGTGACACTCCTCGCGGGTTTCTGGCCGATCCCCGCAGCGGCGGTGCCAAAACTCCGCTACGTCCAGTTGTTTTCTGCCGGCGCCGACCGGTGGATCGATTCCGACCTCTACAAGAACCCGAAAATCACGTTTTGCACCGCCAACGGGGCTCATGCGTATGTTACCGACCAGCTACATTATCAACAACTATTGTCTTAGCAGTTGCTAACATACCAATTTACAGTCCTCAGATTGCCGAGTGGGTGATCGGCAACTGGCTCATGGCCACGCACCACTTCCTCCCCTGGGCAGCCGCGCAAAAAGAAGCCAAGGGCACCCGCATCACAAACTTCGCAAGCGATTCCCCGGGACTCCGCATGGGCATTCTCGGCTACGGCGCCATCGGCCGGCACGCCGCACGGCTCGGCCAAGCCCTCGGCATGGAAGTGTACGCGCACACCCGCAGCGAAAAGGCAACCCCTGAATCCCGCAAGGACGACAGCTATTGCGTGGCCGGCACCGGTGACCCGGATGGCCTGATCCCTACTAAATGGTTCCACGGCTCATCCAAGACCGCCGTCAACGACTTTTTGTCGCAGGATCTTGACCTCCTTGTTTTGAGCCTGCCTTTGACTAAGGAAAGCCACCACATCCTCAGCGCCGAGCAATTTGAGATTTTGTCCAAGAAGAAGACCTTTGTCGCCAACATTGCGCGTGGGCAGCACATTGACACAGATGCGCTGCTGGTGGCGCTGCGCGAGGGCAAGATCCGGGGTGCGGCGTTGGACGTGACAGACCCTGAGCCGTTGCCGGAAGGCCATGAGCTGTTTACGGCGCCGAACGTGTTTATCACGCCGCATATCAGTTGGCAGTCGGCGCATTTGGGGGATCGGCTGCAGAAGATTGTGAGCACGAACTTGGAGAAGTTGGGGAAGGGGGAGGCGCTGATTAATCTTATGAACCGGGAACACCATTACTAGGGGAATGGGTGCCGTTCGGAGAGGTTACTGGCTGGTTTGGTTAGAATACAGGTTGGAAAGGGACGCAGACAGGGTTAAATGGGAGGGGGATCCAGTTTGATAAGGGTGCTCAGTAATAATCAGGCCCATTTTGTGCGCTAGATATCCTTCATGTCGAAGATCCACCTTCACGCCATCACCACTCCTTCCTTGATTGTCTATCGGCTGCCCTTCGTTTTCCATCCCCGCTCCGTCATTGTGCATCTCCGCTCCTTCATTGTCCATCCCCGCCTGCATCTCATCAAACAGCTTTTTGGTCCAGTCGTAAACGTGATCGTATTTGAACCCTTGGGCCTTGAAACAGTTACGGAAAAGCCGTTGGAGGTATGCGTAGTCCGGCTTGTCGCCAAAAGTTAGACCCTGAACGTAATTGATGTACGTGGCGAATTCTTTGGGAAGAACGCCGTCGCACAGCTCTTCGCCTGACAACCGCTCCTTCATCTCCTTGGTCAGTTGCTCCCGCTCTTCCCTAGTGTTGTCAGACGGCAAAGATACCCAGGGCAACGAGCCACTGGCAAGATATACAAGTGTATACCCAAGCGCCTCTAGGTCGTCTCGCCACGATTGTTCTGAGAGTGACCGTTAGCACGTATTAAAACCAGCTGGTGCTGTCGAGGCACACTTACCACGACGATTATGGTGATTAGTGGTGGCATACAACGAAGTGCCGGGTTGCCGGTGATCCTCCACGTCCTTGCAGAGTTCGGCTTCTGAAAAGTTCTTCCCGATACCAAAATCAATCAGGTAGAGTAGATTGCCGTGCTTGCCCGTCCCCATTAAAAAGTTGCTGGGCTTGATATCGCGATGAACGTAGCCCTTCGAATGGAGAAAGCGGATTCGGGACAGTGCCTGATCTGCGATTAGAAGGATGGTCTTCAATGAGAATTTCCGGCCGCAAAACAGGAACAAGTCGTTGAGTGACGGGCCGAGGGCATCCATGATGAAGACCGCAAATTCGCATTGGTATCCTGACCACCGGACTCGCGGGATTCCGATCCCACCCTTCAGAGTGTTGTTTATCTCCCGTTCATCCTGGAACACGCTCGAGTGGACTGATGTCTTGTAAGCGTTCATCAATTTGACGGCGACTTCCTCGTTAGACTGAAGATCAGTCGCTGCCAGAATTAGCTATTGCCGACCGGAGTAAAACAAGGCAAGCCTGGGCCGTACCAGAGTAAACCACACCGCACCCTCCCTTGCCGGTTCTATGGCTGATGCGGTATCTGTTGTTGATGCAAATATCCTAAGTACAGTGTCAGGAAGTTCCTTCAATGTGGAAAGATGGGACGCCGTGCCTGCATTGTGACATATCGTGGGCGAGAGAAATGGAACGTGTTAGACCAAGACGTAGCAAGGCTTTGCCACCGAACCCCTTCAGGGAGAAAGGCACGTCTAGAGAATAACAAGAGAGAAAGACGAGGGTCACTCTGCTTCAAGCTATACGGTTCAACTGCTCTATCTTTGCCGCCTGTTTCGTAATTATCTCCGTCACAAGAACTTAATTAGGTTTTATGCTCGAGTTGTCACGCGACCGGAGACTGTTCGCGAGCGCGGGAAACGTGTCATGCCAAACGCCGACCACTTTTGGGCTGATGGTAGCACGTGCAATAACTCAAGATATGCGCGGGAGAACCAACCATTGAACCAACAAGGTTAAAAGCACCGACACAAGCGCCGGCCGCATGGGCAGGCCGCAAACGGGCATCATGTGGATGGGCAAACGCATTGCGCAGGCTGAAGAAGCGCCCAGTAAAAATAGTTGAACGCCGTGTGAACAAAGCCATCGCATGTATGGACACACGCACCGCGTGGACGGAAGCAACGATGTAAATAAGTGCTGGTAAAAAAATAATTAAGCGCTGCGTCAACAACGTGATCATATAACTCCGTTCCTGAAATAAGCCGAGCGTTGGTGTTGGGGTCCCCTTATTAAATGAAGTACCTGCCGGATAAGAATGGAAAGCGGTCCAAGAATTCGGGAGCCTCGGCAACTCGAAAATAGCCAACAACGAACGGTGTGGCACGAGCTTTTTGAGCATTAATATTATGTACTGGAACATCGCGCCGGAATGCTGGGACGGCTTATCCAGGGTCTGGCCTACAAGACCTGCACTGCTAGAACTTAACCGGCGAAATAGGAAAAAGCACAAGCCAAGGTCAGCGATTCATAATACCGCCTTCACTTTCGTCCGGGACGCTCACCGCGTCAATGTTTGGGACCCTCCGCTCGCGACACCCAGATGCAGACAAACGATATCCAGACGAACGAAATCTCCACATGGTGGAAGTGATTCCGATCATTGTCGGCAGCGCCGACGATAAAAAGCCAACAGAGACCCGATTTTTCAATCTTCATGCGCCGCCCGCAGGACATTCCATCAAAGTCGCCCCAGATTTCTTCGATGGGGCTGTTCGAGACGCCGTCGAGAAGGCCGTGAGAGTCAATCTCAACCATATGATCATCCCCTCGAAATATTCAACGCGCATTCCCATGGCACCTAACTGTTTCTTTGACGTTACCCCCAAAGAAGCAAAATTCAGCGCCGCGATGCGAAAGACCATGCTTCACGGGGCTCTCGGCGCCCGTGCGATGCTCGCATTGCAGAACTATGGCGCCGAGGAGCCTGTATTTGACGGCAAAGCGTACACGTACACGGCGGCTTACCACCCCGAAGTGGGCACTCTCCAGATCTTTACACATCATGTTACGCCACCGACCACACCGGAGGGGGAGCCGGAGTACCACATGACCAAACTCGGTCTGTGGCAGATGACGGATAGCATCGAGGGATTTTTGCGCGGTGTAACGGCATTCAGAAATGTGCGAGACTTAGCGCAACGGCATCGTGATGAGTTCATTCGAGTGGCGAACGAAAGGGCGCGACAGTTGAGTGAAGAGCAGCAGCCGGGTGAGAAGCAGGGACCGAGTGAGAAACGGGAGGCGAGTGGGAAGCAGGAGCCGGTCGAGGAGCAACAGCCTATCGCGGAGACCATGGGTGTTGTGGCGGAGGGAGAGTAGTCGGATGAGAGGGAGATGAAGGGACGCGTTCATCCATCGCGAGGATGAAATTACCTATTTTCTGGAGATTATGAGCACTGGGGACCACGGTACAACAATGAGAAGTTCATTCTTCTGGGTGGTGATAGAGAACAATGGGTACATTCATTCACCGTGGACATACACAGGTCGAGTCGCATGATATACTATGCACCTATTTAGAGGATAACAAATTTTACCTTGATTGCGTTGAGAAAACTTCTGATTCGGTTATGCGAAGCGTCCAGGGAGTCCCAAGTCCCAGTAGACTGAGGAAAATAAGACATTGCGCTCAACGAGGCATTGGTTGCGAAACTTTGTGCCAATAATTAAGCCTCTTAAAATTACATGGATGCCAAGAACGCAGAAAATAAATTGTTGCAAGGTTAATAACTGACATAATCGGAACCAAGTCAAAATCATTTCTCTTTGTCCAAGTGGATGTTCCAAAAACCCTCAAAGTTCCCAATTCCCATAGTACAAAAAAACTCAACACCAATTCCAATCTCCGTCGGCGCCTTCGGACACGTCGGCGATTGATCGGGCCCCCAAAAAGTCGGAGGGCCCAAGTCGTTTCGCCGATGACTCAATTGCGCCAGGCACGGGATCTTGCGTCAATCACGCGTCAGGCCCTTCTCCACAGCCCAATCATCCAACGCGACACGCGACGGAAGGATTCCTGACCGTGTTGATGCCAAGCACGGTAAGCCCCTGGGCCGCATGGTCGGGGCAAACACAGTCCCGACTGCCGATGGTTTCAAGGCTTGGCAGGCAGCGTTTGGGTGACGACCAGAAGGATGAGGCGAGGAAAGACACTGATGAGGAGGTTCTTGGATTCCTTCAGGGTTTCAGCCAACAGCCTGCTTCGTTAAGAGAGAACAGGCTGGGAGGAAAAAGGGAGCATAAAAGAACCCAACGTTTCCCTCAATTCCATCGCTCAATCTCATCCAACATCTTCATCAGCTCATCACCATCACACAACATTCACAGCAATTCAAGAAATAAATACTCACAAACCCTACCAATCACCCACAATGCCTATCTCCCACACCGGTATCAAAACCACTCCCGCACTTCACCAAGCCACCGTGGCCTGGTACGAAGCTGCCCTCGCCCCGGTGGGCTACCGGAAAATCGTCGACTTCCAAGACGGCCTCGTCGTCGGGTTCGGCGACGGTTCCGGCATCCCTGACTGGTGGGTGTCTTCCGCGGCTGCGGTGTTGCAGGGACGGGAGCCGGAGGAGGGTGCGGCCGAGGTCGCGAAGATTTTGGGCACGCATACGGCTTTTCTTGCTAAGGGTGAGTTCTTCAGTTTTTTCCCCTTTCCTTTCTCTCCGGAGACAGCTAGGAGCGGCAGTCAGCTAATTACGTGAATGGGATAGACCGAGAGGCGGTCGATGCATTCTACGAGGCTGCTCTTGCAGCCGGTGGAAAGACCAATGGCGCCCCGGGCGTGAGGGAGCGCTACTCGCCGACGTACTATGCGGCGTTTGTCTTGGACCCGGCGGGCAACAACATTGAGGTTGTGTCCACGGTGGCGGTTTAGTGGCACAAACCGACATTGGGGTGGAGAGAATGTATTATCTTCTTACGATTGGCGACGAACTTTGGACTAGGTAGCAGGATCTTTTCGAGATTGGTTTACTTATATAACTCGCTTTTCACCCCATCACTTCGTTCAATCTTGACTGTGGGATTTGAGAGACCCCTGCATCGCTCCAAAGCCGTGAAAGTCTGTCGAAAAGAAAGCGATTGTGTCCCACTCTGCCATCACCTTGATGAGATTCAGCGTCTGGACATACGTATCCATGCCATAAGCATGAAAGTTTCCGTGACAGAGGGCATAATTACTCGTCCACCACAGCTGCAACTGTCCTCACAGGTGAGTACGTCCACTACCCAGTCATCCTCCATGATGTATCGCACGGGACGAGAGCCAGCAGGCAAGTTAAACTCAATAATTATCCACCTTTACTCTCTCAAGTGTAAGGACGGGCGTCTCAAGAAGGAAGTAACAACTAATTAAGGATGGTAAAGCAACAGTGTAAATAAATCCAACGTTGTTAGTTAAACGGGTTATTTTCGTTTGTTTCTTATGTCTTTTCTTTTTCTTCCTGATGGTCGCTTTGTTGTTTTAAGGAATCTTAGTTAATTATATCTTCAACATTACAAAATTATGTCATTTCACTTTTTTTCTCTTTCTTTCTTTTTACTTGTTCTTCTTCTTTCTTGTTTCTGTTCTCTTTTTCCTCCTTGACTTCTTTTTCTTTTTTCATTATTCCCATTAAATTTTAATATTACCTAAGAAAAGGAGACGCGGCGTCTTTCGGTGCCCGCTCCCCTTGACACCCTTGTTGTCAACACGGACCGTGGCATCGCGAATCGAATTAGTACAACAAATAATACCGTACCACTACCCCTTAATTACCCAGGAAGGCTAGCTCCATTCCAAAATCGTCGCCTGCTCAAAGTTGATCACCATCGCTTTTTCGGTTTCCTCATTCCACAATATATTCGGCACCCGCTCCCCATTGTGCGCCACTCGACATGCAAAGAGCGCCTGCAAGGCACGGAAAACGCCAGTTTTGGACTTCACCTTCTCTACCTTGTCAACCCGGTTCCGTCCGGCCCACGACAGGAGATTCATGTAAATAAGTCGTACATCGGTGTCGTAGTAGTACGTTCGTCCGAGCTCTCGGAGGTTAACCCCTCCAAGAAACACTGGCACATGGACTCCCTGGAGCGGCTGAAGGTGTTCATAAACCTCGCCCTCGTGTGATAGGTCTGGCACAAATCGGGTTGTAGTTGCCTTGCCGATGAACGTGTAGCCGTATTCGAGTAGCGTAACCTGGAAGACAATCCCCCATGCGCTCTGCTGTCCCAGAGGGACGACCCCGTCGTCGAGTGTTTGCGCCAGCTGCTTGCGGAGAAGGCTGAGCCAAGTCTTGTGATCGACGGGATGGCGACGGAACTCTTGATCAGTGCGTCGGTGGAGATAAACATTGGGGCATGCCTCGTCGAGAACGTTGCGAGTGGTTAAACCAAGGAGGCACTTTTGGGTGCAATATTGGCGAGTCTCCGTAGAGCCCCCCGCGTCGCCGCTATCTCCGCCACGACGCTGGGCGAGAACCTGTCCGGTTGGTGTTGACCCGGCGGGTGGTGTTGGTGTACTCGGTATCTCTGGTTCGGCATAATCCCGGTCGGAATCGGGCGAAACAGCTCGGGCACCAGGGCCGGTCCTGTAACCTTGTTGGTGGCCAACGGGGGCTTTTCGTTTCCCAACAGCGGCATTGGGGGATACAAAGGGGCGAGGCGATCTATCTACACCTTTGTACGTTCTGGGCTCGTGTGCCGACGAGGTAGATAGTGGTGCTCGTCCAGTGTCGGACGGGGATTGATGCATGGAATCCGCTTCCCATATCTTCAGTCTGTTGATTGCTCTTTGGCGTTCGTCTTGTCCATGTGCTGGTTGTGACGCTGAATGAAGGGCTAACATCGTAAACGCTAACACCTGGCTCACGGCGGTACAGCAGAGGGCGTTTTCCCGATGCTCTTCCACCTCAAGTGCCGGTTCAGCCATGTGGTACAAGAGTGTGATCGGGTGTGTCCAGTTAATCTTCAGAAAAACGAAGGTTTCGCCTGTTGTGACACACCCATAGGTGAGCCCGGCTTGGATCATGTAGTCGAATGCCTGAGTGAGCGCCGACGCCGCTAGTCTGTCGGCATGGTATTGAAAGTAGGCCTCTTGTTCCTTCTCGGGGGGGATAGAATTTCGCTTGGCCACCTCCTCGTGTACATCCATGGGTCTCAACCCGAGGCGGAGATGAGGGGGGGTTAGGTTTTGAGGGGACCTGTATTCGATGATGAAAGCCATGGTTTTCTCGTTTGAGTCCGAGCTGTTTCGCCTGTAGGCGTAGATGTGGTCCGGTCGAAACTTGGTGTCGTCCGGGCTTTTGGGCCGTGCCGGTGCCGCTCCCCTGGTAGCTTCGGCGAGTGTATGGGGGCGTGTTTTGAACGCGATCCCCGCGCCAATGTTAAATGCCGATGTGATATCGTCAACATCTCGAAACCTTTCAACAATCGCAGTTACCGGCTCCGCCACGAAATCCAGCAGGATTTGCTCCAGTGCTTCTGCAGTCGTTAACCTCCTTCGGTGGATCACCTCGCCTCGGGACCTGAGGTAAGCCCGGTTCATGAACGTCCTGGTATCAGCCGGAAAGCTGGAGAGGAGCGTCCTCATTATTGCCCTCTGCTCTTCAAGGAAATTGTCCCAAGGTTCCAGTCGGTGGGGGCATCGTCTCCTGGCTGGATTAGATATCAGACCGTTCGACATAAGCGCCGGGTTCGTTTCGAATTTAGCAAAGACAAAGGCAGGGCAAGCTGCCAAGTACTCAGACAAGGTGGTTTCGCGGGTATCCTCCGCAGCCTGCGCCATCTGTTCTTCTGCTCGCGCTATCTTTTCTTTTATTCGAGCCATCTGTTCTGCTCGCGCCATCTCGTCTTTCAATCGTGCCATCTCCTGTTTGGCCCGCACTCTCCCCTTTTTCTCGAGGTCGGCAAGCTGTGCTTTGTAGTCGGCCATGGCGTGCTCTCTTTCAAGGGCGTCGCGCTCTTGCGCCGCGCGGAGCTGGTTCTCCTGTTCCTGGGAACGGAGATCCATGTTGCAAGACGATAACAATGAAGTGCCGGACGGGCGAGCTGGTCAGATAGATTGATGCATCCAATGCGTTGATTCCTGCCAAAAATAATAACCTACCACAAACTGTGAACACTGTCGGTGTGTTGGCTTCCATTGCTTGGCAACACGCGTCGCGCGCCTTGGTTGCTTGCTTCTTGCTTCCCAGCAAGTCAGGGCGGGTGGAAGGGTTAGGGTTACGCAGGGTTAAGGTTCCCAGGGTGAGTTATTACTGAAACAGCGCCCATATACTCCACTCCGTATCACTATCGCCATAACCGTTACCGTTGCCATTACCGCTCCCATTGCGGAGCTTGATTATTTGCACGTTGTCTAATGTCGTACTCCTCCAGATGACGGACTAGAACGGTTGTAGGATTACAAGTAATCCATTGGCATAAGGCCTCTCGTACTTGCCAACACGTTGGAAGAAGTGGAGGCCGCAGTTAGATTCGAACCTGCGGTAATTAGTACATTGACAAAGAGATACGAGTGTTAGGATGGTTTTATTTAGTTCTGTGTTTTATTATTTCTCAAAAAACGAAGGTTGTTGTTAATACCTGTACCATTGTTTTGCCGATTGAGTGCAAGAAAACGCTCCAATTAATTACACCAAGCCAAAGCCGAAACAATTATCGGAGTTAAGGATTGACTGTATCCATCATCAGGAAGACAAACACCGAAGGACCAATTTCATCCCTTACTGATTCCTCTCCTTGACTGCCATTGTTGTCTGTTGAGCCGCGGAACGCGCGGGGTGCGCAATTCGCTGACACGGCTTGGCATTCCCCGGGAACCCAACATCCGGATGGTACGAGTCGACCACCCCAGACGCATGCCCGATCGAGGCATCTTTTGGCAAAAGGATAATTCCTATTCGTGGTTGACTTTGATGTGACCCACTGAGATATGGTGACCGACCTGGAGAGGCCTCGTCACCATCATTTTAGGGTAGAGACCTCTCACTGACTCTCAGTGAATAAATGGGCCTGACCTGGCCTGTTGTTGGTGTCCTCGGTCAACAAGTGAACAAACACACCACGCCGAGTCAACTTCCCTCTCGACATCCCCCCTCACCATGGCACCGCCCCCATCATCGCAGCCCAACAGGGGGCCATCCTCCCGGCCCCAGGGTAAAAAATCACCCACCGCCAAGAAAAGCATCTGGCTCAAACTCCTCACCATCCTCGGCGTCCTCCTACCCGTGTACTACCTCCTCGAGGCAAACCTGCACCGGTTCTACGTCTTCGACGTCGACGAACTGCACGGGCTGACCAAGCGCGCCGTCGCCACCTACGGCAACGATACCCGGGCCATGGCCGACTTCATTGTCCGCGAACTCGACGGCCAGGCGGGTCTGTCGACGTATATCAACCGGGATGAGGATTGGATGTTTAATAATGCTGGAGGGGCTATGGGGGCGATGTATATTATTCATGCCAGTCCGTCTACCTTATCTCTCCCACAGCATTCCATTTGGTTCGTACCATGCTGACGAGGAATGTATACAGGCATCACAGAATACCTCATCATATTCGGCTCCGCCATCGGCACAGAAGGCCACTCAGGCCGGCACACCTCCGACGACTACTTTTACATCCTCAGCGGCGTGGAGATGGCGTATGTCCCGGGCCAGTACGAGCCCGAGATCTACCCGCCGGGCTCGGTGCATCATCTGCATAGGGGCCATGTGAAACAGTACCGGATGCCGGAGAAGTGTTTTGCGTTGGAGTATGCGCGCGGGTGGATCCCGCCGATGTTGTTTTTTGGGTTTGCGGATTTCTTTACAAGTACGTTGGATTTTCCGACGTTGGGGAAGACGGTGTGGATTACGGGGAGGGAGATGTTGGGGAACTTGGCCAGGGGGAAGTTTTAGTCACCTACCTCTCCGTCACCTAGGTGGTGATAGTTGGAATGGTGATCATGGGAAATGTAGAAGGATTTGGGACTTGGGTAGTGTAGGATCATATAATAACATAGAACACTAATGCAACAATAATATCCCATGCATCACGGGAAATAACTGAATTTCCCTAAACCAGCTGCCAAACCGATCTACTTATCTAGGTAGTCTTCCTATCCACCCGACTCCAACCATCATCCCCAACCTTCGTCTCCGACCGCTGCTTCTTCTTGCCATTCCCCTTCCACGGAGTCCTGGCCTTGGGGGAAGAACCCCTAAAGGTCAGCGGCAAGCCCAAATACTTCCTCAGCTCCCGCTGCATCTCATACGCAGCCCCCGGCTCCTGCTTCAACCACCCCAAATACGTCGAATGACACGTCTGCTGCGCAAAGAAGCTCTTCGTCAAGAACGGCCCGGTAGTCGTTGCAGTCGCAGGCGTATTTGTGTTTGTACCAACCCCTTCCTCAGCCTTCAGAGCACCCCCCGACCCAACCTTAACAACATCCGCCCACCGCATCTTCCTCTCACCCCCCTCCCTCCACTGACCGCCCCCCACTACCAAGCCCTCCTCCTCCAAAGGCAACCCAAAAACCCCCCTCCACCCCCTCTTATACCCCTCCCTAACTTCCCCCGACACACCCTCCCAACCCCCCTGCGAAAACAACACCACCCTTAACCGCGCCATAATACCCAACCAGATGGCACAATCCGGGCGGTGGATCCACGCTTCGGGGTGCTGAGCTACAACCGCCTCGGGGTGGGCAGTTTTGAAATCGGTGGAGTGAGAAGCTTTAAGATCGGCGGCTAGCGCGTGCAAGAGGACGGTGATCCAGCCTTTTTCGCCGTGGGTGAGGTCGGGGTAGTAGAGCATGTCCAACTGGGCGTTAGCCACAGTCTTAGCGCGGCGAAGAGCGCTATTCTCTGCCTCGGGCTTCGTGTCGGCACCACCGCTGCCCGTCAAAGGTGCCAGCTGGGCATCGGTTGCAAGTCGGCTAGTAACGCCGGTATTGATACCCGCGAATAACGGATCAGACTTCGCCAGTGCGTTGAGGGAGTCGGGGGAGAAGACAGCGCGGTATTTGGTGAGACAGGTGGCTTGGTCGGCTGGGGTGAGACCGGCGTCTTGGAGGATGTTGGTTAGGAGGAGGTATTGCTCGACGACGTTTTCGGGGATTGGGTTGGGGGTTTTGGGTTGGGGGGCGTGAGGCCGGCGACGGAGGATGAGGCCCATTTTGATGGTTATTGCGAGTGTATGGATAGGTGTGGTAAAGATGGCTGGTGGTGAGAACTCAGGAGCTCGCTTGGCTGGGAGAGTTCCTGAGTGGGCTGGGAATGGGAGATGCGGAGGGTAGAGATGTGGGAGGCATGGGTTATTTATATACTTACACACCCAAACTGTCACACGAGTACCGGTCTTTGTTGTCCCGTTTGGGTATCCTCGGAAAACGAGGCTGCAGAACAATAGCGTTGTGCATGAGGGTATTCGTGGCCAGGCGAGTTCTCCACAAAGCGTACTCAGTTGTTTTGGCGGGACGAAATTGGTAAGTAATAAAGAACCGAGTGTGGCAACGCCATTGAGGTAGCCTTGGTGCTCATACACGACCTCGAGTGAGGCTGCCAGCAAAGTTCTTTGTGTTCCTGTTTCGAGCTAGCCCCTTTGTTACAACCTTTGACCACGTCAACTGACAACATTCGCAACCAGAATGATTATCCAGAATAGTCATCTCCATCAAGCGTAAATCATGACCGACATCGTTATCCCATCAAGAACCGTAGTCAACCATCCAAATCTAAGGTAATGTCTCGTTCCACGGCCGCCAGCTCTGCTCCTCAAACCTCGGCATGCACAAGACCTTCTCCGGCGGCCCCATCCACTCCATCTTACCCTCACCGTTACTCTCCTTCTTCTCCCCCTTGACCAAATCCGTCACATACCCCCTCTCCTCTTTAACCTTCCTCCCCATCTCAACCGAATACTCCAAATTCACCGTCGGCACCACCATAATCCTCCCAAACCCATTCCACCACAAATCCTTACAAAACGCCTGCACCTCTCCCTGCCTACACTCCCCCTTTTCCTTCCTGGCCCCGCGAAACTTGACCCTCCCCTCCACCAACGGCTGCGCAGTAAACACCACCGCCCCGTTCCAGCACGAAAACACCTGAAATGGCTCATGCCGCTCCATCCTCCCCTTCGCCACGGGATCGCTCCACATCAGTTCCCCCGAGTGTTCCCACCCGGCCGTCTCTGGCGTGATGGGGAAGAATAGGTCACCCTGCAATGTGCGCGCGACATACACGTCGTAGAAAAACGAGGGGTCGGAGCTCGTCCAGTCTAGCGCGCACGCCATGTGGGCATCCTGCCGTCGGCGCTGGTGTAGTAGCTCGAGGATATCATCCGGGCACGCGGCGACGTCATTAAGGAAGATAACCGTCGCGTCGGGGGTGTAATGGGACGGGTCACCGGTCGTCAGCGGAGCCAAGGCGAGGTTACGCAGGTTGGCGAGCGCAGCAAACCGGTCGACGCCTTCGGATAGCGGGTCGATGCCGTTATCGACGGCTAGGAAGGTGCGGAGATGGAGGGTGTTGACGAGGAGGGGTTGAAGGGCGGAGAGGATGTCGGCTGTGCCGTCGGGGGAGTTGCCTTCGACGATGGAGAGGGCGCATTGTTGGGGGCCGAGGAAGAGGGCCGCGGAGAGGATGCTGCTGAGGAGTTGCGGGAGGATCGGGAGGTTGTTGCGGAGGTTGAGGGCGAAGAAGTAGCGGATTTGGGGGGGGACGGGGGGAGGGTCGCTGCGGAGGTGTTCGTAGCGGGAGAAGTTGGGGGGTGGGCAGGCGAATTTCGGGAGGGTGGTGTCGGTTGCGTTGAGGATGGTGTTGAGGTATTGGGTTATTGTTGCGCTGGGTAGAACGACGCCTGGAATCGCCACTGTCAGCTTCGGTTCTTTTGAGGGTATTAAATTGAACGTTACGCGACACCCATACCATCCGACACTTCAACAGGCACGACCGCGTCTTTTGACCCCCCACCATACGTTCGGGCAATCGGCGATGCGCCCAGTCGAGTCAACAGAAAATAAAGCGCAATCACGGCTACGGCCGCTACCTGCACGGTAACGAGCAGCTTGCGGGAGGGCATAATCCACGCCATTCCGGAGACGCCGGCGGCGGGGAGCGGCACTTCTACATGTTAAGAATAAAGAGAAGATGGGCAGTTCAAAAGCAGTTGAGTGCCGACGTTGATCTCGCGTGGTGCCACGGCGTGTTGATCCAATGAGACGCAGCGAGTAACAGGGGTGTTAAACTATTGAGCTTATTTTTGTTTACGCCAAGCCCGATTGCATGTCCATCTGCTCATCACGTAAAACTTGAAATAATTATCGGCGGAGTTCGAAGTGAGCCATGTTGAAGGCCCAATGACTTCTCCTCATTGCTGACTCATGTTTGTTTCCCCATGATTAATCACTTCGGCGCGGTTAGAACCGATACGCCGCCTTTCTCACTGACTTCTTTTTCCGAGTCCACTTCGCCATCATCGCTCTTGCGAATATCCCCAAAGATCTCGTGCATCTCCTCGAGGGATTTGCCTGCACTTTGATCAGCAATCTCTTTGCAAGGATAACAGTGACAATCTTACCTCTCGTCTCCGGATATGTCACGGCAAAAATGACCGCGCATATGGCGTTCGTCAGGATGAAGAGAATCTGGTCAAGTCAGCTTCTACCCGACTGCTACAAGTGGTTGAACGGGTTCTCAGCTCACATAATACTTCCAACCGACCCGCTCCAATGCAATCGGCGAGCACTGCGTGATGATCAAGCTGACAGAGTAGTGGATGATCTGGACCACCGCGTTCGCCTTGGCGCGTGACTCGGTCGTGAACACCTCTGGACTGCGAAGGGTTAGTACTGCTGACTCGGAGATGCCCGTATCACAACGCCACGAGAAAAACTCACGGAATAATCCAAGTCATCGGCCCCAACAACGCCGAGTAGTTAGCCGACACCAAGAAAATACACGCAATCAACCCCTTCTGCGCAGCCTCATTCGTCGGCTGCCCAGGCACCGCCGGAAACCTAGCCGCAAGAACCGTAACAATCAAGTACGATAGCGACAACAACGCCGCGCTCGAAACCAAGATCGTCTTCCTCCCGATCCGGTCCACAAATAACAACGACAGCGTCGATGCAATGGGCGCCACACACCCATACAGCCCGCTCATCAACAACTGCTGGTCCTGGTCAAACTGCAGCGTCGCATAGATAGCCGTCTGGTAGTACTGCACGAAACTAATCCCCGACAACATAGCGGCCCCCAGCACAAACGACCCAACAAACAGCCGTTTCCTTGCCGGCGCCGTGCGCACGAGATCCGCCCACCGAAACCGGCTTTGCATCTGCGTTTCCTCGGCAATGCTAGCTTGGATCGTGGCGAACTCGGTGCGGCACCACTCATCGTTGGCGCCGTTGTAGTGCCAGGCGCGGAAGGCGGCTTCGGCTTCGTCGTACCGGCCTTTGAGACAGAGCCAGCGGGGGGATTCACCGATTAGGAGGACGCCGATGCCGAGGATGAGGGCGGGGATGCCTTGGATGGCGAAACCGAGACGCCATTGGTTGGCGTTGGCCCATTTACCTTCGCCGACGCCTGTCCAGAGGGCTACGAAGAAACCCCAGGAGACCACTGCCATGCGTTAGTCTGCCGGTCTATTGCTAGCCTAGCTTTGGTTGGGGGAAAGGTGGGACGCACTCATCTGGTTGACGGTTGTGATCCGGGCTCGCTCGTTGGTCTGTTGGGCAACGTCAGTAGCTTTCCAAGGGGTAACAAAGAGTCAGGATGGCAATCTACCTTGGCAATCTCGGCCCCAAACACAGGCCCAACACCAGTGATAGTCCCGACGGCATATCCGATCAACAACCGGCCGATGATGACTACACCAAAACCACCGCATCATTAGCTCTCTTTTTGATGTTGTCTAGTTTGGCAAGCAAAGAACAAACACCACTTACGCATAGCAACATGCGCCGCACCAGCCATGAGTGCAGCTCCCAGTACGCCCCAGGCACACCCAAAGGCAATCGCCCTCCTTCGGCCCATCCTATCGCTCGTCATACCAACTGAGGCGCTGCCAAGCCATGCTGTTTCTTTGTCAGCTCATATTCCGCACCGGGGAAGGCGCTGCTACAAGGGGTTGGTAGCAATGAGTGGACATACCTCCGGCCTGGTAGACCGAGACGATCGCCCCACGAAGCGGAGCATCCGGGTGGTTAAAGTAGCCGGTAAAGGAACCGAGCGCTAGACTGGGCGTGACGATGCCGGAGTCGCTGGCAGGGCAGTGTCAGTTCATCATTCCATTACCGTTGCGTTAAACAAACAAGCTAGGTAGGTATGCATCCGGCGAGAGAAGCAATCGTTACGACAAGACCCCACCTACAAACCATAAAGAAACCCCCCAATGCCCAGCAGCAACGAGGCCAAAAAGGGTTTAGTCAGCCATGACTCCCTCTTCGGTACCACTGCCATGGTGAAGGCCGGTCAACGGTCGGTAAAACAAGGTGTGCCGTAAACTCAACGCTGGACGGTCGGTCGGGGTTTCAGTTGCAGTGCAGCAGTTATTGCAGAACGTTTGTTTGCAGCAGGGAAGCAAAGGGGAAAAAAAAGAAAGGACAAAGGCAGGCAGGCGAGGACCGCCGCTGCGGACCCGACCCGGCGAACGCAGCATTTTCCTTTGACATCGACCGTTCCGATCTGGATGCATGGCGGCGCCGGAACAGTCAGATTAGTATGTAATCCACCGGTTTTGTCGATATTGGAGTGGTCGCTGTAACGGTCTTACGTTGGTTGAGGCCGGGGTCATCATTCGCCAGGGGGGGAATCAATTTGCCGACTGGCTGTTGGCTTAACGTGGTTTAGTGCACGGCGGAAGCGGGATCCTGAATCGGGATTTTAGCTTTGGGATTTGGGATGTTGGGTTGAAGAGAGGCAAAAAGGGTGGAAGTGGTCAAACTTGGGTATTAATTTAGAGTTTGTTTTAGAGTTTGCATACATATGCAGGTTGTTGATTGTAACCGAACTGTCGGGTCGCTGGGGTTGTGTCTCAGTTGAACCATGTGATAATTAGTTTTGGCCTCGGCCCTCAAAGAATCAGAATACGCACATCAACTGCAAGCGGAGGATATATTTAGCAAATGTTTTTTTTCCTTAGCTCTGACACCTTTGACAAATGCAGAAATGGTAAATTCATTCATTTCTCCGGATACTTTATGTAACGAGTACGCTGGGAAATGTAACCCTCGAGCGTACCTTACGCTAACGTAGTGGCTCGACATATCCAAGCTTTCTCTTCATCGTCACTAGGTTATATACTTGTACTTCAAAAAAGCTCCTTTAGCATTAGCATTATCAAAGCCAACTACAGCATCATGGCATCCACCACAATCTCACAGTACCATGGCTCCGACATGCAGTAAGTCCGTCCAAACAACTCTCTAGTTCTTTTCCTTAACCGCCAGACAATCCCATGCTAACGGACACCAACGTACCGTAGGATGTTTCACAAGGGACACTTTTCCGACGTGGTTGTGAAATGTGGCGATCGGGCTTGGATGCTTCACAAGAGCATTCTCGCCTCCAGGAGCAAGTGGTTCAATAAGGTCATTAAAGACCAAGCAGGGGGACCGTCTTGCAATCTTGTAACTATCAAAATGTGTGGGCCGAACGTGGCCGAGGTGATCCTGCGGTATATCTACGGCGGTAGTATGTCGACTCCCTTTTCCCCCATCAAGCGGTACATAAGTCGTTTAGTGGCCTGGAATGCTTCGAGATACCAAGCCAAGACTAACGCGCGCACCCCGCAGCCACCGAGTTTCACCATCTCAACGAGCCGGCCGGAGACGGCGCCGTTCTCCTGATGTACACCAAAGTACACCCCGCAGCCCGGTACTTCGGCCTGCCCACGCTCGCCAACCTCTGCCTCGACAAAGTCCACACCAATCTCAACCTGATCGCAGCCCAGCTCCGGGGTGACCTCCCTACTGGTGGAGGAGATAAAGCGCCCTTGATACAGGCCGTAACCAAGGCGATTCGGAACTTTTATGCGTACGACCACGAGGTAGTCAAGAAGTTCAGTGAGATTGGGCTGCTTCGGGCCGAGTTTGTGCATTTTGCTTGTGATGTGTGGGAGATCCTGCGTCGCGATAGGGAGTTTATGGTTTTTATGAGGACGGAAGTGCCCAACTTTGCGCTGGACGTCGGGAGGACGTGGCAAAGGCCTCAGGGGAAGGATGAGAAGCCTGTCAGGTGTCCTAGTGTTGAGGATTAGACTTTCTAGATGGCACGTTTGTGGGTGGCCGAAGCCCGGGATGAGGGAGCCGTGGGGGGTTTCTGAGTCAATTGGACGAGGTGTTAGTGCTTAAATGGGTGCTTTCAGCACACATTCATGGGCAGTAATATAGATATACCTTGTACACGCAATCCACCGCTTGAGTTGTCCAAGAAACGGTAACCGTATCTCTGAGCTGCAACAGTGTACTTGAGTATTCTTATTCCGTCATTTGAGTTCCCATTCAACCGACCTTTCTTGAAATCCTACGTGAATACCTGGCCTTCCAACTTACATCTTCATAGAACTCACCAGCCTTCATAACCCCTACTTCCCCTCAACCACCTCCCCCGTCTCCTCATCCACCCGTTCACTCCCCCCCGACAACCCCCTAAACTTCGGTTTCCCATCCCTAAGATCCACCACCCGCTGCAAATAAAACATATGACTCTGCACCTCAAACGCCTCCCGGCCCTCGCGTGTATGAATCCCCTCTATCAGCGTCGGAAACACCAGAATCATATTCCGCCCTTCGTCCATAATCGGCGTCCGGCAGTACACACACTGCACTTTGCACGGCAAATGGTGGGTTCGCGACTTGTTGGCTGAGTCATACCATGCGAGGTTGTGGTGGCCACGGGGGAAGTTGATGTCGGTTTTGTGGAAGATGGCCGCCCATTGGAAGGGGGCCTGCTTGGGTGGAGAGGTTAATGTTGGGAATGGAATATGGGTGACAATATCACAGGATATTTTGAACAGGTTGGGGAGATTGCTCACTCCATGAAGCTGTTGACATGTGGTGCAGTGGCAGTACTTCGAGGCTAAAGGCTTGTCTCGGCTCAGCTGATACTCCACGGCGCCGCAGTGACATTTTCCTTTCCATTTGACGTCAAAATTGCCGACTTCGTGGACACGATAGGGGGGTTGTTCCTTCCAAGACTCTCTTTCGGGAGGTTTATCCTGCTGTGTCTCTGGCATCGTTTTCGGGGTTGTGCTCTGGACGAGATCAGATGCCCAGATGCTCGGTTCGTTCGAGTGTTCCAAGGGTTCAATGTCTCCTTCCACAGGTCATGAACAGATGACCAAGTTAGGGTCTTATCATACAAATCGGAAAGTTCACGCGACAACCTTCGAAGGTAAACCGGTAAAGAGGGGAGTTTCCGCGGTTTGCTTGTTTTACGGGGTAATTGATATCTCCAAATCTGGAATCAGGGACCTTCATGTTGACGTCACCAGCACACATTACTTCTTGTTTAGAACCCACTCCAAAACAAATAAACACGACGGTAAAGGCCAGAAGCCGGAAGTGTGGATGGTTCACCGTATCCGTCACGAGACGTCGAATTAGCCTACGAGATGTCTCCACGAGGACGGTCATTCAGCGCTCCTCCAAGGCTCGGATGACCTTCGTCCCTTGAAATGCGACCCCTAGCCTCCGCATTTCCTAACTTCATCTGATAGGGACCAATACGGAGACGCTCTTATTATGCTCGGGGGCTCGGACGTGGGTCTTCTTCCCTACAGTCCCCGGGCTCGGCCGCAGCGTCGCTGTATGGTTTGCATGTGAGCTCAGCACGGTGACAGTCACCCTAAGTAGGGCGTTCGATAGCGGTGGGTGACAAAAATTCATAAATAGGTCGGCTGTGGAGGTTAAAAGTCGATCTAGGTCACATCTCGGCACTTATCCCAGAGTAACAGATCAGCGCACTACGATTACGACAAAATGGGTTCCGTTCAAGACTTTCACCTTGTCACTGCCGCCGAGAATTTGCTAAAGAATGCAAAGAAATTGGCGGCAGCCACAGCACCGGGCGTCGATGACAACGAGCCTGAGTTGCGGCGGTGCGTTGCCAGTACGGCTAAGAAGATTGCCTTCATGACGGCACCGAGAGTCGATGTGGTAAAGGAGGACTGGGTTACGGTATGTTCCCTCAGGGCCATGATTGTGGAGACGATCCTAACATGAACCCACAGCTTGCTGAAGTCGGTGCCTGGAACATCTTTATTGAGTGGGAAGCTTTTGATTTTATCCCACTTAATGGCTACATCTCCATTGTCGATCTCGCTCGAGAACTCGACGCTCAGGAGTCGCTCGTAGGTAAGGGCATGAATGACTCCCATCGAGCCCTTCCATAATCCCGAAACCTCCATTGGCTAACATCCTCCTCCAACAGCCCGAATAGCCAACCTTCTGCTCGCGACAGGGAAGCTTCTTCCCGGCCCACCCGTCGCTTCATGTTCTTCGACGCCCCCCCAATCTCCTTACGCAAACATCACCATCCGCCACTCACGCATCTCACCCTTATACATGACCTCCCACCCCGTCTCTCCACTGTGCACCGTGGCCGTCGGTAATGCCATGCGCCCGTTCGCTCGCTGGCCCGACTACTTCGACATCTACGGTCGCTGCGAACCCCCTGAACAAAGGTTCACGCCCTTCTCCTTCGCCTGGGACTGCCCGGACCTGGAACCATGGGAGGTTAAGGCCGAGTATCCGGACTATGCGAGCGCGTTCGCCCGGAGTATGCAGTCGAAGGAGATGGTGGGAGGCGATACGGTGCTGGTGGGTGAAGAGGCGGTGTATGACATGGCGTGGGTGGGTGAGGAGGCGAAGGTGTTTTGTAATTACAAGCCGTGGGAGAATTGGACGCCGACCCTGGTAGACGTAGGGGGTGGGTTGGGCCAGTTGCTGCAGGATGTGTTGAGGGATGTCGACGGGTTGCGGCCTGAGCAGTGTCTGCTGCAGGACCGACGGGAGGTGATTGATAAGGCGAAGGATAACCGAGACGGGGTGTTGGCAAAGGTGGTAATGATGGAGCAAGATTTTCATGAGGAGCAGCCGCTCAAAGGTGGGTAGACATACGCACATTTGGCTTTGCATTATGAGGTTGTGCTTGCTAACGCACCCCCAGGCGGTCTCGTTTACATCCTTCGCAGGATCCTCCTGGATTATCCCGACGAAGCCTCTGTCAACATCCTCCAACATCTAGCCGATGCCTTGCCCGACGACAATCCCAAGGCTCGGGTTCTCATCATGGAGGAGCGGTTATTGGAAGTCCCAACAACACAGAACTGTCTTGTGGACGTCGTGATGCTCAACCTGGGCGGGAAGCTCCGGAATGAAGCAATGTTCCGGGAGCTTGCGACAGCCGCAGGACTGAGGGTAGTAGGGTTCCACGTGAGCCACCGGACTTCCAACTGCGTCGTTGAATGTGCGAAGGCATGACCTGCCACAGGCGTGCGGAAGCTACACTGATTCTGCTGGTGACAGACTGGTTACAGAGCGATGGGAGACGCCGGATCATTATCCGGGGCCGGGACCGGGAGCGTGGAATCGTGGTTCTTAAGCCATGCGGGGAGTCCTATGTCCTGAGTGACGACACTGCGTTGCTCCGGAGCAACCCTCCGGTCGAATTCTAGGGTGTTGTGTGACTGTCGTGCGACAACTGCGGTATCGTTCTACAGTTGGACACAGCCGCCCTGCGCCTCTGATCTAAGGAGGCTGACACGGGGTAGATCATTGAAGTTCGAGAGAGAAGCGAGTCCTAGCCTTTATTGCATAGCATAGTAGCATTTACAGGCAGTTTTAGTCGAATCGCAACGCATTTCGGTGATGACTAGGGAAACTTCTCACGTTGTGTGTACTTGTCGTTTGGCGTATCGTATCAACTAAATATTAACAGGACAGCTCATTTTTCTGGACCATGTAGTCGCCTTCCATGTCGCGTAACGTCCACGGCGCAAAACACAACGGGCGTGGCGTTCCACAGTACACTTCTCGAGGCGAAGACTAGAACTGGGGTTGGCTTCCATGCTCCAGGATCCGAAGCGCTTCAACGGCCACGCCACGCGGCAAGACACAAGCAGGCAACTCCCGTTGTGATACGTACGAGCGACATAACGACATCGTCGCCCTGAAATTCCAACTAAATGCCTCACGTCTCTCACTTCATCGGCGCGACGATGCCGCAATGATGGTGGTACCTTCGGATGGGTGTCAACCCAATGTTGCACTGGGCAACAACAACCCAACCTTGGCGATGTGCCGACGGGCGGCTGGTTCCGGGAAAGCGCACCGTACACTACTGTAGCTTAGGTATTGTGTCGGAACGAACCATCACTGAAGCCTGGCCTTAGGTAGCCCAGCGGCTCGTTAATTGATCAGAGCTTCTTATTTTTCCCGCCGCATGCGGCTCCTTTGCGGACATGGGACCTCACCCCGGGCGCGGCGCATCTGTTCATCTTCCATCCCGGAAGAGGATCAAAAAGGGCCCTGCCTCAGCTCGCTCTGCGACCCGTTTTCTGTTGGCGCTCCCGTCCCGCTGTAATCGAACCACCTTCTGTCTGACCTGGGGTTGCATCGCGGCAGCGAAGCCAGTCGGGTCGAGGGATCAGGCCATGTGAAGCGTCCCCGCTCAGCATCCGGCCCGCTCCTCTGGGGTTGGTTGTGAGTCGTGGGGAGAAACAAACGGCGCGAGAGAGAAAAGGAAGGGCGAAAGACATGCAGCACAGTCGTTGTCGGGGAATTGCGGCCAAATTTCGCCGGCTCAACTACGGCGGCAGCACGGGAATGAGGGATGGTGCGAACCACAAGCGATGGGATAAATTTTGAAAATGGCGCATCGTTTGCGGTTGCGGGCTTTTTTGGGGGGTGTTATCGGAGGGGTGGGTGTTTTTGGGTATTTTGGGCTAAGGTCAGTTAACGTATAGTGCAGGCGGCTGGGTCGTCGATTTGAGGCCTGGCGATGACTGACACGCGGAAGGAGTTGGGGAAGGAACGAGGAAGGGTGAGGTTTTTCCGAGGCTGGGTTCCGATGTTCGGGATCGCGGTCGGGTGCTGTTGAGAAGCGGAAGTGGGATTGATGAAAGAAGGACGAGGCGCGAGTTGGAGAAGAACATAATTAGTTATTCTAGCTTAAACTGGTCAGCGCTGTTTTTTTTCTCCAGGCCCGCGATCCCGTCTCAGTCAACGAGCCCCACCTTGTTCCAGAAATGCCCCTTAGCCATTGACATGACCAGGAACTTCCATTCATTTTGTGGACTTCCCAATTAGAACGGCTGAAACTCTGAGGTTTTTTAAGGTAGATGTACTACGCACATTCAACAATCAAGCCTTGATGGAGAACGGGCAACTTGCCCTGTATCTTGAACCCGACACCACCCGAGGAATGAGTGAGGCCCAACGGTGGAACGACTTAACCAAAAGTGATCAACAGGTGCATTGCATGCCCACGTATCTGGCCGAGAAACGGTGAAGCCCAGATGAAGGCCTCGAGGGCTGAATCCCTGCCCGCCTAGCCCCTGTAAGCGATCCCGCTAACGATGCAGCTCGCAACTGGCAGAGCCTCGGAAACTCGATGGGCAGTGCTATCCGTTGAAACGTTGGAATGTTGCTCCTTTCAGCGATGCCCCGCTATCATCTCCTCGCTTCGGTTTTGTGCCCTGCGCTTGTGACACGAGCAGTGTGCAAACTGGGTCGTGAGAAGTGTAATTCTATAGCAAGGAAGTTTGGGAATTCGGTGCCAAAAGGCATAGTTAAAAAAGCAATGCTTAATTATCGGAAATTCAACCTTCATCAGAGAAAATAAAGGTACAGCCACGTGTAAACTCAAGGGTGAAATTGTTTTTTTGCCCAGTCCAGGCAAGTGCGTTGATAACAAGAGCTAGGGCCCCACTTACTGGAATGAGGTGCGGGCCTAGGCCCAGTTGTACCCCTCTGTTGCCCGTCATCACTTCTGGTCGACTGCCAAGTTGCCTGGCCGCCGTTCCCCGTTGCACAACTGCCATCCTGCCCCGCTAACATTGTGCACTTGTTCGTGGGCTGGCGGGCAGCACGGCGTCCTCTTTATTTTGCGTTCCCTCTTCTTTCGTGACCTTTTCTACCGGCCTACATCCTCTCCGACGCCACAAACAAAAGAGTCCAAACAACTTCGAGCGCCCAGTCTTGCGACGCCGAGATGGTTTCAACTGACGGCGCATCCGGCAACGCGGATCCTGCCGAGCAGAATGCCCCGCGCGCAAACGTTCCGGATCTCGGAGAATCCTCGTTCCCACCCCACGAGCGCCCGTCTGTGACGGATGTGCCCGTCACCCCCGGCATTACTCGCGATGCCTACAACTCTGAGAACAACGGCGACTCGGCCGATGCGAATGGTGAAGGTGAGCCGAGCTACTTCTCCAAGCATGACTTCGACCATGCGATCGCGGCTTCGCCGGGGCCCAATACCACCGACCGCGAGGGCCAGAGTTTCGAAAACAAGATCGAAGCGGGCGCCGAAGAGGGAAACCAATTCATGCAACGTGTGAGTCTCGCCGTGAACCCGAACGCGACGGCTCCCTCCAGTCTTCCGTCGGTAACTTCGCCGCCCATTTCTCCCGACCCGACTTCCAGCGCGCCGTCGAAGGCCTCGATGTCGGACATCCGATCGATTAGCCCGGACCTGGCCTTGACCGGCAACATTATCTCTGCAACTTTCAATCTCCCCCATTCGCTTAAGTATCGAAAGGGTGCCGACTGGGTAAGTTGATTTTCGTTTTTGCTCCTTCGCGAATTTTCAACAAGCCATCGTGGAATAAGCGTTTGCCAAGCCGTAGCGGAATGGTGGGGCTGATGTCATCGCTTGCTCTTCTAGGAATTGACACCGCGCCGTGGCCAATCGGCCTTGTTCGACTCCTTCAATTTCCTCTCCGAGGACGAAGTCCCCTGGAACCACACCGTTGTCGCCTGGACAGGCGAGATTGATCACCCCGACGAGATTTCGCCGCCCGATACCCCGCCGACGACGACTGTTCACATCCAACCTCTGAGCGAGCTTTCGAAACCGATCCCCGTCGATGTCGATCAGCGCCCAATCACCCCTCCGGTTGTCGATGGTCTTTGGATCCCGAAAGAGGACATCGATCGCTTGGAGAACCAGCTTTCGCACGACAAGAAAATTAAGACAATCCCCGTCTGGTTGGCTGATGATGTGGAAGGACACGAGGATGGGATTCACTTGAAGGACCAGGCTAGATGGCGTCGTTACGCCGAAAACGAGCTGTACACGCTTTTCCATTACAAGCAACACGAACCGACCGATGGCCGTGCCGAGCGTGTCCAATGGGCCGACTACTACCGCATGAACCAGAAGTTCGCCAACCGGATTCTTGAAGTGTACAAGCCCGGCGACATTGTCATCGTTCACGACTACAACCTTCTGCTCCTCCCGAGCATGCTGCGCCAACGCGCTCCGCACATGTACATCGCGTTCTTCCTGCACTCTCCGTTTCCCAGCAGTGAGTTCCTGCGTTGCCTATCGCGCCGGAAGGAAGTGTTGGAGGGCGTCCTTGGTGCAAACTTGGTCGGTTTCCAGAGCTACAGCTACTCTCGCCATTTTTCCAGCTGCTGCACCCGCATTTTGGGCTTCCCATCAAACAGCTCTGGGGTGGAAGCGTATGGCACTCGCGTTGAAGTCGGTGTGTTCCCAATTGGCATTGACGCTACTAAAGTCGCTCGCCTGGCATGGACCGAATCTGTCAACGAGAAGTATGCGGCGCTCCGGAAGATGTACGCTGGCAAGAAGCTCATTGTCGGACGCGACCGTCTCGACAGTGTTCGCGGTGTTGCCCAGAAGCTCATGGCGTTTGAGCGCTTCCTCGAGATGTTCCCCGAATGGCGCGACAAAGTGGTTCTCATCCAAGTTACTTCTCCCACTAACATTGAGGAGGAGAGGGAAGACGCCGAAAATAAGATTTCGAGCCGCGTCAACGAACTTGTCATGTCTATCAACGGCACCTACGGTTCTTTGGGCTTCTCGCCCGTCCTGCACTACCCGCAGTACATCAGCCAGGATGAGTACTTTGCCCTGCTGCGCGCGGCTGATATTGGCCTCATCACCTCGGTCAGGGATGGCATGAACACCACCTCGCTCGAGTACGTGATCTGCCAACGCGACTCCGCTGGTCCTCTTATCCTCTCCGAGTTCAGCGGCACAGCGGGCTCCCTCAAGGACGCCATCCACATCAACCCGTGGAACCTCACTGCAGTGGCTGAGCAGATCAACCACGCTCTCACCATGCCCCAGGACCGTCGCGAAGCCATGCAACACAACCTGCTCGCTCATGTTACTAGCAAGAACGTTCAGTATTGGATCGCTGGCTTCCTTCGCCGTCTTGTCACTGTCCTTGGAAACAGGAAGAACGTCGTTGCGACCCCGCTGCTCGACCGCTCCAACATGCTCCGGAAGTACCGCGAGGCTAAGAAGAGACTGTTCATGTTTGACTACGACGGCACCCTGACGCCGATCGTCCGTGAACCGAGCGCTGCCATCCCCTCGGAACGCGTCATCAATAGCCTGAAGGCGCTTGCCGCCGACCCCCTCAACGCGGTTTGGATCATCTCGGGCCGTGACCAGGGGTTCCTGTCCCAGCATCTGGGCCACATCGAAGGCCTCGGTTTCAGTGCTGAGCACGGTAGCTTCATGAAGAATCCGGGCGCGACTGAGTGGGTCAACTTGGCCGAGAAGTTTGACATGAGCTGGCAGAAGGAGGTGCTTGATGTGTTCCAGAAGTACACCGACCGAGTACCTGGTAAGTTTCCCCCGGTTCAGGGCTGTGTGTCAATTGAACCCTAACATTTTTGGCCTCCAGGTTCTTTTATCGAGCAAAAGCGCTGTGCCCTCACTTGGCATTACCGTCTCGCCGACCCAGAGCAAGGCCTACACATGTCCCGCGAATGCCATCACGAGTTGGAGAGCACAGTCGGCCGCAAGTGGGATGTTGAGGTGATGGCCGGCAAGGCCAACCTGGAGGTGCGCCCGACGTTCATCAACAAGGGCGAGATCGCCAAACGGCTCGTCAACACCTACAACGCCGAGATGCGTGCCAAGGCCGGCAAGTCACCCATCGCAGAGGGAGACACGACCCCGAATAAGATCGAGTTCGTGCTCTGCATGGGCGATGATTTCACGGACGAAGACATGTTCCGCTCCTTGAACACATTGACTCAGCCAAGTCAAGGCCGTGAGGGTGCGGCTGCAGAGGTGGAGTCGGATCAGTGCTTCACTGTCACGGTCGGCGCTAGCACCAAGGTCACGCTGGCCCGCTGGCACTTACTCGAACCTGAGGACGTCATTGAGTGTGTGGCGCTTCTTGCTGGGGTCGGGGGAAGTGGCACGGGCTCGACCAGTGGTGGTGTCCTTAGCATGGGTGAGGTCAACTTGGCTGCGCTGAGCGCGGTCGAGGACCATATCCCGGAGCCGCTGTGACTTCCCAGCGGCAAAGAAGGGCAGGTAAAGAGCAAGCTTTAATTGAGTTTCTCTTTACCCCCTTCTGAGTGCTGTTGCACCGGTTTCCACGCGGTGCACGCAACTTGAGGCGTTTTATCGGGGGGGTTGGGTTGGCATGGAGCGTCTGGGTCACTTCCTCGTTTTTTTTTTGTTTGAGCGATGGGTTTACACTCGCATGGCATCAGGATTGGTCGCTTGGGAGAGAGAAAGATTTGAACATTGGGCTACCTACCCGGCTTGAGATGGCAGGGGGCTTGGGGGCTTAATGGCTCCTTTCGCTTTTTCTCATCATCGTCCGGGCGGCGCACCAAAGGGAAAGAGACAAAAGAAGACAAGAAAGAAAAGAAAGGGGATGGTGGGGCGGGGATCAGACATAGACGGCTGGCGGGGCTTTTTCTTTGCCGACGGACAGATGTCGTCCTGTTTTTTGAGTTTTCTGAGTTTTCTGCTCCCCCTTTTTTGTGTTCGCTTGACTTTGAGTCGCGGTACATTGCGTTGCGTTTTGCATCATGAATAGATTTGTACTGTACGCATGGGACCGGGATTCTCAGTCAGTTAGCTAGGTAGAGCGGGGGTTGAGAATGACGACAGCTGGGAGTGGTGAGCCTGGCTGGTTGTTGGACTTCCCCGCTTTCTATGGACGGACGGCTGCCGGTTTCCAGAGATCAAGAACTTCCCTAGAATGGGATAGTGAACAATCAAGGCTTTTACGAGCACCTAACGAAGTACTTTCCCGTGATGTTTACCATTGTTTTATCTCAAGATATTCGAGGTCTTTGCTTGTCCATCTGTGTGGTGCCAGTGTAGATCACAGAGCTAAGCTTCTCGCATATGGCCTCGATGGACTTCTTTATGACGCTGCCGTATGTTCACGTCACGGAGAAGCAGCAAATCCACTGGGACAGGCAGCGTTCGACACCGCCAACTCGCCATTAACGGAGCTGTGTTTGTCATGTTTGGTAAGGGATATCTTAGTAGAAAGGTTTCAGCGTATTATATGGCAACATTAATATGGTATTTATTCCGAGTCCGTGACCAAGCTCCCAATATCTATACCTGCAGCATCTCTGCATAATTCCCGCTCAGCCTTCCAAGGGTTCGCAGTGCTGAAGGATGATCTCATGCGGAACTATCCTGCGCTCGAACTTCAGACTTGTTTGCAGCTAGACTTTGACAGCAGGCCGTCTTGCCTAGCCCCACATCGTCCGCGAGGAGCGCGGTCGCGATGCCTCGATCAGCCTTGCTGATGAGCACCCAAAAGCAGGCCCAAAGCTGATGGAGGCAAAGGGCCATCTTCATGCCCGGAAGGGTATATGTAAAGTCGGGTTGCCGGACGACGCTAGGCTCGAGGCGAAGGAAGTGGAGGTCTTGTGGTGGGCTAAGCGTAGCGTCATGCCCTACCACCAACGGCTGGTTCAAGTATTAGCCAGGCGTATTGCCGCGAGGCATCGCCCAGATGTGAATGGAAGCCCCCGCGGTCGAAGGAGCAGAGAGGGTATAACCAATAGGAAGGCTCCCTATGTTCAGCTCTATAAGGAGCATCCTCCAATCGCGTTCGTTAACAATCTGAGCGAAGCGAGTAGACCCGTCCTGGTTGGCCTGTAAGATAATTAGATCTCGAGACCGTCTAGGCCGAAGTGCCAGGCTACCCCAGCGAGAGTATACCGCATGACATGGTCTACCGGGCGGGAGTAGTCGACGGGCATCACAGTAGTACCGAGAATCTCTGGCCGCTGGTGAAACCGCGCAGGGAAATTGGAAACCTCGATATTGACGCAATCGAGGGGAATGATCTGAGACCGCCGGGAGCAGTCCTGGACGATCTGCCGGGTGGATGGTGGGGTGGATGGACTGGCGTTTATTTTGGCAGCTGATGCGGCCGGGACCTTACCTAGGGACGTCTTGGATGAAAAGTTAGAACCAGAGGAAGAAAACGGATTGTAAGATAAGAAGAATGTAGAAAATAGAAGACGCGCATATCATACCTTTGATGGTGGTGTTGTATCGTTTCAAATGGGAAGTCGCCATTGCGGTGGCGGGGTGGTGGTTGGTTCTGGATTTGGAAGGTGCAATCTAACAGCAGCGACCGAACTAACATCGGAATAACATTACTTCCAAAATATCAAGGCTAGATTAGGTATCCTAGTTAGTATACTAGGATAATCAGCCCTAAGCTTAGTCTTATAAGTCTCTATTATCTATATATCTAGGTTCTCCGCCTCCTACTACTAGCCCTGGTTCTAGTATATTGACGGTAGGCTAGCGATACTAGTTAGTGTAGAGGGATGATCGACCCTAAGCTCTGTCTTACTTGTCTCTATTACATGTACCTCTGGCTTCTCGGCCTCCTCTTACTGGCCCTGATTTCGGTATATCGACGCTAGGTTGCCCGTGCTAGTGAATGTGTAGGTGTGATCGGCCCTGAGCTTAATTATATATAAAGATCCCATATCCCTTTCTACTCTATGCCGAGGTCTTCTATACAGATTCATTTCGAGTCTTATATGGTCAGAACTATTGTGGCAACACAACTCCATTTTCCTAACTAGAAGAAGCCGCCGTCCCTATCAGAACTCAGAGGCAAAGAAAATACATGAGGTTGTATCTGCTTTTCTTTTCAGCCTAGAATGGTGTCAAGCATTGACATCCGAAGGTACAGAAGAAGAACCGGGGTCCTCAAAGGAGCACCAGCCGGCAATTTTTCGGCGCCCAGATGGAAATTATGTTCAAATACCTCGCTTTCACCCGCATACGTCACAGACTCGTTGAAGAGAAGTAGCCACTGGTTCTCCAGCCGCGGCCTCAGATGGAGGAGAAATCTGTGAAGGGGTTCTACTTCTTCCAATACTACAACTCTGCGAGGTGAGAGACACTCGTTAGCCCATCTTCCCTGTAAGTTGCATTGTCAAGGTTACAAAGAGTGGCTAACCCATGGAGCTGGTAGAGCAACTCTGATGGTGAGTTCTCCGTGCCGTTGTCAACGATGCTCGCCAAATCTAGAACACGCGGGTAGATGAATCTTGTGCGAACCTACAACACATCAGCCATGAATATGTAACGTTATGACTTTGGTGTGACTTACCATAGCCAAATTGTCCTTTTCTATATCATAGAAGAAGTTTTTCACGTGGATTAGGAAGACCGGCGGTATGGTCCGCAAGTGTACCGTTACACCTTCGTATGTCGCACAGTAGTCACGGATCGAATCCTCCAAGGTGTTGATTTCGGCTGTGTCAAGGCCACGGGTATTGGCTTGCAGATCTGCCTGACCATCAGCACCGGCCTGAACTTGACTACTCAGCACCGTTTCTAGAGTGAGGTAGGTTCTTACCATAGAACTGCTCAATCATAGACGACCCATGATCTCGAACACTTCTTTCAGTCTTGCCACAAAACAAGCTGTCGAAGGTGTTGCGTAATCTGTCTCCGAGCTTCCCCGAGCTGAACAGTTCGGTGAACTTCCTAAAGAACTCTGATATATCCTGCGCTTCTCCGAGTTTCCGGTCCTCCCACCCGAAGGCCCGCGTCAGCACCAACGGCGACACGGGTAGCGAAGAACTGTGCAGGTGCTTGAACAAGTGATTGAGAGCCGCCCCGATGCCGCTGGCGCTGCGCACGGTTATGTCGTTGAGAATATCCTAAACGGCGCATGAGTACCTTTCCGCCAACGCAAGGGAGATGCCTAACGGGTAAGGATAACTAAAGGTAGTTACCATCCGAATGGGCTTCAGCATATATAGGGTCTGCAGGGTAGAGCTGATGTATCCTGTCGACCCCAAGTTCACGATTCCCGCACTCCCAGGCCCCAGTGCGTGTTTTCGGAGCTGCGGGTCTGACTGTAGCATCAGTACTTCCCTGTCAAATTTCTGCGTGCTTGTCAGCCCACTGCTGTCCCTCTCCTCGTCGGCTGGCTTGCTTCGGCCTAGCACGGCGGATGAATCCTCCCGAGGCAGTAGATCTAACATGGCCTTGGAAAACCCTCTTGTAGCCAGATTGGCCTCGGATCGTGTTACCAGCCACAACGTTGGCATGTCCATGGAGACCGTTACGGGCCATGGCGCATCCCGGCCCTTGATGAAGGATCCCTTGGCCTGGACTATCTCAACCGTCTTATCTGGACTGAGTACGGTCTTGTACCGCCGTTGTTCTTCGCCGCCTAAGAGATGAATAATGGCGCGACCGACAAGGGAAAAGCTCCCGCCCTGCAGCACCTCGTAGCCGGACCCGTCCCCTGGTGAGCTTGTCGTGGCAGATGTTGGCCTGAAAACGAGCGCTAGGCAGCTCTCCAGAAAAGTACAGACAATGTCGCCGAGCCGCGTTCCCTCGGGGGCGACACCAATCACGGCACCGTCACCCATGGAGCCGTAATCCACTCCGGAAGCTGATTGTCTCGACGGATATGCAAGGAACGGCGTCTTGGTGCCAACCACGGGATTAATATTGGGAACCATGCGACCTATTCCGATGTGGCAGAGGAGTGCGGAAGCTGAGTTATGGATCGCATGAACTTCGGAAATATTGGGGCTAACAAGGTCACGCCAGTGCCCCAGGTGGGAGTATGGTATTATTCCCTCGAGGAAACGGGCCAAATTAGACGCTTTGTATTTCTCAGCAAGCTTCGAGTCGAGGAATTGTTCAATGATCACCACGTGAGTTGCTGAGATCTCAACGAGAGACTCTGGCATAGAGCGTAACGTGGATGAAGCAAACTCGGTTGCAAGATCCGGCCCAAGCAGCTGGTGGAGGAACTCGCTTAACTTCACGAGTTGTGGACCGTGGGGTGGCCCGATGCCAGGTTGACCTTGGAACTTGTCTTGATAGAAGCGCATAACATCTTCATAGAGCTGTGAGACCGACTTGGAATAGTCGACAGGAATACCTTGGCCGTTGCAGTCGCTTGAGAGACCGATGAAGCCATAGACTCTGTCGTGGATTTCTTGGCACAATGACTCCTGGAAGGTCTCGAGCAATGACCATAGGATGCAACCAATCTTCTGGCGCCTTTCCCGCTGGTCGTCGATGCAGGCAGGGACGCTCCGGATGAAAGTCCGCTCTCCATGCGAAAGGTATTGGGGCCAAGTATGTTTCCTTGCCATGCGAAGCTCGGATACGTACTTCCAGGGAATTTGGCTCGCGCCACACTTTACGATAAGTCGTCGGGCAAGGCATATTTCTTGCACGATCCAAACTCTTCTCCAGTATCCCCTCTAGCATAGTTTATCAACAGCCTTCCACCCAGGGTGGTGCATCAGGGACCTGCGATTGTGTGGACTAAAGGCGAAGGCACCCCGGAGAAACTCAAATGCCTCCCTGCTGTCTTCAGTTTCCAGACCTATCCATGCAATGACTTGGTGAGCCCGGCTATAGATGTCTGCCATTTGTTGAACCTGATGGTTCCGCTCCTGGAGATCGGACTGGTTGATGCAAATGGCGTCAATCCACAGAACCCTCTCAGCCTTAGGTAGCCGGAGATGCCGAAGCGCTTGGAAGAGATTGTCGCCGACGCCGAACTCTCTGCCGTTGACCAGAATGGTTTGCGGAGATCCAGATTTGCCCCATTCGTAGGACAATGCCTCGTAGCTCTCCGGATTCTCAAAGCCGACAACTGTGGAGCGTGCATCTAACTGTCTCCTCGCCAGTGCCGGGTAAAAGCGTGAGGAGACGGATTTTGCGCTGCTCCCCGCTGAGGCTTTCAGCCGGGTATTGTCCGTTGCTGATATTCATTGTCGTGTAGATCGATCATGGAATCCAGACGGGATAGACAACCAAAACGAAAAGCGGTATCGCAAGCCTGCAAATACGCCAAATAATTACAGCAAGACATACGGTGTGTGCACCATTTCTGAGCACCAACAGTGAGAAGGGTCGAGTTGCATCAGCCTCGAAGTTTGCTGGACGGAACGAGGCAGCCTGGCAGGGGTTTATCGCAGGAGAGGTGAGAGAGGAACGTGCATGGCATTCATGACACTGCATACACCAGGCTCCCTTGGAGGGGGAGCAAGGACCAGTCATTTGCTCTAAACTAACGCGTCGGCCCTACATGTCTGGGCATACCATTCAGGGCAAGCCTTACCGGTCCTCCATGCATCCGGGCAAATGTAATTTCGACGCGAGTGGGGGTAAGGAGAGGCTGTCCGCGTGCGATGGTATGTATACAGGGTATTTGTGGCCGCACTGGTGAAGAGCATAAATAGGAAAGGATCGGAAGACTGGTATTATCATATTTCTTTTCACCGCTCACAGCGAGTAGCCCGTAGATGACGGCCCACCTCGGACCGCCATGGACTCTCGCTAGAACACATAATTAATTACACAAACTTAATCCCTTAATCCCCCCCAGATGCCTTTCCGAAGGTCTTGGGAAGATCCCAAGAAACCCGAGCGATGATTATTTGGCTTCAGCCAGCTTGCCGCCTCACACCGCAACGCGCTTGATAGTGCCAGTCAGGATGGTATCCCGCGGGGTCATCAATCCCTGCAGCTCCGTCGTCTGGCCGGGATCGTCCATGTGGAAGATGTGCTCGCCTGGAAAGAGCAAGTTGGTAGTCAGGAAGAAGTCCATCGGCGACATGTCAATCGATATCTTGGGCGCTTCCGGATGAATATCTTTCGCATGGGGCGGCAATGCGTCACTGGCGCCACACATTCGCTCCCAGATGGTGTGGTTCTTGGGGTTGACCTTGACCCCGAGCACGGACGCAAAACTGAAGCTCATCCCGAGCTGGTTTGGGTGTTGTTCAGGGTTGGGGCCCCGCGTCCAGGTGGCCGTGCCCGTGAAGGTGAAGTCTAGGTCCACGCTTCCATATTCATGGTGCCCTTCACGGCCGGGTGTGCTGTGTGACCATCCCATGTTCAGGGTTCCGCTTGCATATGAAACCTTGATGGGAGGTGTTGAGGTGGAGTTAGCGGCAGCGATATCGAGCTTGGTCTTGGGGCTGTTGAGGTTGAAGTGGAAGCCGTCAAGGTGGCTGCTGACGCCCATGGTGGTGGTGTTATCATAACCGTCGGCTTTGATCTCGTGTGACGGTAAGTTGAGGGTAAACTTCATTCCGGCTACACACGCCTTGTTAGGATGGCTCGGGAGTGATGCAGAGGAGGAGGGAGGTATTAGATCGTACTATCGCCTGCTTGAGATGCACACTCTGGGTTGGTGATACCCTTGAACCCGGGCTACGTTTATTCGGAAACGAAGTTGTTAGTCTATCGCACTCGGAATTGCGGGCTAGGGACTAGCAAATGGTGAAGCTAAGGAATTCGCCGGTGCATAGAAGGACATACCATGATAAACAAGCTAGCCATCACTCGATGGCTGAAGATGATGCTTGCCGTGCGTCCAGTCGGGATCGGGTTCACTTCCACGCCGCCTGGGGTAAAGTAGAGAGGCTGCGGTTTCTTCCCAGCATTTGGATTGTCCTTGAGGAGAATCCCCATGCATACCGCACTAGTGTTTTCGTCGTCGCCATGCACTAGACAGAACGTGAAGTGAGCCGGCTGCAGAACGATGGAATCACCGGGATCTTGTGGCTTCTCATTGTTTAGGCCGGCCAGGCAGTACTGGAAGCCAGAGTCCTTAAACCTCCGCTCAATCTTGGCCTTGACGAGGCTGGTGAGCTGGTCGAGGTCGTCAGGGCTATTGCCCCCTTGTCCATCGTTGTAGAAATCGACCGCCAGGAGGGACGGGAAGTCAATGCAAACCCCAAGAGCCGTGTCGTTTCCAGACTCAATGATCCTTACCTCGTTGGCGCGGGAGGGATCGGGGGAGGGGTCAGGGGTGAATTTGCCGGCCGCGTTGGTGGTGCCACTGACGGTAGATAGACTGGCAGTGATGACAACCTTCACGTTTGCGAACTTGGTGATTTTTTCCCTCCCGTCGCTATCCCGTACGACTGTCTTTGAGCCAGTCATAGGGGCGGAGAAGGTGATGTTCCCTTCCCGGTCCAGAATCTGGAGCGACGGGCTGCCGAAGGCTACCTCGAGAGTGTTCGTGTATTCCTCGTCAAAGTCATCTGGACGCAAATAAGACCATGCAGTTAGTAATTGAATTATAACATTCGATTGCAGAGCGACTCTACACAGCCAACAATTCACAGGTACGGAGGGGACAAATCCGTGGGTCAGCGTGAGAATGGGGACGAATGGGGGTGGGTGGTACTGTACCCTTGGTGTGCTCAACCCACTTCAAGCCTTCCGATGTTGGAGTTCCAACCTCAGCCGCTCTCTGTAGCAGAAAGTTGTTGAGTTCATTCTCATTGTAAGAAACAACAACATCGTAGTCGTGGATGGAGTTCTGGCCCTCCATTTGCTTCGCAAGCAACGCGAGGTTCTTTTGAGGGGCCATGATGCTTTGCAATGAACGATTATGTGGTGTTTGGGGGTTTTAACTGGAAGTAAGGTACGTCGTCCTGTCTTCGCTATCGGGGAGTGAAAAGAAGGAGAGACGGGGCAGTTATATTTTACATGTTGCTAGCAACGATGATATGGAGAAGCAGGTGAGCGATGATGCGGCGATGTCAGTGTTTGGTGACTGGAGACAACTGCGCACATCTTGGTGACCGTGAACGGCGTGCCGAGGGGTATGTCCAAATGGTGAGACACGTCACACTCGTCACTTGACGTAGATATGGCTACCGTAGATGGTTGAATCCGAGGCCGGGTACATTGCCGGATTGGGCATCTGTGCAGAGGGGTGAATATCCTACGATGCGCGGGCTTCTCTTCTTTACTTGGTCCCACATCCAGGTCCAACCCTGAGATGTCACGTCGGCATTGAGCCCCACATTCAGCTGGGCGGATGGTCGCTTTGCTGATGAGACATTGAGACTGATACGTGTGATGGAGGTGAGCATTCCACTAGTTACATGTAGATCAGGCCTCAAGTCTACATAGTACTGTGATCGTTTAAACACGATAATCTTCGAGTCGGCGACCCAGTGAAAACTTTGCCCCGGCAAGTGCGAAACAGTTGCCAGAACAAGCAAGTCTGAGAATCGACCCCACACTCTAGTCTCTGTCATATGCAGTGTCCTGTGCATGGGATAGACGGGGGATTTAACGTATGTTGAGGGTCTGCAAGCTTGCCAAAAAGGCAAATGTGTGTCTAAGGTAGTTTAGTGCTCAAGCTAGCGACCAGCTGAAGGCGACAAACCAAGAGGTATCCACATAGCCATGGATTCAACAAACCAACCCCGCAATAGCATGTGTTCAGTTCACCTGGACTGGCTTGAACTCAGCTGGACATGATCTGTACACACATGTCATACCTGCATTGCAGCACTGGACATGTCTCTCGGCCTAAGGCGGCAAGTCGGATAAGCAGCAACACTGCGGAATTGTGGCCGTGAGCCAAGGGACCTTGGTGTCTGGTGTTTCGAACTTCGAAGTACGGAAGACGAGAAATCCGATCTGCTTAAATGCACTCAACGAGCCAGTATCTATTGCTCTCCCAGTTGCTGTATTAGTATGCTGCTTTGGATTTTGATAGTGTTATCGGTAACGAAATTTTGCAATGTGCACAATGGCATTTTGTGAGAGTGCGGGTTGCGGTAATATGGTGTATTTAGGATTTCGGTCAAGCTGGAGCCATCACTGCTCCGAGGTCCGTCTTGGGACGATGCCTGATATGATTAGCCAACCTCTTCGGTACGAAGCTGCAGCTATCGTCCTTCGTGTGAAGCCCCGGTCGTTTAACACAACGCGTGATATGCAGTGATGTGTCTGTCGATCAAATAACCAACTGCTCGAGAACCCGTCGAATTTGTTGGGACGATTGCCGAGCACCACTGCAAGAATTGGTGAGACCTTCGACGCAAGGGTGTGCAACAACTCGCCCACCCTACCTAACTAGATTCACGCGCATCCTGCGGCACGGAGTCTTGTGGCAACATGTGTTTCCCTCTTTTCTAGCTTAAGAAGGCCGGACACGGATGGGACTTGACTGCTCTGGAAATCACATTTGCATTAGCGGATTGTCAAACTCTTAATTACCCCAATTACTCTGTGCGCATCCGATCCCTCGTACCTTCCTTGGTCACAAATCTACTTTTCCCTGACGCTTTTGGGCGGTTTAATCGTCGCAGTCATGTCAGACGCCAACAAAGGGCTCAAGCCTTCACCAGCGTCAGAGTCATACGTCTGCTACGCCAAAGACGATGTGCTTCTTATCTTGAGCACCGGTGACCTCGACCTCAACGAACTGGACGTCCCCGAAAGTACCGTTCTGGTGTACGCCGAGACCGTCATCATTTCCAAAGACATCTTGGCCCCGGGAAAAACACTTGGAATATTTTGCTGGGAACTGAAGGTTTCCGGGCCGGCTCCTTGCACTATCAATGTGTCGGGGCGTAATGCTATCGATATGAGTGCTTCCCCCTCAGGTGATGGGAAAGCTGGCGACCCCGGTAGCAAGGGTGGTAACGTTTGGCTGTATGTCGAGAATACCGATATTTCTTCCATCGGGCTAAAGATCAAAGCCGATGGAGGCAAGGGCGCCCGCGGCGGCGACACTTTGGATAGAGACGCCACCGGCGGGAATGGGGGGAATGGGGGGGATGCTGGTATGTCCGCCGCCGCGTCATTCTTTTGATCGCAACTCCGTCCATCAATCGGTGACCTTTGTTAATGCAACCTTGATTACAGGCACCATTAGCATAGCATACGGGGACCCGGCTGCTAACCTTCTTGCCAGCTTGCGGGGACTTCGGGATCAATCTTGGGTGAGAAGAATGGCGGTGGTTCACGGCGCTTTTCTACCCGGTTGTGATGCCTTCCCGCCAGGACGCATCGACCCGGCACGGCTCGACGCGTTGAAAGATACCGTAACGTTGCATCAAACATATGCCGCATCTGTTCAGCAACTGGCTTGGCTTCTCCCGACTACCAAACCTCATTTCAACAACAGTGACGAGTGGCAGGCTGTAGAAGCGTGCCTCGACGCAATCCGCAGCCTGCTGGGCTCGGGAGACTTTCCGGAGGTGTTGGATGCGTCCCATGTTTCCTCCGTCGACTCTCTCACAGCTTCCATCGTTCAGTGGGTAGCGCCCGCAGGGGAAGGCAGTGACGGCAGGAAGTCAGAAATACTGGGTCAAATCCGGCTGCTGACCCAAATTGTCGCCCGCACGTCCGGTGATTCAACCTTTGCTACCAAGCTTCAAGGTATTACCGATGATCTCAGGGCTGCCACTATCAGATTAGAAGTCTTGACGACAAGAGATATGCCCAGCGCCCTCGGCGGTATGTTTGTTCCAAGAAAGCCCCTGAGTTGCCCCGCAAACAATGAGAAAATAACAACACTAAACAATGAGTTTAGGAAGCTACGGCGCTGGGGGCGTTGGCAAGTCCACAGGTAAGCCTGGCCAAGAAGGCAAAGACGGCTCACGCACCTCTCTGGTGCTCGCACCGGAGCGAGATGCTGCGTATCTCAGCCTGAGCCAGGCTTGTGTTTTCCCAGAGCATGCTCAGATGATCTTGAACGAGGCGGACAAATTGTTCTTTCTCAACACGCCGGAATCTCGCCCCAAGGCTGCTGCATTGTACACGCGGCTCGTCAACCGCCTTTCATTCGTGCCCAAACTCGGGGAGACCGCGCAGGCCAAGGCGTATGATCGACTCGAGACGGAGCAGAAGCTGACAGTTGCGGCACTTTCGCAACTGGAGTTTGTCTTGTCACAGGCGCGCACGCGCCAGGCTCGAATCCTCGCTGGACAGGACATCTTCGGCCACGACCCATCCTGGGTGCCGAGGCTGTCCACCGAGGTGTACGCCCAGCGGGCTGACAAGCTGCTCGTGGCTCTGAAGGAGGTGGAAGACATGACAGCCGATTACCAGAAAGCCGTCAAGAAAGACGGCAAAGTAAAGAAGTATTTGAACAGGAGTCTCAAGGCCGGCAAGGAAAACGAGGAGCGTTTACAGGGTTTGCTAGACTCGCAATGCGGTCCGGACGGGGCTATTTCCGCAGCGGCTGCGCAAGTCACAAAGTTTGCACAGCTCCAGAGCGAGAAGCGCGAGGAGATCAAGGGCCCCCTGAATCGGGTGAAGGATGAAATTGGACGGGCATCTCAAATTGACTTTTGGAAAGTGTTCGAGGGGCTGTCCAACTTAGTGCAGCCCCCATCCTTCAAGTTGGCTGTGGATGTGGTGATGGAAGGCGCTAAGATTGGGAAGATTGCCTGGGATGCGGCCAACAAGGTCCATGACGCGACGGGCGCCAGCTTTGACAAGGCCGACATCATCGAACAGCTCGCGACATGTTCCGACACCCTCAAGTCCCTCGAAGAAACCGTTACCATGAACAATGACGGCAAGATCAACCTTCAAGACCCCGGCGGTCTTAAGATCATCGCAAGCGTCGACAAGATCAAGTCGCTCGTTAAGCAGTTCAAAGACGCCCTCCTCACAGCAACGAAAGACCTGGACAAGATCCTTGACGACTACGTGAAGCTCGTCCTGCAGCGCAACAGCGCAGTTCTCAGCTTCAACGGGGCCATCCAGGTCGCGGCAGAAGCTGTCTCACAACTGGCGGCGTACCGCAAACAAAACCCCCAGCTCGCGGAACAGCTCCTGGAGCTCGACCCCAACCTCCCATCCATCTTCTTTTGGATGACCCGCCTGCGCGATACCCTGCGCATGGACATTATGCAGCAGCTCAACTACCAAGGGCGAGCAATCTGCTTCTGGGGCCCGCGGGGGCCGATTCCTTTCACCGAGGCTGGGCCTCTGAGCGGACACGCCCAGCTGCTGGGTAACCAGCAGACGCTCGAGCGAGAGTTTCAAGCGTGCGTCGAGCGATTTGCGTCGTCGACCTGGTCGTCCTGGCCCTCTAAACGGGGTGATCCGGGGCTGCGATATGAGCTATCGGCTGCTGAGCTGACGACGCTGCTCCAGAATCCGAAGAAGGACTCCAAGGGAAGGCGGGTGTATGAGACGACCGTGGCTTTTCCCCCGACACGACGCACGGAAACCTTTGCCGGAATGGCGAACATCCGTCTCAATCAAGTCCGTGTTTGGCTGCCTGGTATGTTGCGTGTTCCTTTTTTTTTTTTTTTTTTTTTTCCGTTTTTGCGTTCCCCCGCAAGCAAAATACCTAAATAATTATGGAACCGCTCCCCCGGAATTCAACTAACCCCCAGCCCTGCCACAGGCGCACGACGCAAACCCGAAACCGGCGGCCACCGCCAGATTCTCCAAGTCTCCATCAGCCACCTCGGCCACGAAACCCTTTGGGACCCCAACGCCAACAAATATGACTTCAACCACGGGCCGGTCGACCTGCAGTTTAGCTACGACACGTCCCAAGTCGACGCCATTGACGATTGCCTTCCATCCCTTGTGTTTGGGCGCCAGGCGATTGAGAACGACTATGTGAGCGGCGACGTGAGCACCCACACGGTTGCTCCGATCGGTCCGTTGGGAGAGTGGACGATTGGGATTCGCGAGGGGGATAATGACGGTTTGGATTTGAGCCGGGTCACGGGTGTGTGGATGGAGTTTTGTGGGCGGAACATGCCTTTCCATAAGCCTGAAGGCCCTAAAAAGGTGAAGAGTTAGGCTTTATTAATTAGGGTTCCTGGTTTCTTTATTTAATTATTGTCAGAGAGGCCCTTTGTTTGTCTCTCTGAGGTTCCCCAATGAAGTGTGATATACCGACGCGACGCTTATACACACCCAGACATGTGAAGCAAGCAAGCGACAGCTGGGCTTAGGCCGACAAAGTCTCGACATGACGAACTTTTTGTGTTTTACCCGTGATCATTAAACACCTGGAATATCTACGCCGGCTCCCCGCGACCAGCCCGACCTAGATCGCTTGGGAACAGCGTGGGAAAGCTCCCGTTGGAATACTGGCATTGAATTACGTTATGTCATCTCACCACCATTACAGCTACACTCCTACCGTTCCAGCTTCCTGAGCCGCAGCCAACGCCCTTCCGACCCTCTCCCTCAACCACTCCACGTCCTCCAACCCAACACTAATCCTCACCAGATCCTCCACCACCCCATACTCCGCCGCCCACGCCAGCTCCCTATAATGTGCCAACAACGTATACGCGCAGCACAACGTGAAATTCGTCCCCAAACTCGGCCCCTTCGCCACATCCAACGCATCATAAAATGCCACAGCCTGCTCCGCCCGCGCAAACTTGACTGACAACAAAAACCCATAACCCCCTCCTTCCACCCGATACCGATCATACCCCTCCTGCGTCTCACTCCCCAACGGGTAAAACACCTCCCTGACCACCTGACTCGCCCTCAACATTCCCACCACTACCTCCGCATTCCCACTCGCCTTCCCCATCCTCTCCTTAAAATCCCGGCTATTCCTCTCCATCACCAGCACGTCCTCCCCAAACCATGCCCGGTCCGTCTCTTCCCTCTCGCGGCTTAGTGCTGAGCGCAAAGCGCTGTACACCCTCCCCCGCGGATTAAGCACCACACTTCCCCCCATGACATCACACGCCCCACTAAACATCTTGGTCAAGCTCGTACACACCACGTCACACTCCGGTAACAACCCCAGCGAGACATACGTTCCTATCGTGTCATCAACCACCAAGACAAAGTTGTGTTCTCGGGAGAGTTGGAACAAGGTGTGCAGGTCGGGGGTTTGGAGGAGGGGGTTCCCGGGGACTTCGGTGAAGAGCGCGTCGGGGTGGAAGGTTGGGTCTGTGATGAGGCGGTGGGCGAGGTCGGTGAGGGCGGAGGGGGTCGAGGGGAGGAGGGTGAGTGTGAAGGGGTGGGGGTGGGTGTGGAGGAGGGTCTTGAAGGTGTCGACGTAGGGGAAGCTGGGAGGAAAATGGGTTAGTGGTTGTGGTGATTAAGATAGGATTGGGGAGGCTTACCCGAAGACTACGGCGTGGTATGGTTTGGAAGGGTCTGCGGGACGGAGGGACTTGAGGGCGTGGGCGGTTTCGGTGATGGCGGTCATGCCGGTGGGGAAGAGGAAGATGTCGGATGGGGAGACGTGGAGGTCTTGGGAGGGGAGTGAGTAGCCCTCGGCAATGCGGTTTTTGATGGCTTCGCGCGCTGTGTTCACAGTAGCGGCCGTTGCGAATGCGTTGGTGGCTGAACTCGTGGATTTACCGGTTAGAAACGGGGCATGTTCCAGCCAGTACGACGCGCGCCGACTGGAAATACCGAAACCGGTGTGCTGCCAGAACGCCTTTGCGGGTTGAGCGAGGTCTTGGGGATATGCGACCAGCAGGATGTCTTCCTTGCCTAGAGCAGGGGACTCTTCTCGTTCCTCAGGGTAGCCTCGATCCTGCAACGGTGTGATCTGACCATTCCAAGTGACAACATAGCCCTCGATTTCCCCCGGGCCCAGTTCCCGGCCAATAGTTTCCCACTTTGGCAGGGCATCCAGGCACATGCGAGCGTGGCGGGCAGAATCCAGTAGCATCGCCATTTTCCCGGGTTGAGTGCCGTCTTCCGGACCGTTCTCGGCTTTCCTTCGCAACTCAAGTAGGCGTGCCGCTAGCTGGTGGGCGATCCGAGGCATGAAGAATCGAGGATACCCCGTGTTCATGGCGTCTAGAACCCGTTGCTCGCGCGATGCCCAACCGACCGTGTCGGCCCATTTCGGGAGGTGAACGCTCACGCCCTAGAATTACACATTAGCTTCAATTAGTTCCTCGTGGGACTTATCTTTTGTTCAATGGAACTATGACTTACATGCGGATTTCCTGGCGGCAACGAAGTACCCAGCGTCAAGTTCTCGGGATTTCCAATCGTCGCCATAGCTTCCGTCAATCGTAGCGAAGTTCAAGGTGGATTATGTTGGTGGTTTGGAGGCGGGCATGGCTAGCTTAAGTATCCCGTGCTGTTTTGTCTCGGGTATCATCACCGCTCAAAAAGGCAACCGCAAGTCCGAGACACAGCAGCTGAAACCCTCGGCTTGGTTTCCATTGCAGGCGTGGGCGGGTCACCGCTTTCAGCGGCCCCACGAGGGCATACGTGGCACAAGATTGGCCGGTAATGGTTGTTGCACTTTAAAGATTCCTATTTGCTTTTTTTTTTTTGCCAGCTCATTGCTATGCTGAAGGCTGCAGTGTGGATGATTGGCTTTGACTGGTATGACATCACCCGAGTCCAGATGGGGTGTTGTCTTCGTTTTGCGGGATGTTCCGCGGCCCTTGTCCATGGCATCAAAGATCGCAGATATCGGCAAGAGCGATCTGGCATTTGAGTCAACGGTTTTTTGTTGTGCATGATTTGCCAATGAATTGTTGAACTCAATCTTTATTAAGTGGGTTGTTGTTTGGATTGCATTCGAGACCCTTACCTACCTAGATTTAGAGCACAAATCTGGCTACCTAGTAAGGCGAGCGCTTCTGTACAGGTAATTACCTCGAGCAAGCTGAAATCCAAGTCCTGTTGCGTGCTACAATGTTCACTACCGGAAGAGAGTGCACTCTTTAATATAAAAAGCCCCCCAAGAAACAGCAAAATGCCAGAATGGCCCCGGAGAAAGTACCTTAATGTTCCTAGTGTCCCCAGCGGCACTCTTCTTCGTACCTGGGCACCAATGTACCTCTGGCCGGGCCGTAGTTCTGTCGAATCACAACTAGTGCCCACAGAGAGCTCGATGTACCACGTCTGTCTGGTTCTGTGACTTCTATTCAAGGCATGCCATCGTCTGAGGGCAATATAAGACTCCCCAAGTGCCAGAAGCTGACTGTGTTAGTGACGTACCCAAAACGAGATGTCTCGCGTTTGGTGAGCTTCCCGTCGTCGTTTGTAACCGTGTCCACGGTCGACGTCTCAACGCCACACCCGAACGAAACTATTGTCGTCAACCTTCCCAAGTCTTCACACCACCACTTCCTCATCCATATCATGTTTCGTAACCCCCGCGTCGATTACAAAGCGACAGCCACAACACATATCGATGCCTTACCCAGCCCTCACGCCCCGGTCAGCCGGCGAGGGCTTTGAACCCTCGCGGGGCTCACAACCGATCACGATACGATCTCAATTCTAGTTGGCACCTTCCCACGGCCGAAGGTATTTAAAGAGATTTCCCAAATTCCCCCAAACCTGCGAATCTTTCTTCTCCCACCACACGAGTTTGCTGTTTTCCTGGCTCCCTTTTCCTTGTTTTCCCCCAGTTTCAAGAGTTCCTTTGGCATCCTCTATTCCTGTTTCTATAAGGAGGGAAAGGAAATGAAAACAGTGTATCCGACGGCGAGGGCGATGTTTGCTTTGCGTGCCGATTCGACTCCAGAGCCTGGCCAACGCCGGGCGCGGGGTGGAAACCGTCAAGCTGGTCGCTCCTCGCGCGACGGCCCGGTGATCAAGAAGGAAGATGACGACGACGGCGTTGACGCCGATGACGAAGCAACGGTTGATGGCAACGCCACTGTTAATGATGACGAGACCATCGACGAGAATGCCACCGAGGTCGAAGACGAAAGCGACGACGAAGAAGAGTATGAGACTCCGGGAACTCCAACGCGCGGCCCAGTAAGTATCTTCCTTTCTTTTCCGGTATTGAAGAGACTCAATCGGAGCTGCGCCTTCGCCATTTCCCTCAATGCCCTCTCCCATCCGACCCTCCACCATCAGAATCTCTTGAGGCTGGGCCATCCCCATCCTGGCCTCATCACCACTGAGCGCCGAGATGAGCGGCGCTCGGTCCCCCCAATGGGCACTTCGAACCTCTCATCCACGCTTACCCCCCATTCGAATCGAACCACACCTCTAACGCTCTCCAGCGCGGCCCATCAAACACCGCGGGCAACCCAGTGACCCCGACTCAGGGGTCTCCTTCTCCCGAGCCGGAGTCGCCGGTCTTGAAACCCGCCTTGCCGGTCCGACGACGGCTGTTTCCGCCTAGCGCCAACCGGGGCAATTCCGGTCCGCCGCTGCCACCTGGCCGCCGGTCCGTCAGCGAAGGACTCAACAACCCCTTTTCGCTTCATGGTGTAAGTCTTTCTCCGTTGCGGGCGATGTGGGGTTTTTTTTTTTTTGTTCTCCCGGGACCTTGAGGGAAAATATGAGAGTGTGAAACTGTGAAGGGGAAGTGGCCGACGCCAGGTGGTCTTAAGCAGTTATGGTCAATGTGCGCTTGGCATCGAGCGTTCACCCTTGGCAATTTATGGCTTCCCTTGCGGGCGTGCCATTACTCTTCACAACTTCGCAATGATGGACACATTACCACTAGAACTTCAGCTAACACACTTCTCTCGCAGTCACCTGTATCCCAGGGGTCTTGGTGGCGCCAACGCCAGTAAGTGGTTTCTTTTGTTTACTTCCCCCTTTCCCCTTTGTGTTTACACTAGGTCAAACAACTACAACACCAAGTTCACTCTCACCACACAACCATATGCTAACTAACACCCCTGCAGCACACAAGGGCTTGGCAACCTCGCCGCGATTCAAGAACATCCGGAGCGGGAGACCGGAAGCTTTGTCCGGTACCCCAACCCGGTGCTAAAGAGTCCTCTGCTGCACAACAGCAAAACCGCCAAGCTAAAAGGCGGCGATAAAGAGAGCCCCGCTGCCATCCCCAAGGCTGACGAAGCTGACAAGACTCCAGCTGGCTATATAAGGGCGCCCCAGAAACCTGAGGGCAAGCACATGGAGTTCCTCCGGCTCAACAAGGACATTCTTGCCGGAAAAACCTCCGGCCCTCTCCAGATCCCAGGGAAGAAGGAACCCGTCCTCCCCGCTACAACAGCCCCGCCAACCAAGCCTAGTCTGGCTGACCCATCCCACGGCTACAACCCGCGAGCCACCTTTGACAAGCAGGCCAAGGGTGGACTGAGGCAGCCACACGGGCATCTCGCAACATCGACTTCGGCGCCGGTGTACCAGCCTTACCAGCCCAATCTTGCTTTCGGCCACTCCACCAACCACAACCCCGTTACCGGCCCAAGCACCTTTGGATTTCCGCTTTTCAGCGACACTTCTTCGTTCCCATCTGCCAACCCAGCTCGCATTTCTTACTCCACCACCGACAACATGGCTTCGCTCCCGGGTTCAAACACGTACCCGAGCAGTGAGCAGTCCGTTTCCGACTGGTCACCCGAAGCAAAACGGCAAGAGCAGGAGCAGAAACTACCGCAGCACCAACAACAGCCACTCGTTTCTGACCCTGCTCCCACTGCGTCCTCTTTCCCGCAGGGCCCGATTTCTGATTCGATGATCGACCCCTCTTTGTTTTCCGAAGCCACGCACCAGCCCCAGAAGTCAGGGCAACAAGGACAGCCACAGCAACAAGCGGATCCGCAGCAGCAGCAGTCTGTTTTCCACGCCCCTTCTGGCTTGCCAGGTTCGGCAAATTTGAACGTGGGTGCTGGTTTCAACATTTCGAATCTTGTCCACAACCACAATTTTCTTCCCGTCATCCCCAACATCGCCAACTCCGGGGCCTCCGGGATTAACGACGACGTCGCACGCCAGGCTCTTGAGAACGCGCAGTCGGTTGAGTATCAGCTTCTCGGTCTCAAGGTAAGTTGATTCATCCTGATTTATGACACCCGAAAATAAAAATGAGATGTTTTCATCGACTGAAAGCTGACCGCGGAAAATTAAACACAAAACAGATTATGTCAGTTGCCCAAGGCAACAGCTCTGGTTTTGCCGAGAGCTCTGCCACGCATACCAGCATGGACAACGCAAGCAGGCGCCCTCAGATTGGCGACCAGAACAATAACCACATGAACTACGAGTCCGACCAGATGGAGGAACTTGACAGCGAGCCCGAGTATCCGGCCATGTCCTCCCTCAGTCAGAACATCAACCCATCGATCCAGAATGCTGAAGGTGCCGAGAACAATCACAATATTAACAACACCGGCATGACCCTGATCGAGAACGATGATGCTGACGAGGAGCAAGCCAACAATGCCGACCCCGAAAGCGACTCGGGCTCCGACTCCGACTCGGACCCCATCCCGCACATGCCCGACGTCGCAACCGCAGAGATGCACAACCCGCTTTTCAACGCGGCAGCCGACTACTGGCTCGACACCCCGGAGCACTGGGCCCGCGGCGCCAACGGCCTCGGCCTCGGCCCCAACCACGCCCTCCCCAGGCCGACCCAAATCAACCCCTTCAGCGTCACAGCCCCGCCTCTGCCCAGGTTCGAGACCGACCCGTACATGCCTTTTGCGCCGTGGCGTGTCAGGCAGTTGCCCCCCTTCCACGACGAGCCGACCAACCGCGTGTTGACCATCCGTGCGCGGTATCTCGCTCCGCTGGGCCAGCTGTACCCGGATGCCGAGTTTATTGTCTCCCGCCACCCAGCCTCGAAGAACTTTACCGCTCGCATCAAGGGCCGGGTTTTGACGGATAGTATGGCAGTTCATTTCCCTGGTCTGGTCCGCGCTAGTCCCCACGTTGGCGGTTACGCTTCCATTTTGGGAGCTGACAACGATGACGAGGACAACGAGGAAAACGACCAGCTGTACCTCGTCGCTCTGGCCCAGCGCGACTGGCCGATCGGTGGCGTGGCCTACCTCCCGCACGAGCGCCGCGCCAAAGAGTTCATCGAGATTGTCGAGCAGACGTTTGATGTCCTGCCCCATGGTCAGGAGGTGTTTTACTTCCTGCCCCATCGCACCGTTCTTGCCGGCGGAGATGACGACTCCGACGAGGATGGCCGCAACAGCAAGACCAAGTCTTCAACCATCACCACCTCCATCGGCCGTAGCCGCAGCAGCCGTCGCAACAAGCGCGCCAAGAAAAACAACACCAACAAAAAGAACACCAAGGCCCACATCCCCGACAACACCAACCTAGCCAAAGGCATCTGGGTCTGCCGCGCCTACGAAGGACGCCAAGGTCCCCAGCATCCGCAGATTATCACCGACTGGCTGCAGATTCAGGGCGGGGTGGTGGAGCAGGATGCTCCTGGCCGTAAGATGCTGGTGCATATGGGTGAGGCCGAGCTGGAGCAGGCGACTTGGTCCCATGGGAAGAGGAGGGTTTTGGCTCCTGTTGTGCCGGTTGCTGCTGCTCCGGCTGCGGCTGCTGGAAGGGGTAAGGGGAAGTGGAAGGGGAAGGGGAAGGCTAAGAGGGGTTAAGCCTGAGATGGGGGAGAGTTTATTGGGATGGGAAGTTTGAGGACGGGGTTTGCTTTGCTTCATTCGGTCTTCGTTAGGGATGGGATGGTTAAGGGTTTTTCTTCATTGCGAAGAACATTGTGGTCAGGGTGGGGAGTTTCCTGGCCGTTTTGAGGACTGAGTTTGCTTTATTTGACGCAGGAGGATTCAGGGTTTCCCTTCATTACGAAGGGCATTGATTCGCGTTGTTTTTTTTTTTCTTTTCTTTCTTTGCGGCTTGGTCACTCTGGGACTTGAAGAGTCCCCTTTACGCTGGCTTCCTTTCTTGATTTCAAGTTTGGTTCGACGCGTTGGTTGCTGCTAGTACTGGACTGGATCACCTGGTTTGGGAACGCAAACGCAACATATCTCTGGGAAGAGATCTGACTTTGGCTTTTTGCCGGACGACCTGAACAGGTTGTCGTTGGATGCCTTCGTTGGGATTGGACCGAGCCGGGCCGCACTGAGGCCCCATGGCAGGGCTGCGATACGAGCACAGGTCACTGATTTGCTGGGGGGATTACCCCAGCAGAGATCTGAGTTCGTTTTTTTTTTCTTTTTCTGATGGTACCATGTAAGATAACCACCACAAATGGCGCATATCGCCTCGCAATACAATCGAAACGAGCTGCTTTCTTTCAATCTTTGTGAGATCTTGCGGGGAATGTGGGGTTCTTCTTTGAACCACGAAAACCATTAGAAATTTTCAGAGTCGTGGCTTCCGTCCCGGGATTTCGGGTTTTCTCTTGGTTCTTTCCAGTTTCACACAAATTCCTACCGAACAAATTCAACACCCAATAATTTGCCCGTAATTAACGCAATCGTTGAAAAACACAGAACCCAAACCTAAACTTCCAGATTCATGCTCACAGCATAGATGTTTTCCAATCACTAAATTATTGCGTTGTCCCTAATTCTAACGGTCGCAGTTGTAGTTGCATTGCAGTCATACTAAACCCAAATTCGACCTCCCACCGCTGCACACCAGCACACAAGCAACCAATAATTCCCAATCCGTCTCGGCCCATCCCGCCCATTCCCGTTTCCCACAACTTTATTGACGACGCTGAGTAACTTCCCCGCCTTGAGCGGCAACCTGTAGGGCTGAGTGAGATGCGCTGAGTAACGTGGCGCCCAAATGCTACCCCGGCTCAAAGCCAAGTCCAGGCACCCTTTTTTCTCAACACCAACCACACATCGTGAACTGTGTTTTCTGGAGATTCTTCGGGTCGATGCATATTGTTTTGGGGGGGAATCGCTAGATGGAGGCACCGGGTCAGCACGGCAGCGAGATGACGGTTAGGCCGTCGTGCTGCAGTAGCACACAGCCACGCCGTTAAGCGATGCGCAGCTGCGACTGGGACGGTTTACGGTGAGGGCATCGTGAGCGGCTGCAGGGAGGGAAGAGAGTTGGCATATAAGGACTCTCAAGAGTCCGACTGACGCCATTCATCACAACATTGACAACTCACCACCAACCAGCTCTTACCATCTTACAGGTCCATCCTTCTAACACAACCACCATGAAGCTGTTCGCCGCTCTCACCACCCTCCTGGCGTTGGCCATCGCCTCGCCCGTCGAGGTCGCCATCAAGAAGGACGACGCCCTCGAAAAGCGCGACACTGAGATCGTCTACCTCGTCAACTGCCGCCATCTGACCTCGTGCTGCGGCCCCGAGACGCACTCCTCGCACATTGCCGTAGGCACCTACCCGCTACCAAGCCCAGCACTAAAGACACGGGTATTGACAGACCATCACAGTACTACGCCGCCAGCGGCCAATCCCACAACGGCGAGACCCCCGCCAACGACAACGTCTGCACCGTCGACAGCAGCAACTACGCCTGGTGGGAGCAGGACGGAAAGAAGTGCACCTTCCCGACTGGCGTCACTTTTACTTCGCACATCGACTCGGATGCTCAGAGCCGCCCGCTCTACTCCTGGTCTGGGTACGTTTCTACGGGGAGTCTTGATCTTGGATAAATTAGTGTGCTAACAGGGGAATACAGCTGGGGCTCCAACGGCTTCAAGAACTGGGACTGCTACCGGGATGATGGCCACAAGCTGTATGAGTACAGTGGCCCTGAGTGGGCGACGGTGTGCAGCTCGGTGTACTACTGCAAGCCGCAGTAAGCGTGGGATGGGGAGTCCGGGCGTCCGGGCCTTGCTTAAGCCATGCGGTGGTGTAATTACAGTGTAGATGGAGTAAATAAGTTGTAGTGTGCATATATATTTCACCAGATTCTTCATTGCAATCGACATAATCGTTCGGCTTCCATCTCTCCTCCACACTCGCTGAATCGCCCCCTTTAATTCGATATCAGCACCGTCCACCATCTAGCAATATTAACTAACAGCACGCACTCACTCACACTGCCAAACACGAAGTGGTAGGTATCCCCATCTATGCGACTCAATACACCTTGACTGATGTAGGAGCAAAGAGATTATTGGATTTTGCGTTCAGTATTCGTACATCCGGTGATATTAATAACTACTATATTGAGATAGCCGCTTATTGAGGGAAAAAAAAAAAAAAAGAAATACCGTGGTGAAAGGTCAAGACAGTAAATTACGAGGCAGAGCACTGGAATTAGGGTGTTTAACTTTGTCAGCTAATAACTTCCGGCAGTTTCGAATGAAATCATACTTGGTTGGTATGGTTTGGATAACATGATGTTACTTCCATTTTCGCGTGTTTTTGTTGAAGAGAGAAGGGTCCGAGACATCATGAGATTGGAGACAACGCCATCCATCCATAACACTGAAAGCATGGGCCAAACCATTGGTCAGCAGGAGAATGAGTAAATTGTAGGTCAGGTTGAAGGGGTTCGGTATAATTTAGATATTTGACTCGTGAAATTATGCTTGAATAATTGGTGTTTAAAGAAAACAACAAAATATTCAACTCAAGGGAGCACTTTGTAAAATGGAAAAAAGAGGCCTCTTGTAAAGTCCCGATCCCCGGTGTTCCCATTCCAATGAATCTTGTCTCTTGCACGTGGTTTCCAGCTCGAAACCTCTTGAGAGGAAGAGGTTCTTTGAAGCAATTACATCATCGACCCTCTCCCCGGCCCCTCGGCCCCGCAATCGGCCCAGGTCTTGGCAGTCCCACAGCTACAGAGCCGAACCCCGGAATAGAAATCGGACCCTTGAAGAGTCGAGTCGGAGCGCATTCTTCAATTCCAACAACCCGTCGTCTCTTTTCGTCCTGCGTTTTAGTCCGGCACCCTCGCCCGCCATGTCGTCCGCCGCGACCAAAGACGACAAGACGCACCCAGCCGTCAAAGGCCCAAGTGCCCTGCGGTCTATCCTTGCCGGTTCGACGGCTGGTGCTGTGGAGATTGGTATGTCTTTTTTTGGGTACCTAGTCATAGTGGGGGAAGGGAGAGACGGGAGGAGGAAGCAATGCTAACCACGGCACGCGACAGCGATTACCTACCCGGCTGAGTGTACGTTTTTGCTCTAGAATCCCCGAAGGCTTGTCTAGCGATATCGGCCAGAGCAATTGTGTTAATAAGAAGGTCTCGCAGTCGCGAAAACACGCACACAACTCAACCGCCGACTGGCCGCGGGGCAGAAGCTGCCGTGGCCACCATTCGGCGCGCAGTGGTATGCTGGGTGTACTACTCTGATTATAGGGAACTCGGCCAAGGCCGGTATCCGTATGCTCTCCCCCCGGGGATTTGGGTGATCGGGAACAAAGACAGAGGCTAATTGGGAGTCGCAGGATTCGTGGCGTTTGATCAGTACAAGCGGTTGCTCGCCGACGAAGATGGCAAGATGTCGGGGCCGCGGACGGTTTTGGCGGGGTTTGGTGCGGGCGTGACGGAGTCTTTGCTGGCTGTTACGCCGACTGAGAGTATCAAGACGACGCTGTACGTTTCCCTCTCCCATCTGTGCTGTTCTTCCGTCCTGTTGCTAAGTGATTATGCTACGCTAGGATCGACGACCGCAAATCCGCCAACCCCCGCCTGCGCGGATTCCTCCACGCGGTCCCCATCATCGCCCGCGAGCGGGGCATCCGCGGTTTCTTCCAAGGGTTCGTGCCCACCACCGCCCGCCAAGCCGCCAACAGCGCGACCCGTTTCGGTTCCTACACAGCCCTCAAACAGCTAGCGGAAGGATACACCGCACCCGGCGAAAAACTCGGCGCGGCAGCGACGTTTGGCATGGGCGGCATCGCGGGGCTGATTACTGTCTATGTGACGCAGCCGCTGGACACGATCAAGACGCGGATGCAGAGTATTGAGGCGCGGCAGGCGTATGGGAACTCGTTCCGGTGTGCGGCGATTATTTTTAAGCAGGAGGGGGTGTTGACTTTTTGGAGTGGGGCGTTGCCGAGGTTGGCGAGGTTGATTATGAGTGGGGGGATTGTGTTTACGATGTATGAGAAGAGTATGGAGATGTTTGATCGGTTGGATCCGGAGCGGAAGTATTTGTAGGTGGGTGGGGGGAATGGGAGGTGGGAAGGTTGTGGTGGGCGTTTGGCGTGGCTTTGAGGTTTGTGGGCGAGTATATACCCCCTGATGGGCATGGTAGACAAAATGAGGTGTGTATGTGTATTATTGTACATGGATATGTTCAGCCAGGAACCCCAAATCCTGTTCAAGATACTTTTCTTCCCAAACGCCTAACACCAACGTATGCCGCAATCCTTGTATATGGTAGACCTTCGCTCTTGAAGGACACTCTCCTAGGTAAACCGGAGCATACCCCCAAACTTCTTCCCCATCCTCTGCAGGAACGTCCGATTCGGTGCCTCCTCCAATTCCTTAACCAAATCCTGGTAGTAATCCGGGTTACTCTTCGGTTTCATGATGCTGTCGGGAGCACGATACTGTCCACACTATCAGCTTGCGCATGTCACTCCCGGGTACCTCGCAAGGAATGCCCACCATGGTCTTGTACCGATCCTCCAGCAGCGAGTACAGCGCATTGATCTGCTTCAAGTCGGCTTGCTCTTGGGTCGTCGCGCCTGTCGCGGGCGGCGCAAAGCCCGTGGGCCTATCGACACGCTTGGCGAGGGCGTCTTGGAGCTGGCAGTCGGGACGGAGGGGGTCTTTTGGCCAGCGCCGGAGCGCGGCGTGCGCGTGGTTGGCTATTACCTAAAGGAGGTCAGATTTCGCCGGGATAGTCTTATGTTTTCAGGATATAAAAAAAAGGTCACGTACTCCCCTTAGCTTACCCGACATGGTCGACTTGTGCAGAGTTCTGTCGCATATCTTGGAACATCAAAACCTCCACCAAATTCTCCGAGGCCAACTTCTTTGGTGGGGCATCATTCGCATACCACTGCACAAACACAAATGGACCGTGCGTCAATATGCGCCTGATTCCAGAAGATCAAAGATGCGCTAACCCGTATCCGGAAATATGCGGGTCGGACCCTTTGTCTGAGGCCGCCACCCCTTGGCAAACGTAATGCACCAATCTCGGTCAGGCGCCCAGCACCCGCTCACCCGCTGAAGCAACGGCCGTCCGGCGGGCGGTGCATTAGCTGTGACGCCTGAATCTAACGGCTGCTGTTGGGGTTTCCCGTTCCATCCTGTCCCGTTTCTAATCATCGATTCATCAACCACAAACGGTTCTTCGACGACCTTCTAGAGCCGCGCGCTCTTTTTTTTCCTTTTGCCGTTTTCTTCGAGCCTTGTCCGCCTGCGACAGACGATTTCCTATTTGTTCTTCTTTTCTCGACCTATTCGCTTCGATTGTTTCCAGGCCACTTGACCTCGCAACTGACCACGGAACCCCATTTCGATTGATTGAGGGGGGCCGCGCAAACGCCCCTTTCCCCTCGACCACACCACGCCCTTCACCATGTCGGGCCGGTACGAGCGGGTACGATTGTTCCTGGCTCCTCCTAACTATCAGAGCCCCTTCAATCAACATAAACAACATAAGCTAACATAATATGCTGTTCAGGTCAACGCCCACGACGACTCCGACTCCGAAACACCCACCCCCCCCGTGCCAAGACCGACCTACCCGATCCCCAACTCGCCACCACCATCCTTCCGCTCGCGGGCCTCCTCGCGCGACCGCTCCAACCGACCCGTGAATCCTGATTTAGTCGATGCGTTTGATGCCGCCGGCGACGATAGCGATGAGGATGAGGACGGGAGCGATGATCGTCAGAGGCTGGTGAGGGGGAACTCGACGCCTTCGTTTCGGAGTGAGGGTACCGCGGGGCGCACGGGCGCGGTAACGCAGAATGGGTCGCAGCAACAAGCTGCTACCACGGTAGGACAACCGACGGCGGTGGTGGCGCCGACTTCGTCGAGGGTTTATGGGGGTGGGATTCAGTCGGATGGGGTGTTTTCGAACTTGTCTGCGAAGCCGGAGACGGGGGAGGGCGAGAAGGATGAGATGCCTCCGGTATGTTCATCAGCCCCTTTCTTTCCTTGGCGTGAAATTCCTCGAGTAACGGTAGTGCTAACAATTACAGACCTACGAACAAGCCGCAGCGGACCAAGCCCCCCCCTACTGGGAAACTACGATCCTCGCTCCCGGCCTCGGCGGCCCCGACGAGGTCTTTATCGACGGCCTGCCCGTGGGCACTTTCTTCGGTTTCGCCTGGAACGCCATGATCTCCATGGCGATCGGCTTCGTCAGCTTCCTGCTGACCTACCTCCTCCACTCAACCCACGCGGCCAAGAACGGCTCGCTGGCCGGCTTGGGAGTCACGATGATCCAATACGGGTTCTCGATGAAGACCTACTCGTCCGGGGCCGGCGCAGGCAGCGGGATGCACGCGCACGGGGACGGCGAGGGGTATGCGGACCCGTCGGACCCGAACTCGCATGACTTTGACCCGGACGATGCGAATGGGGATGGTGGGAGTGGTGATATCTCGGGTGGGGATTGGGCGGCGTATGCGTTGATGATTGTGGGGTGGTTTATTCTGATCAGGGCGGTGGCGAATTATATCAAGGTGCGGCGGCATGAGCAGCTGGTGTTACAGAGCCCGGATCGCGGGTTGGGGGTCCCGATTATTGCTACGGGGGAGAGCCCGGAGCGGGTGGTGTAACCCTCTCGTTTACTTGTCTTTTTCCTCTTAGTCTTTTTTGATCTCTCCTCTTAGCTCTCTTTTCGACTTTCCGTCTTCTTCAGCTAGCTCGCACTGCACTGTAGCAAGAAACGGATTCCGGGCGCGAACTGGTTTGCGACGGCGTTTGTAGGAATATTCATACTGGATGGAAGGAAGCAAGGAAGGGAAGGGATTGGGTTCATCATCATATCATGGTTTGGTCTTGTTCCTCATACGCGCATCGCGCAGCAGTCTCATAATCTCATTGGGTGGTTTTCTCGTAAAGTATCACCTGTACACAGTTCTAGCATATTTACTTGTCGTCTCAAGGTTGTTCGTTTCAGGGTTGTATGCAGGGCTCTGTTTTGTCAGCTGTGAACGTGACTGCGTGCGGGGCAACCTGCATTGCAGCGAGTCTTGGGTGCGAACGTTGGAGCTTGGGCACGTCATTACATCACTCGACGTCAATCCACCATCACCAGTATTTGTCCTTTAACATTTTATTTTGACTCAACCCCATTTTCACTACGGATTTTATTGACAATACCAACCGCATCACAGCTATCTCATCGCTCAACAATCCCACTTAAATAAACACACCGTGGCGATCAAACGACGACTCCTACCTCTGCTCTTGAGCTCTCTCCCAATCTCCCGAGCTTGTACTTGTCCCGTCCCTGCTGCTGTCAACACTTTCCAACCGGCAGAACCCCAAACCTGCTCTCCATTTCCGGCGTCCATCTCCCGCTCCTTCAACACCATGGCCTGGCGCAGCTCCGGCACATCCAACCGCGAGTTGATTGAGAATCTCTGGCGCAACAAACTAATCACCAGTCCGGAGGTTAAGGAAGCTTTTTTAAAGGTGCCCTTCCCACTTCTCACTTCATCCCTTTCCCAACCACCCCCCCCTTTGATCTGCTTTTCCAGTCTCCCAGTCAGACGAAGGTCATCCTAATTGTAAAAACAGGTCGACCGCGCCCACTACACCCCCACCTCCCCCTACACCGACTCCCCCCAACCCATCGGCCATCACGCCACCATCTCCGCACCACACATGCACGCTTCCGCGGTCGAATCCCTCCTCCCCTTCATCCTCCCCTCTCCATCCCATCCAGCCCCGCGCATCCTAGACATCGGTTCCGGATCGGGGTATCTCACGGCTGTGATGGCGGAGTTGGCGGGACCGAGGGGGGTGGTGGTCGGGGTGGAACATATTGATGCTTTGAGGGAGTTGGGGGAGAGGAATATGGGGAGGTCGGAGAAGGGGAGGGGGTGGTTGGCGAGTGGGAGGGTTAGGTTTAGGGTGGGTGATGGGAGGAGGGGGTGGGTTGAGCCTGCGGGTTTTACACCTACTGGTTCTGGGGGGGAGGGGACTGGGGAAGGGGGAGCAGGGGAAAGGGGAGTGGAAACGGGAGAAATTAGGAAGTGGGATGTGATACATGTCGGTGCGGCGGCGGTGGAGGTACACCCTGAAATGTTGGAGCAGTTGGCGGCGCCGGGGAGGATGTTTATACCGGTTGATGATGAGGGGGGATGGGGGCAGCATATTTGGACGGTGGAGAAGGATCGGGAGGGGAAGGTGGAGAGGAAGAAGTTGTTTGGGGTCAAGTATGTGCCTTTGACTGATGCGCCGAAGTAGGGTGAGTAGGGGGGGGGGTGTTTGTGTATTTTAGGGATGTTACAGTTTGGTGGAAATTACACATCGTGATTACCCGTGGCACCCGCGTGTGCAAGACCCAAATGCAAGCCAGGACCATTTGGGTACCCATGTGGGTTTGGGTTCATATGGGTTGGGTCCAGCGATACCCAGAAAATGGGTACGAGTTGGGTTGTATTATATTTGTTTGGGGCACGGAAGAATACTGATCACGACTATCATTGAAAGGTACTCGGTGTACAGAGTTTTACAGACATAAGAAGTGAAATATCTCTCGAGTTTTACACAGAGTAACCATCTGGGTCTTGCGTTAAGTACAGGACAACGGTTACCACTTCCGAAGGTAAGATACAGCAAATCCGGGCAGTGGGATGATGCTCTGTTAATTACACGTCTGTAATTACATGACCAGTCTGACGGCTTACCCAAAGCGGTGCTATTCCACCAATTATTTCTAAACTTCTCAACTTCATCGGGTGCATCGTGGTCCCCATGGCAGCTCCATCATCGCTGCACCCTCGGTCTCTGGCCCCGGCCCCGCCAGATCGGCGACAGCCTGAACTTTCCCCATCAATGCCGTATACTTGCCAAACATGCGCCCGGCGGAAGGTCAGATGCGACAAAACCACACCGACTTGTTCAGCTTGCCGCAAAAGCCAACTCGACTGCCTTTACCAAGCACCGCGTCCACGGACGGGGAAACGAAAACTGGACGAGGATATACTCGAGCGACTCGCTCGGTATGAAAATATCCTCATTCAACACGGCCTTCTTCCGGATTCCGAACGGGAAGCGTCCTCTAGTTCTATGGTTTCGACAGCCGTCCGGGAAAGTGAAACACCAGGTAGTGGCACTGAGCAGCCGGTTTCCCTCCTCTGGGATGCACCAGAGGGAGCAAAAGCCGGCAAGCTCAGGGCACACGGCAATGACAAATCCCAAACGACGTACGTAAACAGCAGTCTGTGGCAAAAGCTTGAAGAACACCATCTCCAAAGCCAATCCGACGACGACGACGACGACGATGTCAATGTCAACGACCAAACCCCGGCATCACCGTCAACCCAACCTCATACATTCCCCTCCGACCCATGGACGGAAGCATTCCTAGGACTAGCTCCACCCCCACCAGTTCCCCTCACGCAGCACTACCCCCCGCCCGACGAAGCCTTCTTCCTCTGGACAACCTACACCTCCAACGTCGACCCCCTCGTCAAGATCCTCCACACTCCGAGCATCCTCAGCCTCATCGAAAACACCACCCAGAACCCAACCACCATCTCCCGAAGCCCCGATAACGGACCCCTCCTCTTCGCCATCTACCATTTCGCCATCTTCTCCCTTCCCCCCTCCTCCTGCCTCCTCCACCTCCACCAACCCCGTCCCACCCTCCTCACCAAATACCACTCCCTCACCCTCCAGGCCCTCTCCAACACCTGGACCACCCTCCTCCAAGCCCCTTCCCTCCCCCTCCTCCAAGCCCTCATCCTCTTTCTCATCCCCTCCCGCACGCGTTTCCACCCTACAACCTACTGGCTCCTCACCGGCACCGCGGTCCGTCTCGCGCAGCGATTGGGAATCCACCGGGACGGTGCAGCTCTGGGTCTGCCACCGTTTGAAACGGAGATGAGGCGGAGATTGTTTTACACGCTGATGCCGCTGGATGCGAGGGCGAGTCAGTTTGCGGGGATGGGGGCGCCGGTTTGGCCGGGGGGATGGGATACGAGGCCGCCGAGGAATGTGAACGACATAGATATCTGGCCGGGGATGAAGGACGGGGAGGTTCCGGTGGAGAGGAAGGGGGTGACGGAGATGGTGTTTTGTTTGGCGAGGGTTTGTGTGGGGGGGTATTTTTTGCAGTCTGATGCTCATGGTCATGGTACTACCCCCCAGAACGGGACGACGACGGCGACAGCGGCGGAGAAGGGTACAAGGACAGGCCCGATGATGGGACAGTTCCGAGACGCGGCAGCCGCCAGCGAGATGGCTGACCGAGCCGAGGCAGAAGTGGAAGAGAAGTTCCTGCGGTACTGTGACGTGGTGAACCCGCTGCACTTTCTTACGGCGTGTATGGTGCGCGCGGGGATTGCGACGCTGAGGTTGAGGATTGTGCTGCCCCGTGCTACTGCACCAATTAACACGAACCTGGATGCAAACTCAGATGCGAACCCGGGTGCAGATACGGATGCAGACCCCGGTGCTGTGAAAGAGGCGTTTAGCCTGGCAATGAAGATCCTGAAAAGCGACGATACGCTGTGTTCACACCCGGGCCTACAAAAGTATTGGTGGCATACCGGCTCGTTTTTTGTCTGGGGTACGTGGGATGCGTTTATTTTTGTTTTGACGACGTTGCTCAAGAGGAGGGGGTTGGTTCGTGCGGAGGAGGTTAGGGAAGCATGGGACGGGGTGGAGGCTATGTATCGACATCATGAGGAGCTGGTTGGGTCGAAGCGGGCGTTGTATCGGGCGCTACGGCGGTTGACGGTGAAGGCGTGGGATGCGGGCGGGCTGGAGGAGGAGCCGGGGTTTGTGGGTGCGCTGAGGGCGTTGCGGTCTCTTGGGTCTTCTGGACGGGTTGATGAGAATGAGCAGAAGCAGCGTGAGGAGATCGTGAGTGGACAAGACGGGCAACCGGTTCCCGGTTCTGATTTTGGCCATGGGTCAGGTACCGGGAACGACCCGAGCCTGCCGAGTTTTGAGCCGGAAGAAAACTTGGAACCGGAAGAAACGGACTGGGACTTTTGGACCCAGCTGATTCAGGATCATGATATGGACATGGAACGGTAGCAGGGTGTTGAGTTAATTGTCTGTGGGACAGTGGACAGGGGGTGACTTATACTCGACTCCGGCCTCTCATTGGTCAGAATCTCGGGTTTCGTTCGGCCGAGCACGCCCGACAGGAATCACCACCTGCGGACCCGAACCTGGTGAGCTCAACTTTTAATTGCTAGCTCGGACCCAAACTAACATGCCTAGGCTAGGGTATAAAATCTAGTTTTCCCGACAGTTCTCGACAGTTTCTCGACAGCCGGGAAATATCTCTCTGCCACAACAACTCATCACCACAACGAATCACAACCATCTCGTCATCCCATCCTGGCCCTAACCCTGAGTCCTCATGGCCCAGCTCAGGGTCCTCATCGTGGGCGCCTCGATCGCCGGCCCGGCTGCGGCCTACTGGTTCGCCAAAGGCGGCGCAAGAGTGACCATCATCGAACGCTTCCCGCAACTCCGCACCAACGGCCAGAACGTGGACATCCGCACCATCGGCGTGACTGTCATGTGCAAGATGCCCGGCCTCGAAGAAGCCGTGCGAGCCAAAAGGTTGTCTCTATCCGGCATCAGCTTTGTCGACACCCACGACCGGCCCTTTGCCACTTTCCGTGCGACGGGCGACCCGGACCAACAATCGCTTGTGTCCGAGTATGAGATCCTGCGGGGTGATTTGTCGAGGATTCTGTACGACATGACTAGGACGCACGAGAATGTTCAGTATGTCTTTGGTGAACAGGTAGCTGCGTTCGACTACCACAGTGGGCCAGATGGCCCCGTGACAGTAACCTTCGCCAACAACACCCTCCCCCCGACGGAATTCGACCTCGTCGTGGCCGCGGACGGCGCAACCTCACGCACACGAGCACTAGCGTTGTCCTGTTCTGTCCGGGAACATGCTCGTCCCACAGGGCTCTGGGCCGCCTATTTTACGTTGACCAAAGACCTGATCAAAGAATCCGAGATGGGCCACGCTTACAACGCGCCTGGCGGTCTGTTCATCGCAGCCGGACAACACCCGTCCCAGCCGGGATGCAGCCAAGTCACCATCATCCGCAACACCGGTTCTGATGCTGGCAATCCCAATGATCCCGGTTCCCTAGCTGCCTTCCGCTCAGCAACGGCCACAGCTACAACCACAACCAAAACAACCCCCAAAACCGAAACCAACCACCCACAAGACGACAAAAACCTCACCCTAACCACCCAACCCGAAGACAACACCGCCCCACTCCGCGCCTTCATCGCCCACTCCATCGCCAACAAGGGCTGGTACACCAACACCATCGCCTCTGCCCTCCTCAACTCCTCTTCTCCCGGTCATGGACATGAAAGTTCCTCTTCTTCCGAACACGAGCACTCCTCTGAGCATGGACAAGGACAAGAACAACCCCAAATCCGCGACTTCTACACAACCGAAATCTCCCAAATCCACCTCCCTACTTTGTTTCATAACTACCGCATCGCCCTCCTCGGTGATGCAGGCTACGCCCCCGGCCCCACGGGCGCGGGTACCTCGCTTGCGTTGGCGGGGGCGTATTTCCTTGCTGGTGAGGTCTTCTCCCACCTCTCTAAGAGTGATAGAAATAATGGAAGTGAGAATCACGATTTAAGTGCTGCGTTAAAGCGGTATGATGAGGTAATGAAGCCGTTGGTGAAGGAACTGAGGCAGATACCCTTCGGGTTGCGGGGGATGATGGCGCCGAGGACGGGATGGGGGTTGAGGGTGAGGAATTGGGTTATGGGCTGGGTTTGTTGGGTGGGTGTTGTTGGGTGGGTGCAGGGGTGGATTGCGAGGGGGGCTTTTGGGAGGAGGGGGGAAGAGGGGGCTAGGGAGTATCAGTGGGATGGGCCTGTAGAGTAACGGTGGATGAGCGTAGGATGGGAATAGGGGGTTGAAGTGGAGGTGGTTGGTTGGTTGGTTGGTTAGTTGGTTATAATCACTTCTCCTGAGGCGTCACGATATGTAATTTTACCAAAGTGTAAATAACACACCCGTACATAAACACCCACCCTTCTCAGACTAGTTACTGTGGAAGTGGAAGTGGTTGGTTGGTTGGTGGTTAGTTGCAATCTCTTGTCTTGAAGCGGCATGATACTTTTCTTGCGCATGACGGTTACGCCGACGCTGTGATGTCTCCCTTCTTGCCGCTGGTGTACCGCTACGGGAAGCATTCCATAATGGCCACTCCCACCCAGTCCTCGGTGAACTACGGGGCGTCTTGGTGAAGAAAAAATCAGGTCATTGGTAACCTAGAATATATATCTTTCGCTGAGATTCTTAGCCTAATGACTTCTAAAGTTCGCCTTTCCCTACTTTAGGTCCCCCGTCCACGACCTCGTCAAGACCCGACCTTCAACCCAAAGAGAAGCCTGAGCCAATGCAAGTAGCCTCCTCGTCTGCTTGCATCATTGATTAGTTCAACGCCCTACAGCCCCTTCATTTCCTCGGATTCCACATACCCACCCGACCAAACCCCCGCGCCATCAAAGTCCCCATCGACGTGTACCCACTCGCTTTCGAGCCCTTCACCCTGCGCCGGCTGGCCGTCTTGCTCGCTTTCGAGATGCTGTCCTTCCAGCTTTTGGCACAGCGTACTGTTTACGTACGCCGTTTGGGTTTGGGATTGCTCATCGCGGCGTACTTCGGATCCCTCTGGCCCATCGCGGGGAAGGGAACCCGGCTGCGGGGGCGGGGTGTCTGGTGCTTGGCTGGTAGGTGGTGAGGTTAATTAGCTTGGGATCCATAGCACTGCCGTGTTACGTGGGCATCTTTTCATCATACCGAGGAAGCCACTTGGGCTTAGGCTTTGGGTTCCATTGCTGCCGTCGAGGGGCTTCCACGTAAAAGCAGTAGCTTTTGCGTTTGGTGCAGGGCGCACAACTCGGGGCGGTTCTGTCGCATTGGATCCTCCGTCGCGAGCATGATCAACACGCAGATGACATTGGTGAGGGCTCATTTTGTGGTTGATCTAACGGGGCTGGGGCGAGAGACATTTGATGGGACGATGCAGCTGCCATGGTGAACAGGGCGGTTTGATGAGGATGAGAAGTTTGAAGGGAATTAAGGATCTGGTTTGCTGTGGGAGGGTGTAAAAGACGCGTTTTGATGAAGATGGGAAGTTTGGAAAGAATTAACAACAGTGTTTGCTTGAGGAAAGCGCTACGGGACGTATTATCTACTTGTACTTATGTCATCAACAGACCCGTAACGGCGCCCACTAGATCCACGGGTCCGTGGCAGTTACGTAAGCACAACGATTAT